TTTTTTGCTCGCCAACGTCGTCGCTCGGGAAGCCGGCCAACCGACCTCTTTCTAGATTGTTCCCGTCCTTTTCCAGGTTTTTTCCTCTATCCTTTCCCATATTTTTTAGATGATGGTGGCAACAAGGCCTCTCCCCCTCATTCTCGCCCCCCTCAGCCTTTTGCCGCCCCGACCGCCGGCCCCCCCTGAGGAGGGCCGCTGACGGCGTGAAGCACGGCAGCAAGCATCAATGCGCGAGGGAAAAAAGGAGGGGGCTGAGAAGCGGGTCTCAGCGAGCGTGCGACGGAGTGCGCTCAGTTCTCGCCGGCGTGGGCGGCGGGCGCGCGTGTAGGCTGTCGCGGAGGGATTTCAGCAGCCGTGAGGACCCGGGCCTCATGCTGTCCTACAACGCACCAAAAAAGTTCCCACGGGATCTTGTGTCTCCGATTACAATAATTGCCAGTATTATGATTGTAGGAGGATTGGAGGATGGGAATGGTGATACTAAGCTTTTCTGTGGCTAATGGATATACCGGTAGCAACGGGGTGGAACGAAACGGTCGGTTTCTCCCACCCAGCCGCAAGCCACATCTCATCAGAGAGATGATGCGACCCATGGATGACACCGTGGTACAACGACATACGTAGGCCAACCTCCTGGGCATATTGCCGGGCGTAGTCAGGAGAGACAGTCCGAGATTGGCTCGAAGATCATGACTCGAGCTTGGAGCATGAGCGACTGTTCTACCTACTCGATCAGGCGTCGGGCGGCGCGCAGTTAATCAGACGCCGGGCGAGAGGTTGTCGCGCTCGCACCAGCGTCGGCACCAACGAGCCGGACACAACGGGGGCTCGCGGGCATCTTCGGTGCCACTCGACCGCTCAGCCTCTGCCGCGCGCTGCCCTGCAATGCTCCCGATTGGCTGCGCCATGGCAAACGAGGGATGACGCAGGGCAGGAATGTCTTGCGCCCGAGCCTATCAGCGCGCTGTGTATCAGGGAGATTCCAGTGGAGATCCATCGTGTCTCAGGTCAACGTGTACCCCCATGTTTGTCTTTCACTGACCTCCATTCCACGCCTTTTCTCTCTGCCGCCGCGCTCTCTTGCCTTGCCTCCCCCGCATCCGCTGCCTCTCTTTTTGCCCCCGTCGACTGCCGCTCGTTCTGCTCCCACACGCTCCCTCCCTCAACTCACTCACTTTCTTCTGACGCGCCGTGCTCCTCGTTTGCCGGCCCTTAGCATACCTTTCTCTGGACATATCGCCCTACTCCCGTCCCCGGTGGATCAGACGAGAAACACGAAGGGATCCTTCGCCCACGACAACAGAATAAGCCTTGCAAGTGGAGCTATCACCTGGTCGAGGTCAAAGCGCGCGGCTTGTTGAATAGTCGCCTTGGTTCTTTGGTTGGGCTGCGCAGTTACGAGCTCCCTACGAGTGGTCCAAGCACGTGAATTTCCCGAATCGAAATCACTGCCGTCCGGCCTCACCCCGGTCGCACCCACTATCCACAAGTACTTGAGCATTACTCGAGCTTCTGCCTCCTATCCCCACCTCCGCCGTCCGCTCTCTCTCTCTTTTGCTTCGTCGGCCCCTTCGTTCTCTTCTTCTGTCCACTCATTCATTCCATTGATCGGACAAAGCAACCATGAGGTTCAACGACGCAGCTTCTTACACCGCGCTGACCGCGCTGACCCTCGGCGGCGTCGCCAACGCCTTCTGGCGTATGCCCTGCCGTGGCCGTACCGGTCTTGCTCGCATTGATCCTATCGTCGACCCCGGCAAGGTCTCCAGCCACTCCCACTCCATTCAGGGTAGCAGCAACTTTGCTATGGACGTCACCTCCGCCGAGCTGAGGAACGGTGACTGCACCTCTTGCCAGGTCACCCAGGACAAGTCTGCCTACTGGTTGGTCTGCCCCGTGCCCTGTGGTATACCGTAACTAGCGTGCTGATTTGACCTAGGACCCCTCCTCTCTACTTCCAGTACACCAACGGCACTACCGTCATTGTTCCCCAGATGGGTGGTATGCTTGCGTAAGTACTGAGAGAAAAAGAAACACCATCATGAGTGCTGCTGCTGACCATCACTAAAGCTACTACCTGCTGTACGGTGACGACGTCAAGGCTTTCCCTGAAAACTTCCGCATGCTTGCTGGTGACCCGTACCAGCGCAACTTCACCTTGCCCGTCCCGGACCCGGCCAAGCCCTGGACCGGTGAGGACAAGACCCAGAAGGCTCTGGCGCAGAAGGCCATTGGCTTCAACTGCCTTCACTACGACGTCAACCCTCCCGAGGGCACTCTGTACCGCCACTTCCTGCCGGACAAGCAGTTCCTGGACGAGAACTGCCACGATGGTGTCCGTGTCGAGCTGATGTTCCCGTCGTGCTGGAACGGCAAGGACACCGACAGTGACGACCACCAGTCGCACATGCGCTACCCCGACCAGACCATCACCGGTACCTGCCCCGAGGGCTTCGAGACCCGCGTCGTCTCTCTGATGTACGAGACCATCTGGGCCACCGAGACGTTCAAGGGCGTTGACGGCCAGTTCGTCTTCTCCAACGGCGACCCCACTGGTAAGTTAACCGCAAGATGCCCGCTTCGTTTCCCCGGAAGGGAAAAAAAAGAAAAAGAAAAAAGGTATTGACAGATTCCCGCAGGCTACGGCTACCACGGTGACTTCATTACCGGCTGGGACCACGACTTCCTCCAGAACGCTGTCAACACGTGCACCTCGTCGACCGGTTTGATCGAGGACTGCCCGCTCTTCAACATCCAGACCGAGGCCGAGTGCGAAGAGTGCAAGTTCGAGGTGCCCGACAGCCTGAAGGACGAGGACTGCGCGGGCCCCGCGCCCAGCATCTGCGGCAACCCTGCGATCCAGTCGGGACCCGCGCGCGCGACGGCGGGCTCGGGCGGCTCCTCCGGCGGCTCGACGACGGCCAAGCCCTCGAGCACCAAGCCCCTGGTGCCCACGCTGTCCTACTCGACCGGCCGCGAGACCTTCGCCAGCGACAAGTACGGCGGTGGTGTCACCGTCGAGCGCGTCAAGGGCGGTGCCGACGGCCCCACCCTCGCCCTCACGACTGCTGCTCCCACCGCTGGCGCCGCCGACGGCGACGCCGAGATCGTCTCCACTACCATCTACACCTCTGGCGGCGTCGTCTACGACATGGCCATTGCTGAGGTCGACGTCACCGTCACGGCTACCGCCGAGGTCACCGAGACCGCCGCTGCTAAGCACAAGAGGCATTTTGCTCAGCACCGCCACCGCCGCGACTACTAAGCGCGTCGGGGGGAGGTGTGAAAGTCGAGGTTCTTGTTCGCTTCTCTGTCTCTCTCCGCGGAAAGGAACATTGCATGTGGAACGGTGTTTTCATGGCAGTGGGCTGATTTTCTGGTTACCACACTTATTCACTTTCTATTTCTACTCCTCACGGGTGATGAAGTCAAACTTTTGGTTAGCTTGTGGTTCATCTTTTTTTCTTTTTCTGTTTTTTTCTCTGAAATCTCAGTCGTCTCGCGCCTCAAAGCTTGTTGGTTGTCTTCGCTGTTCATCGCATTTTTTTGTTTTTTATATCCCCGGCGCGGAAACCCCCGGCGCGCGGGCTGTGCCCGCCGTGCGTTTCTGAGCGTTACCTACCCCCTCCACTGTACAAATAATTCTACCGTAGTAGCGCATCGACAAGGGGGAAAGTGGAAAATGGGTCTGTGAGTGTGCCTTGGGGGAGGAGGGCCCCTGCTGCTGCTCCTCGTCCTCCTTCCATGGCTATCTCACCATCCTTTCCGTCCCGTCGATGAATATTATGAGTGGCCCCCTCCCAAAAAACCTGCGTCTTTTGGGTCGCCACAGTAACGACGATCACACTTGCGGTCGGGCGCGTCGTGGGTCGTGGCGTGTGTTTCTGTGTCGTCATTGTTGTTTGGTGTGTTGTTGATAGTTGTTTCACGCCGAGCATTCCGTTGCCCCAGCCCCGGGTTCGCCATGGCCATGCGAGGAACAGGTTTTCCCTGCTGCACGAGTCTTGGTATTGTTGTTGTTGTTATTGTTATTGTTATTGTCCTAGTCAGAGAATGCCTGCATGCATCTCTTTGGAGGGGGAGCGTGTGCTCGTGTGCGCATCCTTTCTTGACCATCCTTCATCATCTCCCATTCGGGCGAAGAAGAAGCACCTAACCTAGCAGCGCAGGGCTGACAGCCCAACGTCGACGCCAGCGTCAGAGGACGCCGTCAATCAGCAGCGATCAGACGCAGACAATCAGCGCCAAGGACGACGATGAAGCAGCGCCAGCGCCGATTGTCATAACCGTCAGCCCTACGGCGCAGACCAGCGACGTCCGCGTTGGCGGTGTAGAGCTTGCCTATCACTACTAGCACCGAGTAACAAAACACGCCAATCAGAGCCGCTGTGGCTGGTCTTTTCCGCAGAGCTGCTTGACTCGCCCCGTCCCCCGGAAGGGCATGCATCGGCGGCTGGCGGAGATGTTCGTCGCCGCCACGTGCGCGAGCTGCCTGTGGGGGTGGGGGGTGTTCGGTGCGTGCTTGCTTACCTACATACATACATACATACATACTGCACGCTGCTGGCTGGCTGGCTGGCTTGCTTGCACATGTACATCCGTACCTACATTCCTTGGCAACATGCACGCGCACGCGTCGGCCACGGGAACAAGCAAGCATGTACGTTGGGCCGTCCCGATGCTGCATGCTGGCTCGCCACTAAAGCCAGTCCGTCGCGAATCTTATTCGCACCTCGTCACTCGTCCGCCCGGCTGCGCTAGACACGAAAACGAGTCATGCGCTGCGGCATGCTGTAGAACGCGACGGCTTGTGGTGGAGGTGGAGGAAAAGGAGGAGGAAGATTTGTGGCGAAAGGTGGCGATGCGATGGCGAACACACGGGATCTCGGATCAGATCCCTGGCGCAGCTGGCGGAATATCAGAAATCTTAACAGCTGTTGCCCCCCAGCAACTTGATGAGTCCGTCCTTTGGGTGTGTGCCTGGTTCACGCAAACACACTCACCTGCCGAGGATGTTCAAACTGGCCGGCTGACTACCCTTCGGTGTTGCCGCCGCGTGGCGATGACGAGTCTACTTTGCCGTCGTCAGCGACCGGCTGGACGAAGGATTTCTGACTCTTTTGTTCCTCGTCTTCCAACGCTTTGCTTGTATTCGACGTTCCTGGCCGTTGTTGCCTAGGTGGCATCCATTTTCTTGGACTTGTCTCCGCCCCGTGGCGTTTGCAAAGAGCCTCACAGTGCCTCATAGCGCCTCCACACCACCTCTACTCAATCTGGACCGCGGTGTATTTGACCACCACCGCCGCCCCGGAACTTGCGGCTCTGCCTTCTGAGTTTGTCTGCGCGGAACGCCATTCCGTCACTCGGCCTTACTGGCTCGTCTCCCAGCCTTGCAGCTTTTTACTCGTTGCATCGGCCTGTTTGGGCAAAGTATAAAAGCCAAACTTCGATTTCCCGATAACTGCGTCTTCCCCGCACTGCAAAAGGGCCCGCTCTTTTTTGGGGCTAAAATCTGTCGTCTAGGCTAGGCAGCAGCCAATACTCTTTAGTTCCCGCATCTCAGCTCCTGTCTCGCCGGTGAAAGTTGTTGCGACGATCTGGTCATTTGCCTATTTAAGCGCCTCGCAAACTGCTTTCTGTTTTGGGTCCAATCGGTCGGCTTTGCTGCTTCCATAAGATCTAGGTGTCAGTCTTTTATCAAACGTCAGCAGGAAGATTGCGGCTTGCGCCTGTCTCCCGGCTTGTATATCCGGATTGTTGACCGGCGCCCATCCATCTCACACGAGGCCAGCTGAGATATCGGCAAGTACACTCATATTAGATTTCTGGACAAACTTCAGCAGCTGTGTCAACCACACAAGTGTGTGTATATATAAAGGGATAGGTTCTGGTTCCTGCTGCGGTACCGTTCATCTTCACTCACATTCCAGACTTTAGGCTAACATCCAGTAGAACCCCCGCCCCCGGAATGGATTTCCGTAAGCTGCGCGGGTCTTTCGACCTGGCCAATGAGTCTGCCGACGGCACGCGGCCCAACCTGACCGAGCTGCCCACCAATATCCTCGAAGCGCTCATTCCGGGTTACAGCCTAATATCTAGGTTTGTGCTGTACTCGTTCGGCTTCGACATTGGGCTGGTGGTGTCGATCGGGGTGCTCCTATTCGGCGTGGTGTCGGCCGTGTCGTACGTGTGGAGCAGAAGCTATTACCTCTTCTGCAAATACTACATGTCGGACGTGTACGTGGACGACAGCGACGACCTGTACGAGAGCGTGCTGGAGTGGATCGCGGCGCAGCGCATGTCCAAGGTGTCGCGGTCAATCAAGGCCGTGACCAAGTACAATGAGCAGGACACGGACAACGAGGTCGACGCCAGAATCAGCGTCGAGGACGACACGGGCATCTTCAACTTTGGCCGCTGGGCGGCAAAGGTGCCGCCCCGCTACGAGCCGTACTTTGGCTCCCACCACTTCTGGCACCAAGGCCGCCTGTTCCTCATCGACCGGTCGCGGCGCGAGGTCGGCACGAGCGGCTACCCGCCCACCCGCAAGGAGGAGGAGACGATCCGCCTGTCGTGCGTGGGCCGCCGCACGCAGCCCATCAAGGACCTGCTCGACCACGTCAAGGCCTGGTCGCTTGACAAGGAAAAGGCGAAGACGGTCATCCGCCGGCCCGCGAGCAAAGACCGCTCGCGCTTCGCCGGCGCCTGGGACCGCGTCTCGTCGCGCCCCTCGCGCCCTATGGACACGGTCGCGCTGGACCCCGACCAGAAACGGACGATCATCGCGGACATCAACGAGTACCTCCACCCCAGCAGCCCGCGCTGGTACGCCGTCCGCGGCATCCCGTACCGCCGGGGCTATCTGTTCCATGGGCCGCCCGGCGTGGGCAAGACCAGTCTCGCGTACGCGCTTGCTGGCATCTTCGGCCTCGATATCTTCGTCATTTCGCTGCTGGAGCCCACGCTCACGGAGTCGGACCTCAATCGCTTGTTCAACAACCTGCCGCGCCGCTGCATCGTGCTGCTCGAAGACATTGACACGGCGGGCCTGCTGCGCGACGAGAAGAGCGACGACGCTGCCGCGGCCGCCAGCAACAGTACAAACACCACAACAACAAACGCAGACGCCACCCCCACCTCTTCTCCCGCGCGCAAACGCCACCACCCCAACAACCACACCCCCACAGACGCCCTAACGCCCACCTCCCTCGCCCTCGCCCTCACCACTGCTACCCGCCGCAGCAAACTCCAAGACGACCACTCCAACCAAGGCATCTCGCTCTCCGGGCTTCTAAACGCCATCGACGGCGTCGCGACGCACGAGGGCCGCGTGCTCGTCATGACGACGAACCATCCGGAGCGGTTGGACGACGCGCTGATCAGGCCCGGGCGCGTCGACCTGCAGGTGCAGTTTACGCTGGCGACGCGGGCGCAGATTAGGGAGATTTTCGGGCGGATGTACGCAGTTGATGAGGAGAGTGAGGGTGGTGGGAAGGAGGGGGTGGGGTTTGGTATTGGTGTTGGTGGTGGGGAGAAGGTGGGCGCGGATATCGAGACCCTGGCGCATGCGTTCGCGGCTGCGCTGCCGGAGGGCCGGTTGAGCCCGGCTGAGATTCAGGGGTTTTTGCTGGTACGGAAGAAGGAGCCGCTGCGGGCGGTGAAGGAGGTCAAGGGCTGGTGTGAGGGTGTGCTGGAGGCGAGGGGGCGGAGGGGGAGGGTGTAGGGCGTTGGTGTGGGTGGGTGGGTTGGGGGGTTTTGTTGTAGGGGGAGGGGGAAGGGGTGTATAGGTAGGTAGGGGTGTGGAAGGGGGGAGGCCGGTAATGTCTATTCGTTCCTAGGCAGTTTCTAGTTTTCTAGGTTTTCTAGTGTCTTTTTTTATTTTTCGGCTCATCGGCGTGGTTGAATAAGTGGTGCATGCAGTAGCGTTAGGAAGGCTGGGATGGAGTGGGATGGAGTGCTTGTGCTTGAACACACCTAGTCATATCTTCCTCGTCGTCGTGGTTGTCGGGCGGGACGCGTGCACGAAATAGCATCCACGCATGTCTTTCATCCCTTATATCAGTTAAGCTTCCCTCGGCATCTACGTGCTTCGACCCACACACAGAATCAAAACTAGTCTAACTGGCTACTACAGCTACTGAGGCCATACATGGTGGTTGGGGCTAGCGTCTGTGTAATTGAGATAGTTAGGGAGCTCTGCGTGGAGGATGTTAGGGCCCGGTGTTTGTTTTTTGCGTCTCTGATAGCGGTGTAGATCATTAAAGGCTGTGAGGGATCGTGCGCGGTGCTGTCGGGTGTTGGTGCGGCGTATCCTCGCGCTCGTTGGCGAAAAGCGTTTTAGAGGCCTTGTTGGTTGTTAGGTACAGTACCAGAACCGCTTTGGCTTTGTGTGGTTGGGAACCCCCGCTGTAATCAGTCAATTGGTACGGAATTCCTCGCTATGTCTGCGGTGGTCCCGCGGTAGCTCTTGCGGCTTCTTGCGCTTTGCGGGTGCTGCGTTTGGGTCTGCGTTTACTGCTGCTGGTGGTGGTGGGCTGTGGAGGGTTTTGTTGGTTATGAGGTTGAGGGTCTGTTTGATATATGTCCTTTTTGTTAGTAGCTACTTGGGTTTTTGTGTTTATGGCTGTGATTGGGTTTCATGGTTTATACTGACTGTGGTAGTTGATTTGATGGTAGGCGTTGTTGGAGAGAGTAAGTTTCACTGGTTCCGTGTAGTGCGGTGCTGGAAGCTTCCCCTTGATAAATCGCCTTGTATGTAGGTAGATGTAGAAAAGAAAGGAGCAACCTCAAAAATTGGAAGTCATACCGGCACCGGCAGGGAGGTGAAGATGTCTCTTCGGTGCTGCAGAAATGACAGCACGACAGTTCTGACACAGAATCTGAGGGCATGAGCCACTCATATATCGTCGAAGTCCTGTACCAGCGCTACCGTTCAAAGAAACAGAGGCATGCGTGAGCCCTGCCGGGTACATATATCGAGGACACTGCACGAAAAAATAAGATCATGGAAAGACGTCCCTCATTCCTCAACTCGATCTTGATGTAGAGCCATTGGAGCGAGACTTGAGGTGGCCTACATGAGATCTCGAAATATTCAAGAACATACAGGGGTACCTTCACAGAGCTTAAGCGCAATACACCCAGGTTGCACCTTCCAGCGTGTTTTGCTAATTTGATGAACACCAACAACGTTCTTTTCTGTTGATGCTTATCCTCCTCCGATGTAGACAATGAGTATTTATATCCGGGACAGGACCGTAATATGGCAGCTTCTTACATGCATGGGTAGGAAGGACCAGTGTCTTCAATGCCAAGGGCGCCACGTGCAGCTAGGACTTGGTTGGTTGCTCCCGAATTTTCGTTGATTGTTTCTGTAGCTGTCGAAGCAACATCCGGGAGAAAGGCCAGGGCAGAGTGCAGATTAGTCTAGTTCGACCCTAGGGGTTATTTAAACCATAAAAACTGTTTCCTAATTTGGCACAACCGAATTTCGTCTACTATGGGGTCGAATAGACTATAGTCGAGTCGTAGCTTACTCTATCATGCGGAGAAGCTACTTCGCATGTGCGGGTTATGTCAAGTAGCGTGCGCTGCTTGCTAATCGATACCAAGCATGCCCAAGAGCCTCCCGTGGTTTACTGCCAAATTAGGCACCACTTTGGCTCAGGCGCCTTCGACCCCCTGAACTTCTGGGCAAACTACGTGTTCAGTCGGGTGGTTCCGCATACAGTGTCAGGGAGAGTGGCTGCTCGTTCGTGCGACAATAGTGGTAGGTGATATTTCTGAGCGCCTTACTCCGTGGCTCGTATAAGTAGGTTGTAGTGTGAACGTGGAGAGGCCGAAACCAGTGAGGTAGTGCCATTTCACTGTCTTTTTTCTTGGGGGTTCTTTTGGTGCCTGGATCGGATACGTGGTTGGTACTTTTAGAAGTCTTGTTGCCCTCGGTGTCGCCACAAGAATGATATATCGTGCCTGTCCTGAAGCTAATAAGCGATATAAAGAGGTACGAGAATGGAAAGGTACGACGTAGGAGGGTAAAAAAATAACATACCTGTGTTTAACGTATGTAGATAGGTATAATAGTTGGAAAGGATGGGCAACATTGTACAACTCAGGTCTTTCAATAAAAAAGAAACTGTCCTAATACAAAGTCAGCCTAGGCGTTTGTGAAAGTCTACCTGATAGGGCACCCATCTAAAGATAAGATAGCGGTGCATGTGAAGTGAGTGGACGTTCGGCAGCTAGTCCCGCGCCCTGTCAAACGCCCACTGATGTCAAGTACTTAATTTCCTCGCGTTCGACGGTTGTTCCCACGACCACGACACTGCTGACAGTCAGACCTGTCTTGCCAGCAAGACCGCACAACAGCACGAGCTCTCCTGGCCCACACCAAGCGCAACTTAAACTTACCTTCAGCTTGTGCCTGTTTGTCCTTCCTGCGCCTCGGACTAGACTCACGCAAGTACCCGCTTCCTACGGCTATCTGCCGGCCCTCCCCAGTCTTTCTGACTGAGTCGATCGGAAAACGGTGGGCACCTTTCTCGCCTTTGTCGCGCTCAGCCACTCACATGCTAGATTCCCAGCCCAATGTATCTCCTTGATCATTTTGACTCCCTGAAAGCCGAAAATGGCATGTCGTTCCTAGACCTCCCGACCGAGCTCCGCCTACTGGTCTATGAGTATGCATTTAAGCACGAGAAAGAAAGCGACGACAAAGAGATTGGTTCGACTATCAGATGCCTTCGCGAAAAAAGCTCCCCGTTCACGACGCTGCTTCTTACCTGCCGCCAGGTGCACGCCGAGGCCGCACGTATCCTGTACGGAAAGAACTGTCTGAACCTGGGCACGTGCAACATCTACACCAACGAGGACCCATCGTTTCCCCAGTACGAAGACAATGTCTTCAACCCGTTCGAGCGTTACGTGGACTTCGAGCAGGCGGCGCGACCGTCTCTCTACGCCCCGCTGGTAAAGACCGTGTGGATTCACCTGTCCTCTCACTACCTCAACCGCTGCCACATTCTGTGGGAGGCAATACTGCGCCGGGTCCAATGGCTCACCAGGAACTTCAAGAACCTCAAGGAACTAAGGATCGACCTGAGCTTCGTCTATGAGCCTGATTGGATTGCGCTGCTCGAAAGGGAGCCCGACGAGACGAAGGAAATGCATATCCGGCGTATCCGCAAATGGATGAGCGAGATGTACAAGCTCAAGCAGCTGAAGCTTCCCAAGTGCCTGAAGATCAAGCTTGACCCGGGCTTAACCATTTGCCTCTACGACCCCTTTACTATCGAGGTGCCTCAACGCGGTTTTCCCAGCTTCGACGATTTCTACGAAGCGGTCGAGTGCTTCAAGGAGAAGCAGCGTTGATTTGGTGAGTGGTTGACAGTGCGTTGTTATAGCTGACTTTTGCATATCCTAGAGCTGGCCAGCAATATTGACACTAACTGTGGCTTAGTATTGGATTTCAGAGCGCCATTCCGCTTGGCATGTGACATTAAGCAGAAATTGGTCTTGGTCGAGATACAAGCGTATTGGATCGCCGCTGATACCTAATGCACACTTGAGGTAACGGCACAGCTTGATAGAATGTGGAGCGTGCATACAGAAGATTGGTTTCTATCACTTGGGATAGTTGGTGTCTTTGTGAACAAACGATCAAGAAGGATAACAGAACGATGGCAGTGAGGTTATGGTAGATATATAGTAACCACAAGCTGTTCGGAAACGATTGTGATTGCAACGCGACAAACGGTGGTTCTTCATCTCTGCCCTACAGATTCCATAGCTCTTGATGCCAAATTTCAAGGAGAGGAGTCGGCATTGGTGAGTCGAGGATAGAGGTGAGGTTGGCCCTGCAGGAGATCACCGAGTCAGATCCGCCGGGGCGACAGGGCGATCCCACGAACAAGCTCCAGCAGCAGCTCGCAGCCAGCAACAGCAACAGCAACACACCAACATTGAGTCTCGCCAAGCCCTTCACAGCAAGCAAGCACCAACAATGTCAACGATCACGCAGTCCGCTCTACAGAGCTCTTACCCGTGAGCCCTTCCCACGCAATTGCGCGCCGCAGCCGCTAACCAGCGCGAAAAGCCCTACCCTCCCGAAGGAGTTCAACGCCAACCAGCCCAAGACCATCCGCCTCTACCCCCTCAGCAACTACACGTTCGGCACAAAGGAGAACCAGCCCGAGGAGGACCCGTCCGTGCTGGCGCGCTTGAAGCGCCTCGAGGAACACTATAACGAGCATGGCATGCGCCGGACCTGCGAGGGCATCCTCGTGTGCCATGAGCACAACCACCCGCACATCCTGATGCTGCAGATCGCCAACGCCTTCTTCAAGCTGTACGTTTTACCCACAGATCTCTACGCCAGGACAGTAGTAGTAGTAGCTGGTAGTGGTGGTGATAGCAACGAACAAGCACTGACGCGACACCCCACAGGCCCGGCGACTACCTCCGCCCCGAAGACGACGAGATCGCGGGCTTCAAGGCTCGCCTCAACGAGCGCCTCGCCCCCGTCGGCTCGCAGTTCACGGGCGAGGGCGTCAACGACGAATGGCAGATTGCGGATACGCTTGCGCAGTGGTGGCGCCCCAACTTCGAGACGTTCATGTACCCCTTCATTCCCGCGCACGTCACGCGCCCAAAGGAGTGCAAGAAGCTGTATTTCATCCAGCTGCCGCGGAGTAGTACGTTCCCCCAGCACTCCCCCAACCCCAATCCAAACCCCCAGTGCAACCCCAGCCCCACGCAACCTCGCTAACCCCCCTCCCCCCAAAACAGAAGTCCTCAGCGTCCCGAAAAACATGAAACTGCTCGCCGTCCCCCTCTTCGAGCTCTACGACAACACCGCGCGCTACGGGCCCCAGCTCTCAGCCATCCCGCACCTGCTCTCGCGCTACAACTTCGAGTTCGTGGACGAGAAGGGCGAGGTCGTCGCCGTGACGCCCGGTGGCAATGGCAGCGGCAGTGGCGGCAGTGGCGCCGGCAACGCGCCCCAGACTAAGGTGCTCGCGGGCGGGGAGGGCGGGGTTGATGATGGTGATAAGGACGTGCCGGTGGGGGACGAGGACGCGAAGCCGGCTGCTGCGGCTGAGTAGGCGGACGCCGCTGATTCGGTGCCGCGGGCACGCTGTTTGCGTGCGCCCCCGGGGGTCGTCTTTTGTATGGGTTGGGTTCGGGGTGGGATTGCTGCGTTCTAGCGGGCGTTTTTTGGGTGCTGTGGCGGTGGTTGGGTGGGTGGATAGGTCGGCGGGCGAGGAGGGCTGCGTTTTCTTGCGTCCTGTAGGACGGATGACACAAAATGCGGTAGACTGCTGGTGCCGGGGAAAGAGATACCTTAATATTGCGTCTTTTATTTGACTTGCAGCCCATCTTGCCGTGGCTGGTGCTGTTGCTTTTGTACAATATGACGGGTTGGTTTTTTGCGTTGGTCTTGACTGGAGCTTTATTCATGTTCTCGCCCATGTAGAGACAGTGGGCTTACCTAGAAATACATATAGCTAGCGTACAGGGCCGCTACGGCCGGTTTCTTTCCTCCAAAGGCCGCAGATAATCTGCTCTTTGCATCAGACTATTTATTTGCCTGCGGCTTAACGGCCTAACAAAGCAGGTCTGCTGGACCTTCCAGGTACGCCATCGATACCCACAAGCAGTTACTCGGTTACGGCAAAAGGTAAAAGAGACAAGTAAGGTCGTGTGAGAGTGTGTCATGTCAAGGAAGCCCATGCAGACAGTAGCTATAAAGCATAAAAAGGCAACCCAACCCCCACCACACGACACCACGCACTACGCACAACGCACTACCCGCCCTTGACCTTGACATACCTCGGCATCAACAACGTCTCATAAGGCCCATGCCCCTCAATTTGCAGCACCAAGCTGCCTTGCGGCTCGAAGCCGTGCCGCGGGTACAGCCGCACGCCCTGCGGCGAGCTCTCGACGTACGCGGCCGTCTCCGCGTTCGCCGGGTCGTCCAGCACGGCCGCGATGAGCAGGGACGCGGCGCCGCGGCGCTGGTGCGCGGGGTGCGTTGCTAGGAGCTCGAGGTCTGTGTGGGGTGTGGGGTGTTAGGGCCGGGGTCTCCAGTATGTACACAAACAGGTCTGCGTAGTGAGAGAACGGTCAGGAAGGATACTAACACCAATGCGGCGTCGCGCCCATCAGCTGCATGCGCCGCACAAACAGCTCGCCGATAAAGTCCCTGAAGAGGCGCTCGTTCGCGCCCTCAGGGAACGTAGGCGGCAGCGAGGCTTCCGTCTGCGGCTGCGCGCGCGGCCGCACCCACCGTGCAAACGCGACCAGCTGCCCGCCGTCTGTGTCCACGGCTTTGAGGAAGTAAGCGTCCGCGTCGTGTGTCATCGCGTGCGCCATGCCGTCGCCCCACCACTCGCGCACCGCGGGCGTGTCTTGCAGAAGTGTGTGCGCGAAGCCGGTCTGGAAGGCGCGGAAGTAGACGTCGACGATTGCGGGGACGTCGGCGGGCGTTGCGGGGAGTACTTCTAGGGGCATCGTGGCTAAGGGAGATGGGTTTGGTGGTTAGGTGGGTGGTTCGAGATGGGTGGTTGACTTGGGAATTTTGGCCTTTTTGGGGGCCTTCTTTTTGCCTATGTGTATATATACTGCTGTTGGCCATGCAAGCGTTATGTGGGCCGTGGCGGTTTAGGCAATCGTTGCGACTGATCGTGTGGTTGCTGCCTAGTTTTCGAATGTCAGCTTACTCCTACGAATACGAAAGCATAGCGACACCATTTGGTGCCAATGTCTTTTAGAGTCTTGGAGGAGCCGCAACTTTCTTTTTTAAATGCGGTCTGCCATTTGGCATGATGGTCTGTCGACAGTGTGGACCAGGTATCCACTGTTCGGTTGCTGTGCCCCATGGGGAGTCATGAGCTATGAGAACTCAGATACGTAAACGGATAGTGAACCGACGAAAGACGAGCCTTGCAGACATTCACCTGCTGATTTGCGCCGGGCCCTTGTGCAGTATCAGCCGATTGCCCTCTACCCCTCCACCCCTCGTACTGTGGCAAGGATCAAGCGAGGCTGTGCCTCTTTCCCCGTTGTCAGAACTCAGAATATACCCCCTTCTAGCGCCCGGCTGCTAGCCCCAAGCTGTAAGGCCCTAAACATGGGTGCGGCGTATCTTTGGGACAGCCTCCGATTGGCGAACAGTGCATAGTTCTTCGCTAACCGTCTTTTCCTATGACTAACGTCCGTCACCGTTAACCGAGATTCACCGTAAAGCGAGATGGTGATACTTATACGGAGTAGAATAAGAGACCTACCTAAGGTATATAAAGTCCATATATACTCTAAGACCTTTTTATCTATGCCTAGAACTCGGGCTAGGAGCTAAGTAAGAAGTACGCTATAGGGACTGCTTATATCGTCCTCTATCTTGGCAAGGTATACTTTGTAGGGACTGATTATATCGTCCTCTGTCTTGGTAAGGTGCACTCTATAGGGACTGATTGTATCGTCCCCTATCTCGCTATACGGTGGATCTCGGTTCGCGGTGACGGACGTTAGTTAGCTGTCTCGGAGTCGTGTTTAGCAGTGAAGCGCGAGCATTGGGATGTGGAAACGTGGTATAGAAGGTAACCTGCTGGATTTGTTTCCTGTCAGTCGAGTCCGATAATATAGTAATTAGCAATAACGTGACTTATTTTCTTTATCATATTCAAATGGACGTGCAATACGAGCTGATTGAAGCCCATGTGTTCCGACAGAAAATCACTTCTTTTGATGTATTCTGGTCGTCAAACCACTTTGGCATCCTGGCCGAGTAGTGGACATCGGAATTTGAAGGCAGACGTGAAAGCGGAAGGCGAAAGTTACAAAGGAAAATAGACGATGAAAAGGTTCCAAGAAAATAAACGGCGAAGACGAGAAATGTAAGAAGAAATAATAGCAAAGAATAGGAACCGAGCATATGAGCCCGCACCATCGCCCTCTTGCAGTGCTCTCCAGGATCACTCCCCACTCGGCGTCCGTACAAGAGCGAAGACCAAGAACCAGTTGCGGTCCAGATGGGGAGATACAAGTTTCGCAGGCACGGCGGGCCGTGGGAGGACCTGAAGACGTTCGTCTCTTATCTATCGAAACAGACTAGGAAAGAGACCAATTAGACGCGGAGGAATCCAAAATGCTCGGAATTTTTGAGTTGATGAAGCATGAGAATGTCTTTACGACATTCAGACTAGCGGGAATTGCTTCGCAATGTGTTTTCTTCGCGGCCAAAGTAATGAGAGACCGAGGATGCCGCTAGGTTGCCTTCGTATATACGTCACCTAGTGTAGAATGATTTAGCGGTTCACTCTCACGCTGTTCTTCAAGCCATGAATGTATGCGGTGTGGTGGGCAATGGTTAGCGTGGAAAGTGTTGGCCGATGATCAGTTGGCAGAGGCGCCAAGCCAGAAGCGACAGGGATTCGCGGCAGTGTGTGACGACCAAGGACCTCGAGCTTCCACCGCAGCTTAAGATAGCCACCGCCCAACCCATCCTTCTGCAACCCAAGGGTGTATGCTTGGCCTCCGTCCCACCCTAAGACCCCGTCCTTCCCTCTTAGACTTGGTGTCCCAGAAGAACATCGATTCTCTCTCAGCCCGCCCTTCCACGCCATCGACATCGGAGCCCGACGACAACGACAATCAATCGTCGTCGCCAGCACCATTCGAGTACCCACTCCCCGAATCCCCGCAACTTAATCGAGTGCGACCGCATCGCCACTCTCGACCCTCTACCTCCGACAGCAACAACCCTCTCGAGAAGCCCAAGATGGTAAGCGATATGGCGGGGTTATTTGCCGCGGGGCGGTGGCTGATGTCGACAGACTTCACGTCAAGATTTGGAGGCCGGTGAGGAGCAATATGGTATGCTTGCGATTCTTTGATACACTCTCACGCTCCTGGGGCCTTTGTGCTAACAATTGCTTTCCAGGCTCCGTCTTCTCCGTCTCTGGGTATGTAAACATTGGCATCGACCGCGGTGGCGCATATTCTGACAGCGGATAGTCCCGTCATTGTCGCCGAGAACATGATCGGATGTGCTATGTACGAGCTTGTATGTGGTGCGCGAAACAATCGTCTATGGAGCTGGTGGTAACAAGATGGCAGGTCCGTGTCGGCCACGACAACCTGGTCGGTGAAGTCATTAGGATCGAGTCCGATAAGGCCACCATTCAGGTCTACGAGGAGACTGGTATGGCACAAAAGCGGACGTGTTCCATTGGCAAAGAGCATCATTCTGACCGCATTTAGCTGGTGTTACGGTTGGCGACCCGGTCATCCGGTCAGGAAAGCCTCTGTCCGTCGAGCTTGGTCCCGGCCTGATGGAGACCATTTACGATGGTATCCAGCGTCCTCTCCGCGGTATCTCCGACGCCTCCAAGTCCATCTACATCCCTCGCGGTATCAACCTTCCTGCGCTCGACCGTACGATCAAGTGGGACTTCACGCCCGGCAAGCTGAAGGTCGGCGACCACATCACCGGCGGTGATGTTTTCGGTAGCGTTTTCGAAAACTCGCTTCTCAACGACCACAAGATCCTTCTTCCGCCTCGCGCCCGCGGTACGATCACGCGCATTGCTGAGAAGGGTAGCTACACCGTGGATGAGAAGATTTTGGAGGTTGAGTTCGAGGGCAAGAAGACGGAGTACAGCATGATGCACAACTGGCCCGTCCGTGTGCCTAGGCCGACCACCGAGAAGCTGTCATCCGACTCCCCGCTGGTTGTCGGACAACGTGTGCTGGACGCTCTCTTCCCCAGTGTCCAGGGTGGCACTGTCTGCATTCCCGGTGCTTTCGGTTGCGGTAAGACCGTCATTAGTCAATCGCTGTCCAAGTTCTCCAACAGTGATATCATTGTCTACGTTGGTTGTGGTGAGCGTGGTAACGAGATGGCTGAAGTCTTGATGGACTTCCCCGAGGTAAGCAACGATTGAGTCAACGCAAAGATACTTTGGCTAACTATTCAAAAGCTGTCCATCGATGTCGACGGCCGCAAGGAGCCTATCATGAAGCGCACGACTCTCATTGCTAATACTTCCAACATGCCTGTCGCTGCCCGTGAAGCCTCCATCTACACCGGTATTACCGTCGCCGAGTACTTCCGTGACCAGGGCAAGAACGTCGCTATGATGGCTGACTCTTCCTCGCGTTGGGCCGAGGCTCTGCGTGAAATTTCTGGTCGTCTGGGTGAAATGCCTGCTGATCAGGGTTTCCCTGCCTACCTTGGTGCCAAGCTGGCCTCTTTCTACGAGCGTGCTGGCCGTGTTCAGGCGCTGGGTAGCCCCGACCGCAACGGTAGTGTCAGTATCGTTGGTGCCGTGTCGCCGCCTGGTGGTGATTTCTCGGACCCCGTTACTAGCGCCACGCTGGGTATTGTGCAGGTCTTCTGGGGCCTGGACAAGAAGCTTGCTCAGCGCAAGCACTTCCCGTCGGTTAACACGGCGATGTCGTACTCCAAGTACACCGGCCCTCTGGACAAGTATTACGCCGAGTTCAACCCCGAATTCCCTCGCCTGAGGGACCGCATCAAGGAGCTGCTCTCCACCTCTGAGGATCTTGATCAGGTCGTGCAGCTGGTCGGAAAGTCCGCCCTGGGCGACTCCGACAAGATCACTCTGGATGTGGCCACGCTCATCAAGGAAGACTTCCTGCAGCAAAACGGCTACTCGGACTACGACCAGTTCTGCCCGCTGTGGAAGACGGAGTGGATGATGAAGTCCATGATGGGCTTCCACGACGAGGCGCAAAAGGCCGTTGCTCAGGGCCAGAACTGGGCGAAGATCAGGGAGGCGACGGCGGATATCCAGACGCAGCTGAGGGGCATGAAGTTCGAGGTGCCCAGCGAGGGCGAGGACGTCATTACGAAGAAGTACGAGGAGATGTACCAGAAGATGCAGGAGAAGTTTGCGTCGGTGTCGGACGAGTAAAGGGAAAGGATGAGCAAAGTGCATATTGGACGACGCACGACTGTCAGATAGACTGTATACATTTATGACTTGAGACGCAATCATGCATGCCGATCTCGTTGATATCAGTGCAAAGTGTCGCAGAGGCTGGTCTGGTGGAGCGTTCCTGCTGACCGCCCTAGTCCACGCGGCCGCGCTAGCCATCGCTGTAGGTTGGGCCCTGTCGCTTGGCGGGCATCAGGGAGAGCAATGATGAACGTGCCAGCGAGCAGCGAACAACACAGTACATCTATCCACTCCACAACCCCACCGCCTCGCGCTCGACTGTCTTTGATAGCGCGAAATCTTCACGAGACCACGAGCCATTCTTGACCCCGATAAGTCACTTATAACTCAGCTGTGCGCCGCCAACCATGACGGCGAACCCCACCGCGTATGTACAATGCGCTCACCAACATCTACCCTGGCTAACTTCAACCCCAGCATAAACGTCAATGATCCGGGCTTGATTACGCTCGTTAACAAGCTCCAGGATGTCTTCACCACTGTTGGCGTGCGTGTAATTCTCGCGGCGAGACGCAAACGCGGTGCGGTAGTACTGATGCCTGATCACAGGTCCAAAATCCCATAGATTTGCCCCAGATCGCCGTCGTTGGTTCGCAGTCTAGCGGAAAGAGTTCAGTACTAGAGAACATAGTTGGCAGAGACTTGTACGTCCCCTGATGGTGGTTGCGCAAAGCACACCGCCGAGCCAACGTCATGGACCCCCGAGCTGATAATTTCATCACCCCAGCTTGCCTCGAGGTACCGGCATAGTAACGCGTCGCCCCCTGATCCTCCAACTCATCAACCGCCCTGCCGCCTCTAAACCGCAAGCCAACGGTGCCAGCGAAGGCATCGAGACCACGGACAAAGAGTCAAACATCGACGAGTGGGGCGAGTTCCTTCACGTTCCTGGCGAGAAGTTCTACGACTTCAACAAGATCAGAGATGAGATTGTGCGGGAAACCGAGCAGAAGACAGGTCGCAACGCGGGTATCTCTCCGGCGCCCATCAACCTGCGGATATACTCGCCCAATGTCCTTACGCTTACCCTCGTTGATTTGCCGGGTCTGACCAAGGTGCCCATTGGAGACCAGCCGCGCGATATCGAGAGGCAGATCAGGGAGATGGTCTTGAAGCAGATTAGCAAGCCTAATGCTATTATTTTGGCCGTCACCGCTGCGAACACTGACTTGGCCAACTCGGACGGTCTGAAGCTGGCGCGCGAGGTCGATCCCGAAGGTCAGCGCACCATTGGTGTCCTGACTAAGGTCGACCTGATGGACGAGGGTACCGATGTCGTGGATATTCTGGCTGGTCGTATCATTCCTCTGCGACTGGGTTATGTGCCCGTCGTTAACAGAGGTCAGAGGGATATCGAGAACAAGAAGATGATTTCTTACGCGCTGGAACACGAGAAGCAATTCTTCGAGAACCACAAGGCGTACAGGAACAAGAGCGCGTACTGCGGTACGCCTTACCTGGCGCGGAAGCTGAACTTGGTAAGTTGATACCGGCAAAGGCGCGGTTGTTCATGGCTGACAGATTATTATAGATCTTGATGATGCACATCAAGCAGACCCTGCCCGACATCAAGGCCCGTATTTCTTCGTCTCTGGCGAAGTATGGCGCGGAGCTGGCACAATTGGGCGATTCCCTTCTCGGGAACGCTTCCAACATTATTTTGAACACTATTACTGAGTTCTCGAACGAATACCGGTCCGTGCTGGAGGGTAATAACCAGGAACTCTCGAGCATCGAACTGTCGGGTGGCGCGCGTATTAGTTTCGTCTACCACGAGCTTTACTCCAACGGTGTCAAGGCCGTCGACCCCTTTGACCAGGTCAAGGATATCGACATCCGTACCGTCTTGTACAACTCGTCTGGTTCTGCGCCAGCTCTCTTCGTCGGTACGACCGCTTTCGAGCTCATCGTCAAGCAGCAGATTAAGAGGCTGGAAGACCCTAGCTTGAGGTGCGTGTCGCTCGTCTACGACGAACTTATCCGTATCCTGGGCCAACTACTTTCCAAGCCTATGTTCAGGAGATACCCGGCCCTCAAGGAAAAGTTCCACGCGGTTGTTGTTGGCTTCTTCAAGAAGGCGATGGAGCCAGCCAACAAGCTCGTCAAGGACCTGGTTGCGATGGAGTCCTGCTACATCAACACTGGTCACCCCGACTTCATCAACGGCTCGAGGGCCATGGCGGTCATACATGAACGTCACAACGCCTCGAAGCCTACTCAGGTCGACCCCAAGACCGGCAAGCCTCTTCCCCCTAGCGCCGTGCCTCCGCGCAGCTCTAGCCCGTCGATCGAAAACGAGAGCAACGGCGGCTTCTTTGGCAGCTTCTTCGCCAGCAAGAACAAGAAGAAGATGGCAGCCATGGAGCCGCCGCCGCCGCAGCTCAAGGCCTCGGGCACGCTGTCCGAGAAGGAGGCCCAGGAGGTCGAGGTCATCAAGCTGCTGATCACTTCTTACTTCAACATTGTGCGCAGGACTATGATCGACATGGTGCCCAAGGCCATCATGTTGACGCTTGTCACGTAAGTCTTGTTCGCTTGATTTAATAAGGTAGCAAACTGACGTCATCATCACAGCTTCACGAAGGAAGAAATGCAGCGCGAGCTGCTCGAGCAGATGTACCGCCAGGAACAGCTGGATGAGCTGCTCAAGGAGAGCGAGTACACGGTGCGCCGGCGCAAGGAGTGCCAGCAGATGGTCGAGTCGCTATCGCGTGCGAGCGAGATTGTCAACCAGGTGCAGTGAGTACGAACGACGACCAACAACAACAAATGACGACCAAAAAGGGAGCGCAACGTCGGGGATGAGGGGTGAAGAGTGGGAAAGGCACGGCGCGAGCTGGCTTGAACCCTCTTTTTTCTCTCTTCCGCGCGCGGCAAATCTCTTTTTGGGAGCGATTATGATACACACACAAGGGAGAATTTTGTTGTTTAGAGGAAGAGCATCCGGGCTGACTAGCGACTCCCTACCCGCTCAAGTACCGGCGCTTTTTAGTTCAGTTCGGTTCGTTCGTCTTTGACGTGGTGCGCGTTTCTTAAGCTGCTGCTGCTCTCACAACCTCACCCCCCTTCTACCTGCCTACCTATCCTTCTTCCGCTGTTTTTGCGCTTCTCTCCTCGAGTCGGTTCGGTTTCGATGATGTAGAGGTACGTGGGTGGGGTTGTGCTGTGCTGCGTGGCGGAGGAAGGAACGATGGGGCTGGGATGAAATCGGGTTAGGTTGGGCGGCAGTGGTGGGTGGTGGGTAGTGGTGAGTGGGTAAGGAAGGGGGGTGGCTCGTAGGTAGACAGCGAGGCGGAACGGAGCAGTTACTAGCTAGGTAGTAGCTACCTATCTGGGATGGAGTGACGACGATGACGACGAACGGGAGACGTCTGACGAAGTTGAGGCTGGGGCTGCACACATCACATCACAGACACACTATCACATTACGTTACATTACGGGTTTCTGATGTCTTCTTCCCCTTTCTTCATGGATGGCTTCTTTTTTTTTACGGTTTTTACTTCTTCTGCTACTGCTGCTTCTTCTACTTTTTATTTTACTTTTACTGTTTCATGAATGCGATTCGGTTTCCCCTCTATCTGTCTATCTACTTACACTTTCGCCTCGTCTCCTCTCCTCTCCTCCCCTCTTGCCTTGTGTTGTCTTGCCTTACCTTGCCTTGCATTATTAATCAGGTTCTCCTCGCCTCTTTGCTTGCTTGTTTGTTCTGAAAGAAATATATTAGACTGGCTGGACTGGACTGGACTACATCAAACTGGGCCGAGTGACGTGGTGGCGGTAGTGTTGTTGGCAGGGAGCGTAAGCGTGAGGGTGAGAACAAGGGTGAGGATAGTAGACGTGGACGACGGCGACTGGGTGAGCACGTCGGCATAGATTGCGATACAGTAGGTGGGCGGGCGGGAAAGACGGCGGCGTAGGGTAGATACAGTAGTTAGGTAGTTTGGCAGTTTGTAATTCTTTATGCTTCTTACACTACTGCTGCTGCTTCCGCTGCGCTTTTTTCTTGTGTGCTGGGTACCGTCTGTCTTCTTCTAAGAGGTTATGGGACGTGCTGTGGCGGTGCTGTGCTTGTGGTGCTGTTGTCTTGACCTTGTGTTTGTGTATGAGAGGCGGGGTCTATGACCAGCACTTCACTGGGCTTTTTGCTGAGTGGTTCATTTAAGGCGATAAGGACGGCGACGACAACGACGGGAAGTGGAGTAGATAGAAGGGGACAGACGCAAGATCGAGAGAACACACAGCGTTATACCGCCGAATACGGCACTGTGGATCCAACGAAGGCGTGATATCGACGGCCACCACTGCAGACAATACACAGCGTGTATCAACACGTAAGATAGACGACGCTCATCACCTTCTCAGTACTGTGGTTGTAGAGTGAGCGCTGTTTGCCGTCATATGTTTAGCAGGGGTTCAGATTTGATACGTAACAGAACAGCCCCGTCATGGGTATGGACATAGCCTGGTTTGTAGCAGCCAAGCCACGTTCTGAAGACCGCCTCTGTATAACGTCCGTCACCGCGAACCAAGATCCACCGTCTAGCGAGACAGGGGACGACACAAGCAGACCCTATAGAGTGCTCCTTGTCTAGCTCTAAGCCCGAACTTACCCTAACGACTAAAGACATCGTGATATAACGCGACGTCCATCGCCGCGAACCGAGACTAACCGTCTAGCGAGACAGGGGACAATACAAGCAGTCCCTACAGAGTACTTCTTATCTAGCTCATAGCCCAAGTCCTAGGTATGGATGTAAAGGTCTTAGAGCACACACAGACTCTATATATCGTAGCTGGGTCTCTTCTTCCCCTCCGTACAAGTATCACCATCTCGCTTCCCGGCGAATCTCGTTTCACGGTGACGGATGTTACAGTGTACGAAGTCTATGACATTTCTGTTCGGAACTGCTGGATTTTATAGGCGGGTGGAGGGCAGGAACGGCGAGCAGTCTAGAGCCAATGTATGTGCAAAAAGTCGTTGCGATTATGTGTCATCTCCATCTCTTCCATGCCTCCTTGTCTACAAGCCTGTATACTCCATCGCCTCTATGTAGAACGAGCAATGCGTAACGGAACGAAAACCCAAAAAGAAGAAAAAGAAGAAGAAGCTTTTGTTCCCCCAACCAAACAACACTAATCCAAGCCCATCCACTCGTCCTCGCTGCCGCTGCCGCTGCCACTCTCATCCATATCCTCATCGCTATCACCGCCCTCCACAAGCCTCAAGACACTTTCCCTCGCATCCTCACCCGCAGCCCCCACAGGCTGCGCGAGCAAGAAGTCAATCGCGTACAGATTCTCCTCTGCCAGCCGCGCAACCTCGCGTTGCACCCGCCCAACCACGCGCTGCACGGCGCGCAGCTCGGGCGCGAACTCGCCGCTGCGGTCCTTGAGCACGCGCCCGTGCCGCGTGAGCAGCTGCTCGATCCACCGCAGGTTGAACTCGAGGTGCGGGCTCTCCTCCGCCTGCGCCGCCACGAAGCGCAGCAAGCGCCCGAGATACACGGCCGGCAGGTCGCGCGCCAGCAGCGCGATGTCCGCAACTGGGGTGCCGTAGTAGCAGCGCGCGATGAGGGCGCGCTCGTTGAGCCGGAATGCCATTGCCAGCGCTTGGAGGCATTGGCCCTTCTCGAGGGCTGCGAGCGTCGTCGCCGGCGTCACCGTCACATCGAGGTCGAACGGATCGAACTGCGGCGTCGCGTCCAAGCTGTAAATGAGCAGACCCTCGGTCGAAGCAGCGCAGAAAGCGCGGCCCGTGGGCGCGAACGCGACCGCTGGCACGCGCACTTCCGGCCGGGTGCGGCGAGCGCTCAGGTCGCCGCGCTGTGCGCCCGGCAGCGTCTTGTCCAGCCGGTCCTCCAGGTCCGACGCCTCGCCCGTCTCGTCAATGAGGCCCTGCGGCCCCGCTTCCGTCAGCTGCTTCGAGTTCAGGAACTCCTGTGTCCCGTCGAGCGCCAGGTTCACGCTGACCGTGTACTTCTTCAGCAGCACGCCCGACTGCACATCGTACAGGCAGATGTACTTGCTGTTGCCGCCCGCGAGTACGCACGTCCCGTCGGCGCTGTACGTCACGCAGCTGAAGGACTTGGTGCCCGCCACGTTGGCTGCCGTGCGCCGGTCCGTCATCTTGCGCCCGCCGGACACGTCGCGCCGCCCGTCGAGGCCGCCGACTTGCGACGCCTCCGAGACGGACCAGAACGAAAGCTGCCCGTCCAGCGTCGATACGGCAATCTGCTTCGAGTCAGGCCGGAAGGCCAGGCTGAGCACGTCGGCTTGCAGCTGCAGCGGCTCGCTGGTTTGCGTGCGCGCGAAAATGTCCCAGATGCGTACCGTATGGTCCCAGCTGCCACTGACGATGTTTCCACCGTTGGGCGCAAAGGCAAGACTCGAGACAGGTGCCTCGTGGCCGGAGAGCGTGTCTAGCAATTGGCCGGTTTGCACTGACCAGATATGGATGTCCGGGTCGTCGCGGGATCCGGCGCAAATGACCTCGCCGCTGGGGTCCACGGCGATGGAGGAGAAGGAGAGGCGCTTAGGCGCGGTAAAGGTGCGGAAATTACGGTAACGGATGAGGTCCCACGCCCGTATCGAGCCATCAAGCGAAGCTGTGAAGAGGACATTGCCCCTCTTGGCGAACTCGCAGGCCGTCACACCGCTCGTGTGCTCTGTAAAAGTGACGATACAGAATCCGGAGTTTACGTCCCAGACCTTAATCTTGCCATCGTCGGCCGTAGTGATAATCCTCTGACCGTCCGGAGAGTATACAATGGAGTTCATCGAATCAAAATGCCCCTGCTGCTTCAGGATATATGATTCGGATTGCCATTCCCAGACGAGCAACTGGCCCAGTTTCGATGCGCCGAAAGCAAGCCACTCTCCGCTCTTATTAATAGTGACATGATCAATGTCATTTTGCGAGATGCTGCTCAAGTCAGTTTGTGTCAACGCCAAACAAAATAGAGCCCATACCTCAGGTTCTGGATCGTGTTAAATTCCGGCAGTTCGTGGATGCCGAATATACCGTTCGAGAACCCGACGACGAGCAGGTTGGAGTCTGCATGGAACGCGGCGCAAGTTACTGTCGCGTTGTTCTGCATGAAGTAATGCCTTTCGGCTATCCTCCACCGCTCGGTGTCCTCCTCGGGGTTGCCATCCTCGTCGACTGCACCTGGTTTCGGCAGGTATTGCCATTCGAATAACGCGCCGTCTTTGCTAACCGTGTACATCTGTCTGGTGTTTAGCGAATGCGCTCCGGCCACTCCGCAAAAGCACCCATACCCACCGTTTCTTGAGTTTTTGAAAACCACGCGCCCACAACAGCTTGCCTGTGTCCTGCCAGGGTCGTAGGCACGAAACCCTCCTCTGGGTCCAAGCTCCATATCCTCGCGGTCAGGTCCTTGGATGCGGTCAGGAAGAATCTCGAATCGCTCGACCATTCTATGCTCGCGACATTGTCGTAGTGTCCGGTATATACGCGGTGGCGCACGAACGGCGCAAACTCGAGCTCACCGTCGGCGCCAGCATCGGGCGTCGAAGGCGTGTGCCATACTTCGACCTGCCTACCGATGGCTGCGGCGAATTGGCGGCCGGACGGCGCAAATGCGAGGGCAGAAACGGGCTGCTTGAAGGAGAAGTGGTAGAGGGCTATGCGGCGGGGCACGTTGGTAAGAATTGCGCGACCATCTTCGTCGACGGAGAGGAGTAGGTTTCCGCGGGGGTTCAGAGACAGGCGGGCAATGTTGCGACGGTGGGCGAAGGGAAGGGTGTGCGATTTGTTGCTGGGCCGAGGTCAGCTGGAGGAATTAGGTAGTGATGTTAGGTCGGGCGGCGCACTTGATGAGGTCGAAGACGGTGACGCGGTTGCCGACGGGGGAGAAGAGACAGGTGCCGTCAGGGCTGAAGAGCAGGTTTCCGCGCGAGTAGACGGTGCCGAGCAGGTTGGAGAAGCGAAAGTCGGTCTTCATGGTGAGATGTTGCCCGGAGGACTATATCTCGAACTTTTTCTCGATTGGAGTTCAGAGTTGCGCGCGACGGGCGAATTGCACGGCCCAGACGGCGCCCCTTCCGAGAGCTGCTAGTGCGCCGGCGCCCGCTGCGCTTTCTCCCCCAGGGTCTGGCGAAGGGGAACCTCGACTTTAGGGGCTACACTACTCCCATTCTACCGCAAACACCACTCCCGCCCAAGCATTGACCTTACGCCTCCTCCCACTGCTTTCGCTCGCTCTCCCTCGTTCCTCCACCAGCTCTGCTGAACGCCCGCCGTCCTGATCCCGTGAGATCCGTCTGCTCAGGGGTGCCTACCACCTCCGCTCACCCTGCTCTCCAGATCCTCCTCTCTCCACGCAAACCACACAGCGCTCCGCTAGAGCACCACAACGCCCAAATGGCCGAATCAGCGTCCCCGATTGGTATCGCCAATGTACGTAGAGCTGCCCTCATGTCGCTTGCGTCCCGACTGACCTGATTTACAGCTCCCCAACCAACGGTAAACCACCACCGCTCCCTGCCGCGCCGCCCGTGCAAGTCATGTCCCTAACCTCCTCGCAGTCACAAGATCGTCGCCAAGCGCGGTGCCGCCTTCACCATAATGGTATGCCCTCTGCAGCGCCCTCGAGCTCCGGACGTCGAAACTCACGCGTTAATGACAGGTTGCTGGCGAGTCGGGCCTGGGAAAGACGACCTTCATCAACACTCTTTTCTCCACCACCATCAAGAACTACGCCGACCACAAGCGCCGCCACGCCAAGCAGGTCGACAAGACCGTCGAGATCGAAATCACCAAGGCTGAGCTGGAGGAGAAGTTCTTCAAGGGTCGGTACACGGGCGCCCATGCCTAAAGGACACTCGACTCACAGGTTCACAGTCCGCCTCACCGTCATCGATACCCCTGGCTTTGGCGACTACGTCAACAACCGCGACTCATGGCAACCCATTATCGAGTTCCTCGACGACCAGCACGAGTCGTACATGCTCCAGGAGCAGCAGCCGAAGCGTACCGAGAAGATCGATCTGCGTGTCCACTCCTGCTTGTACTTTATCCGCCCCACGGGCCACACTCTCAAGCCTCTCGACATTGAGGTCATGAAGCGTCTCTGCACCCGTGTCAACCTTATCCCGGTTGTCGCCAAGGCCGACACGCTCAGCCCCATCGATCTGGCCAAGTTCAAGGCTAGGGTACGTCTGGCTAATCTGCAAATGGGATGGAGTTTAACATCTGACATTTCTACAGGTTCGCGCCGTCATCGAGGCCCAGGGCATCAAGATCTACCAGCCCCCGCTTGAGGAGGATGACGAGGCCGGTCTCCAGCACGCCCGCAGCCTGATTTCCGCCATGCCTTTCTCCGTCATTGGCTCGGAGAAGGATGTCCAGACCAACGACGGCCGCACCGTCAAGGGTCGCCAGTACGCCTGGGGTGTTGCCGAGGTCGAGAACGAGGAGCACTGCGATTTCAAGAAGCTGCGCGCCATTCTTATCCGCACTCACATGCTTGACCTTATCCACACCACCGAGGAGACGCACTACGAGGCCTACCGCGCGCAGCAGATGGAGACGAGGAAGTTTGGCGAGGCGCGTCCGCGGAAGCTGGACAACCCCAAGTTCAAGGAAGAGGAAGAGGCGCTGCGCAAGCGCTTCACGGAGCAGGTCAAGGTCGAGGAACAGCGTTTCCGCCAGTGGGAGCAGAAGCTCATCTCGGAGCGCGACCGCCTCAACAAGGACCTGGAGCAGAGCCACGCCCTCATCAAGCAGCTCGAAGGCGAGGTCGAGCAGATGCAGGGCAGCGTCACGCGCTCGCACGGCCGCCGTTGAGCCACGATACGGTGGTGGCTACAAGGCCGCGGAAGTTTCTCTTTCTTCAGATACCTCTCTTTTTCGAGCTTTCCGTACGTTTGTAATGGCGCTTAGCGGACCGTGCTCACCAAGGCGCGAGGCTTTGCGACTCTTAACTTAGCTGCTCCCTTTACTGCTGCTGTGGTGTGAGGGTCTCCGTCGTATTTTCTACGGGACTTTGGTTGCTTGCGCTTTCTTTGCAGAGTTGGCTTTTGCTCTTGTCGTTGTTGTTTTTCTTGCGTGCGGGGGAGAAAATCCACCATCCAAAATTTGGGCGAGCGGGGAGCATGGCACACAGTTAGCTTTTTTTTTTTACATCTTTTTTTCTGGCTCATTGTAGATTAATGAATTCTTGGGTTGCGCGTGTTTTTGATTGCTTGCTTGGTTGCTTGCGAGATTGGGGATTGTGGTGTGATTGAATGATTGATTGATACGCCGGTACCACTGGTCTACATGGGGAGTGATGCGAGTTCTTGAGACGTTTGCGGACATGGATATGGGGGGAAATGGCGCCGTTAGAAGCTTGTTTGTCCTTCCGAATGAGCCGATCCTACGGTAGGGCTAGCTAGCTATGGTATGAGGAGCCAGCCATATGCATGAGGCGGCGTTAATTGAAAGGCCAAGGGCCGTCACATGCCCACGCGCCAAACGAAGACGCCTCTCGGCCCGCGCGCCCAAGCTCCCCGAGACCGACCGCAAGCTCTCGCGCCGACCTACACCACCAACACTACGACACTACCTACGTAGAGCTCCACCACAGCGACATGTTATGACGGCGCAATTTCCTACCCGTCAGATCGCCAAGCTTACGGGCCATAATGGTGAGCTTTCAGCGGCGGGGTTAGAAAGATGGAAAGATGGCCTGTTTGGCTGACTTTTTGGTTCCGTTGCAGGTCCTGTCCATGCTGTCACGTATAGCGGCGGCCGGGGAGAATACGTGAGTCCCGCTCCCAGCTTTCGCGGTTTCCAATCCCTCCTTCCCTCAATCGAGGCTCCCGCGCATTCAGTCCTTCCCCATGTCCGACGGCACGGCGACGACGACCTAGACTAACGCGCCCTCGCTGCCATAGATCCTGACAGGCGGCGCGGACCGGACGATCCGGCTCTTCAACCCGGGGCGCGGCGACCAGGGCCTGGTGATGAAGTACGCGGCGCACGGGTACGAGGTGCTGGACCTGGCGGTCGACGGCACGCAGCACAACACGCGGTTCGCGAGCGTGGGCGGCGACAAGGCCGTCTTCCTGTGGGACACGGTGGCCGGGACGACGGTGCGGCGCTTCGTGGGGCACGCGGCGAGGTGCAATGCCGTGGCGTTTGGGGCCGGTGGCGATGTCCTTGTTAGTGGTATGTTCTTTTTTGGGGCTATCCTTACCCTTGTTGTGGGTAAACATGCTGTGTCTTTGGCCACCACCGCTGATGCTTCATATGCGTGCAGGCAGCTTTGACGGCACGGCCAAGCTTTGGGATGTCAAGGCGCTGTCGAGCTCGCGACCGATAATGACACTCTCGGAGGCGAAAGACTCGGTGTCGGCGCTGAGCGTGCATGAGCACACGATCGTGGCGGGCAGCGTGGATGGGCGAGTGCGCAGCTACGATATCCGCATGGGGATGGTGGACGAGGACGTGGTAGGGGCGCCGATAACATCGCTCGCGGCGACGCGCGCGGGCGACTCGCTGCTGGTCAGCTCGCTGGACTCGACGGTGCGGCTGTTTGACCGCGCAGCGGGGACGCTGCTGCAGGCGTATGCGGCGCCGGGGTTCGTGAGCAAGGAGTATCGTGCGCGCGGCGCACTGGGGCTTAGGGATAGCGTGGTGCTGGCGCCCAGTGAGGATGGCAGCGTCTTTGTGTGGGATTTGCTGGATGGGAAGACGGTTAGGGAGCGCGTGTGGCATGATGATGGGGCTAGGAGGGGGGAGCCGCTGCTGGAGGACCGTGACCGCAAGAAGAGGGTTGTTAGTGCTGTGGCGTTTTGTAGGCCGAGGGCAGAGTGGTGCAGTGCTGGTGGGGATGGTGAGTCTGTTTTATTTCTCTCTTTCTCTTTCTTCCCCCTTCCCCTAGCCTTTTACGGCTTGGAACCTACACTACGTTAGGTGCGTTACTGACATGAGGTGCACAGGCAACGTAGTCATCTGGGGTATGCCGGCATGAGGGAGAAGGCGGACCAGCCGTTCATGAGCAGAACACACGACCTCGAGCTTCTCGAGAGCAAATTCACGGGGCGTTATGGCACGCCATACCAGGTCCAGCCACGCAAAAGGCATTGCTCAAGAGCGACAGACGATAGGATAGACCAATGGACAGAGAAGTCCACCTTTTCCTTTCTCTCCTTTTGCTGTCATTTTCCTATTTCCTTAATCTATACCCTTTCTCCTATGTCTCTTGGACACATCAGAGCGCGTGTGCGTCGTGCAAGCGGAAAGCGACTGCCAGTGTGCGAGTAAACTACTGCGTTACAGTACAGGGACAGATGCCGTTATTCACGTTTCTACGACGCAGTGGTGAGGGGCGGTATTTGATATTCTTTAAAACGAAAGTATATGGCGTCGCTACGAATTTCAATGGTATGAGATGTTGCGAACATACATACAAGATCGATCTTGTAGTAGACCAAACGCTCTCTTTCAGCAAAAGCCGTGTCCATAAAAGCTAGCCCAGACCCCCAGCAAACACATCATCCACGACAGCGATACTTCCTCTCAACGACATTCCACTCTACAAACACGCCAAAGGGGCACGTCTAGCACGCATGGCCAAGGAAATCCGCACTGCAGCAGTTGGTTTGGTGCCCAAATGTGGGTTTTATTATTTAGTTGCTGGTGCTGCTGGTGGCTGACAGGTTGTGGCGTTGATGCTGTTTGGCACTGTTGGAGTATGATGCGCTTGAGGATGTTTTTGGGGACTAGGTTGTTTAGGGTTTGAATGCTTAAGAGGGGGGGGGAGGGGGTTGGAGGTGGGTGTTGTTGAACCCCCAGTGTGTGGTATTGCGGTCGCAAGATTTTTTGCGTTTTCGGTTTGGTGGTGTTAAGGGAGGAGAGGTGCTGGGCTCTCTCTTATAAAGTGATGTTTGAGAGGAAGCGTATAGAGAAAAGGTGGCTGGCTGCGGTTGTTGGTTGGTGTTGTATGCGGTCTGGACGTCTACTTAGACTAACACGGGACTCCCAATTTGCGAAGATGTATAGTGTAACCTGTATCCTATTACGGGTTGTGAATTCGCGACCCCCTCCCCTGCTAGCGCCGTTAGAGCCTATGCTTACTTGTAATACTTGTATGGATTAGAAGAAGAGAACCAGTTACGATACATAGAATCTATGTATGCTCTAAAACTATTTCATCCATATCCAGGACTCGGGCTAGAAGCTAGGTAAATTGTACTCTATAGGGACTACTTATCGTCTCCTGTCTTGCTAAGCTATAGATCTCGGTTCCCGGTGAAAGACGGTTATATAACCAGGAAAGGCGTCTCGGCAGCCTGTAAGACAGTAGCCGGCGACATGCGAAGGGATAGGCAACTGGGCCAGGGACGCTGACTTTGTATTACATTAGCGGAAAGGGTATTTATATGAGTAGGGATCTAAGAGAGGATAAGTGTTTATCTGCACAATGTCTCGGCATTCGAACAAATGCTTGATGCCGCCATGTTAGACAGTGACTCAAAGCACGGCGAGTGCCGCGGAATAGCCCTCTGCGACGTTCAATGTTGGCATTAAGGCGTACGGGAGCTAGCCGAGAAAAGCAAGAGCTTGTTCGGGATGGCCCGAGGATGGGCTGGCTTAGTCATGGCCGCCGTCTGTGTGCGGAAGTGGAAAATCTTAGACTTGTTGCAAGTCGATTGGACAACAATCACAAATATATGTCTACAAGATACCAAAATATAGGTGTAGTGGCTTTTGCACCATCAAAAAGCTTATATATTGGTCATATTTGAAGCTATTATACCAGCTCGATCCGGCCACGACTAACTAGCCCGGACCTCGGCCATCTCCACACGACATCGCCATCGACGCCATTGTACAACCCACACCCACCATCCTCCAAGCACGACCTAGTCACGCAGTCACCATCACCAGGGCCATCTCAGACGCAAGTCGCCTCGCAGCCTCGTGACAGATTGCTAGCCGCGCAGTCTTATCAGCCTGCAGCCCCCTGACCCCCGAGATTTGCGTGTGCGCCACCAACCGCGCTGAAACGCCCGGCCAACTATATCCAAGAGATGAAGACCATTGGTCTTTGTTGCTCGCTCTTTTTTGCCTTTGTCGCTTTGTCTGCATGCGGTGGGCGTGTGTGCATGCACTGCGCGGGCGTGGCGGCTCGCTTTGTGCGATGATGCCAGGCCAGCTGCCAGCGCTCACTTCTTACTTGGACGACGCCAACTCTCGGGATACTTGTAACCGCCCGCCAGAGACTGCCTGCAGCTGCATGGCAGCATCTTGCGTAACCTGGCAAACAGTAAAATTTTCTCGCACCCCGGCACTTGACACATGTCGACACGGGTCAAGTTTGCATGGGCATTAAGTGCCTGTACAATGGTATTGTTTTCGTCTTTCAGCGAACCCGAGGCAAATCACGGCGATCAGCCTCCAGGAATAGGCAGGATGCGGACGCAGGCCCGGGGGACATTCCTGAGGGAATGTCGCTTGAAACGGACCACTATTGGCGGCGCAGCACTGGCTTATGAAGACCTTACCAGGGCTGCTGCTCCTCGTGTCGTTCATGCAGCATCAAACGTTATTGTGCGTTGTTGCTATTTTGGTATGTTTCGCGAGGTGGGTAGGTGACTAAACGTGCGTCGGTCTGGACATGGACTCGAGGCGTCACTGGACAGCCACCATGGCTGCTCGGGCGGCTCGGGACGCAGGTCGAATAAGTAGGCAGCTTTGTTCTGTCAAGCCACATGCGCCACTAGGCCGAGCAGGAGCGGTAGGATTGGTGGCATTGTTGCGTGCAATTTCTGCCCTTCCTGTTATATTCAACGTACCCTCTCCACCTCTTTTTCTTTGACTTCGTCACTTCACTCAGGCAGGTCCAAACTACACTCTTTTTTCGCGTCGACTCACAGCCAGTCTGTGGCTCTGTCATTCCCTTCAACTTTGCTTCACTTCTTCAGTAAGCCTTCAGCGTCTGCCGCCAGACTCACTACATACCACACTGCCTTCCGTTTTCGTCTCCTGGTGAGACTCAACCAAACAACTAAAACACACACATTCTCTGCCAAAGCACGCAACAACATGATCGCTCGTTTCGTCGGCGCGGCATTGGCCGCTCTGTCAACCGTCACCGCAACGCCTGTGGACTACGCTTCCTTGGACTACCACGGCCTCTACTTCAGACAGGAGTGGATAAACCAGCCCCTCGCGCTGGCGCGCCTCGACCCCATCGTCCAGCCGGGCGTCATCAGCAGCCACATGCACTCGTTCATTGGCGCCAACGCCATCGCTCCGACCATGGACTTCGAGCAGACCCAGTCGGCCAACTGCAGCCAGGTCTACGTCAAGCCCGACAAGAGCCTCTACTGGATGCCGCCGCTCTTCTTCCAGGACCCTACCAACCGCTCCTTCACCCTGGTCCCCGAGCACCACCGCGTGCTCTACTACTTGTAAGTTTTGCAAAGCTCAGCCAGCCTCTCTCTCATGACATACTGACTGACATGCGCACAGCAACCGAGCCACCAACGCGAAGACCGGCAAGTCCGACCCCTCCATCATCGAGGGCTTCCCCGAGGGCTTCCGCATGATCGCCGGCGACGCAATGCTGCGCGCGCCCGCAGCCACTCAGCAGCAGCAAGCCGCCATCGAGTGGTTCTGCCACGGGCCAGACACGAAGTCGTCGGGCTTCCCGGCGAACTTCACAGCCTGCCCGAACGGGCTCGCCGGCTCCGTGCACTTCCCCTACTGCTGGAACGGCGCCGACTTCGACGTCGAGCACCCTACCGCCCACATGTCGTACCCGGTCGCCGACGCGCAGGGTAACGGCGCCCCCGACTCGGGCGCCTGCCCCGCTTCCCATCCCCGCGTCTTGCCCCACCTCTTCATCGAGTTCTGGTTCGACGTCACGGGCTTCGACGGGCTGTACGGCGCGGGCGACGCCCCGTTCGTGCTCGCCAATGGCGACCCCACCGGCTACTCATTTCATGCGGACTTCCTGAATGGCTGGGAGCCGGGCGTGCTCGAGAAGGCCATGAAGACGTGCAATATTGGCGAGAGCGGCGATCCGCTGTCCGACTGCTTCGAGGTGTGGACGAACGAGGAGCGCGACGCGTGCGTTCAGTCGCCGCTTGTGGATGAGGAGGTGCGTGGGTGGCTGGACAGGCTGCCGGGTTGCAATCCGGTGCAGCGTGGCCCGGCGCGCGCGACTGCGCCTGCGGACTGCGTCGAGACGGCGTCGATTATCGGCGGTAGTGCGTCTGCTTCTGCTTCTAAGACGGCTGCTGCTGCTTCCTCCAAGTCTGCCACCGCGTCCAAGGCCGCTACCGCTATCGTCACAGTCACGTCCACAGTCACCGAGACAGCCACAGTCTTCAAGACCGTCACGATCCCCGCATCTAGCGTTTCCGCAACTTACGCCTAGAGCAGCACCCGCGCTTGGTCTTGGTCGAAGAAAGCGCTTTTTTGTACATGTATTTAGAGGTTGCGTACTGATGTTAAGGTCAGTTTCGATAGAATTTTAGAAGGCTTGCTGCGATTGTATAGCGTTTCGTAATGAGATGACGTTTTTGATTGAGTGAGGTGTGTGTGTGTGTCTGTGTGTGTGCGTGTGGTGGGAGGGGATGACTGTGCTGGCATCCAAGAGACCACGTAAAGCGAGCAAATAGTGCGCTGTTCTCGAGTATTGAAGACAGGGAGTTGGGGGTGGAGGGTATATAAACCAGCAAAGAAGCCTTCGCAAACCATTCCTACAAGCCACCCACAGCAACTAACAGCAAAAGCAAGAAAGTCAGCTATATGGTTGGGCCGGTATAAACACAAAGCACAAAACCCCCAACCGCCATGCGTAATGCAGTGTCACTACGCGCCCGCTCCCTGAGGAAACATTGGTGATGATGGTGATGATGGTGCAGTGCAGCAGTGCAGAGCGGTGCTGACTGTTAGTGGCTTCTGTGGTTGATGTCGAGACACATCTATATTGTTGCCATCGGGTGGGCGGTGTTGAGGCTGCTGGGTTGGTTAGGAGCTTGCTGCTAGATGTGTTATCGTTAGTACCCCCAAACAATGTACTTTGTCTTGTCCAGTTTCCTTGCGCTCTTACTGCTGATCTCTTCAAGGGCGAAGAGGGCGCAGTGCATGATTACTGTGAGCGATCTTGAGGTTGGCTTTTTATGCTTCTTCTGTCTTCCGTGTATCTAGATTCTCGCTTTCTATACCCTATCGAGGTATGTAAACTGAACTGTATTTTCGCCTTGTTTGTTGCTTCTTTGGATACTGTCTGATTGTGGTGGATGGGTAGATGGCTGTGTCGTTGCTGGTTATGCACTGTTTAACCTAGACAGTTTCTTCGTGGAGGATGAGCCTTTTAGCTGTGTATACTACACTTTCCCCGGCTTATGATATAGGATAGGATTTGGATACATGATATTCCTACCCCGAGAAGCGCAGACACTGAACAATGCACCAACGAAACACCATATCCTACATATATAAAAGCCCAGAAGCACGAGAAACGGTTCCACACTTCTTTATACCATATTCCCTCAACCTCAACTCAGGAACAGCCAGTACCCATCGACCACCGGGTCGTGCCCGCACACTCACAAGCCCACAGCCAACAAACACAACGAACAAAGCAAAGCCGAACACAACAAACCATCAAATAACGCATCAGTGATCGATAGTATCCCACATCATCGTCAAACACCACCAACCACCACCACCTCTTCATGACGCCGAGGCACAGCAGCAAGCACTCGTAGCAAGTACCTATATAAAGGACTCGCATCCAACCTCTTAACCTCCTTCCGCCTTCCTGCACACATAGGTATGAAGCGCCGCCACATTCATAGCGGTTCCTAAAACGCAAGTCTCCGCGGGTTTAGGCGTTGTACCTGACTCGTCGTGAGTTGGTGCGCGGCTTGTGCTGCGGTAGATATAGGTGTGGATGTAGCTCGAAGGATTTGGGGCAGGTTAAATGAGGCCCGTTCTTGGGCCTGTAAACCACCGGATTCCTGAGGGGTGAAGTCTGGTGGGGATAGTTCGCTACTCCTCCCAAACCACACAGCCCACACAGCACTTCCCTCCCCCCCTCCCCCCTCTCCCCTCTCCCCTCTCCCCTATAAACCAACAACCCAACGCGCAAACCAATCCAATCCACCTATCAGACCTAAGCCCTCCCAACAAGCAGCTAGCTACGCCACCTCAACCGGTATTCAAAGCGAGGCTAGTCCTAAAAACTCATTCATTCCCGGGAAATTGACTCGCTAACCTACGTGCCGAGCTCTCGTCGTTATAGCGTTTGCCTTGTTGTGATAGTGGTAGCTGTAATGGTAATGGTAAACACCACTATTATTAAATATAATCAGCCCTTACTATAAGGGAGTGGTAGTGACCCACAGCACCTCCTAAACGTAATCGGATGGCAGCTAGCACTCAATCAGAAGCTATGCACGCAACTAACCAACCAACCAACCACACCAACCAATCACGCGTAGCACAGCAAGCCAGACACAGCTGAACTGTTTAAATTTAAACACGTCCTTTGGGAACGGAGCATGCACGATTCACTGCTTCGGTGCAGGACAGTCCAGTCGGCGAGGGAGTGGTGGGTTTTAATACTAATAGCTAAACCTAAACCCACACGCACGCACGCAGACATGCTACTAACTATGCTACCGCACTATGCTGACCCAGCCCAACATAACCCAACATAACTGCCTTAAACAGAACAGAACACAGCCCAACTGCACTGAACCAACAAACATGACACACAAACAGGACTAAAACAACGACGACAAAGAAATGACAAAGAGCAAGAGCAAGAGCAAGAGCAAGAGCAAGAGCAAAGATCAATTGGCCGACCAATCACACACAAACAAACAAACAAACAAACGAGCAAACAAGTAAACCGAAAAGGCCTTCGTTATACCGTAGTCGTGTGTTGTAGCTGTTGTAGCAGCAGTTGTTGTTTTGGCATTGATGTCCGTCCAATGCTCCCCCTTTTTTTTCCTCTCGCTCCAACACAACGACATTACCTACTTTGAACGCCCGTCTCACCATTTTTTGTTTCATCTTTCTCAGCACGTCCCGTCCCATCCCATCCCCCACCACCCACAGCCTACTCCCTACTCCATCACAAACATGCTATCACCCCCGCCTACGCCCACACCAACACCCCCCTCAGCACCGGCACCAACTCCCCTCAACGCCTCCAACGCCCCCTCCAACTCCCCCTCAGCAACCATGACAGTCCCCGCCCTCGCCGTGCTCAAATAGCTCATTTCCTGGGCGGCCTGCGGGGCCGCTGCGCCCAGGCGTCCCGCAACGCCGCAGACGATGCCGGTGCTCTCGAGCGGGATGCCGCGCAGGTCGAGCGTCAGGGGCACGAGGGCTTCCTGCCCGCCGCCCAGCAGCGCGTCGGCCGCAAAGTGCGCCAGCAGCTGCTTCTCCAGCAGCACCGACGCCGGCTCCGTGTCCGTCAGCGTCAACGACAGGAACGCCGGGTGCGGCGCGCTGATCAGGCATTTCACGAGGCCCAGGTGCAGCGGGTCTTCGGGCGCGCTGCTCGGCGGCCGGTGCGGCGCCCCGTTGCTCTTCGTCGTCGTCGTGCCGTTTGTCAGCGTCGTCGCGCTGCTGCTGCTCGCGCTGCTGCCGCTGCTGTCCTTGCTGCCGGCGCACTGCACGAGCTGGATGCTCGGGTCCACCGTGAAGAGGATGTTGCGCTGCTTGAGCAGCGCGAACGTGCGCGTCTGCAGTTCGTCGATGGTCGCGGGCGGCGGCGTGCCTGCCATCGGCGCGTCCACCGACGATGACGACCCCGAGTGCGAGCGCGTGTGCACGCCGTTGGCCGGGTTCACGTACGATGACGTCGTGTGCTCAAACGCGAAGCCGCGGTCCTCGAGCGCCTGCACGACGTGCCCGCGCGCGCGCTGCGGCACCAGGATGTAGTCGGAGAAGTAGGTCGTGATGAAGAAGATAGAGCTGTAGGGGGATCGGTGAGCCGCCATGGTCCGTCGATGCAGCGCGCCGCGGGTCATACATACATTCCCGCCATGGCTAGGGGGCTGGTTAGCTCGAGGACGCGCTGGCCGGCGTCGAGGCCCTCGCCGTCGACCTGCATGACGACGTAGTCCTCATGGGTGATGGAGACCTGGTCGCGTAAGGTGGGTTCGAGGCGGTCGCGCACGGCAACAAACAGGTCCTGGGCCAGCTCGCGCGAACACGCGACCGAGCACTCGATGGGCGTGACGGAGATGTTGGTGAAGGGGTGCTCGTAGGCCCAGGAGCGGCGGGCGCGCACACCGTCGGCACTGGTGGGGCGGCGGCTCGAGGGTAGCACCAGCTGCAGGATGGGCTGCAGGAAGTTGGAGTACAGGTGCAGCGGGATGTGGATCAGTGCCAGCTGCGTGTTCTGCCAGTAAAGCATCGTGTCAGCATCAGCATGCGGCTCTAGTCTGGATGGTGCGAGGGGAGGGCGGCTAGCAGCTAGTCGTCGGAAGCACCGATTATATAAGAATCTAAGACAGCCACGGCTACACTGACTTGAAGGGGAAGCAAGGTAGACGAGCACGTACGAGAAATTGGATGTTGGCGCTCAACAGCGTCATGGACGAGTCCATTTTCGCCGCGGCCAACCGAGATAAGAAGGAGGGCGAGATAAAAAAAGAAAGAGCAACCCGATAAGCGGCTTGAAAATTTTCCTGCGGCTCTGCTGCCGTATAGGTTTATGAGAGACAAGGGTACAGCGAATCACCGTGGTGGTGGTGGTGGTGTTGCTTATTGATGGTGGTGATGGTGATGGTGGTCAAGGGGATCAGCGGTTGATGTGTTCCTGTCCGACAGGCCAGTGGGAAAGGTCGTTCTTGAAGTTCATACCCACAGAGGGAAAAAGAAAACAAAAGTCGAGGGAAGGAGGAGTCGTCGGAGGAGGAGTGGGCCAGAAGAAGAAGTAGAAGCGGCGGGCGGGCAACAATCAGTCAGAGGTCGGAGTCAAGACGATTGATGAACAGCGCGTCCGTGCGGCCCGGCACGGCGATCCTGCGATTCAACGACAATGTCTGTCCGCGGTAGAAGTCTGCAGCAGCAGCAGCGCCTCGTCCCGTATTCCTGCTCTGGCCATAGGTAGCTAATCTTCGACCCTATAAGGAGAGCGCCCTCACCACCACCACCCATCATCTGCCCTGCTTGAAACGCACAGCGTGGGGGTCCCGTTGCACACACGACATAACTCCCCGCATCCTTGCAGCACGCAGATGCAGATTGCGGGGATCAATCACTCGCGGCTGCTGCCGCCTGCTTGGCTGGCTGAAGGAGTGAGTGGCTGGCTGGCTGGCTAAAGCATCCGATATGGAGGGGAAAGGCTGCCCTGCTGCACACTCCCAAAACAAAACACCGACATGCCGACTCCCACCTAGGTATTCGAGGTTCCCAGCGCGGTACTTGCCTGGAAAGGTAGGTACCAGGGGCACTCGTACTCGATGGTCCATGGTACCTTCCACCTTGAGCTTTTCGCTACACTGCCTACAATTTTCGTATTCCTTTTTACTTAGCCAACTCTCCCTCTCCCTCTCTCTCCCCCTCCCCTCTCCATCATCATCATCATCCCAAGCGCCGCCTACGTATTGCACATCAACCTACCTCCTCCCAAACAAACAACCGGAGCACCCCTCTCCGCCCCTCCAGCCCGCAACCTATGCGCTCTGCAAGCCTCAGGGCCAAAGCGCGCCTCGCATCGCGTCGCATCGCAGGACATCGCAGCGCATGGCATGGCATGGCATGGCGTTGTACCGTACTGTACCTATCGCGGCGCAGCGCGGCGAGGCACAGCACCGCCTTCCGACTCGCGGGCTCAGGTCTCTCCATTAGCGGAGCGTGTGCGGACTGCGCATGCCGCATGCGTCGCTGGCGTGCATGCAGCTCGAATACGAAAAACATACTTTTTTTTTCCCTCGACTCAATCGAGTCTGCCTTAATCAATCGGTGCGCGAGCACGCAAGCAAACGGCAGGCAGATGTCACCATGCATCGCGAGGCAAAAGGAAGAAGATTGGAAGAGCATGGTCGAGTTAAAAAATCCCGCTTATACGCTTGATTGATTGATTGGTTGATTGGTGGATGGTTGATCGCCTTATCAACTGATTGAATGCTTTAAAAGAAGAACAAAAGCCTTGCAGCGACCATGCAGTATACGCAGTATGTACTGCCGCCCCGAAGCCAGAAAAAAGAAGAATTTACACGAAACAAAAAGCCACTTCCGCCTACACCACTCACCCGCGCCCTGCTTACAAGCACTGCGCGTAGAAGCGGTTGTTGGAGTCCGTCTGCGTGCACTTCAGGCCCTCGGCACACACGCGCGAGCCCTTGTAGTTGTTGCCGGAGCACTGGCCGTACTTGGCGACGGGCTTGAGGTCCTCCTGCGCGAGGATCTTCTCGCTCGCGTGCTCGGCGACGGAAACGATCAGCGCGCTCGGGTTCGTCGACATCATGCCGGGGAAGACGGACGCGTCGACGACGTACAGGTTGTCGGTGCCGTAGACGCGCGTGTCCGTGTCGATGACGGCCGTGCCGCCGTTCAGCCCCGAGTCGGTGCCCATCTTGGTGGTGCCGGTCCAGTGGTTGGCCGTGCGCGACGACACCGACATCGTGTAGTCGTTGACAAAGTCCTCGACGCTCGTGCCGTTGCCCGGCTTCAGCATGATGATGCTCGGGTCCTTGGACAGCGCCTCCTTCAGGTTCTTGATGCCCTGGATCACGGCCGCCTTGTCCTCGTCGGTCCGGAGGTAGGGTGCCGTCGAGACGGACATGGTCAGCCCGGACGTGATGCTCAACACACCGCGCGAGGTGCTACCGCGACCGAGGTACTGCGAGATGGTCATGGCCTGGTGGTCGTCGACACCAAGAGAGCTCTCGACACGGGCGGTGTACTGGAGCTGGCGCGTGATGCCATCGGATCCCTCGATGGTGTCCCACATCATAGGGCCGATGTTAGGGCTGGCCTGCGCGAGGATACCGGTGCGGTTGTTCAGGTAGGACTCGGTGTCAGCCTTGACGGGGTTCTTCCAGACGGCGTCGTAGTCGTAGTAGGTGACGTTCTTGTGCTTGATGACGACGTCGGTCTGCGGTTGCTCAGTCAGCATGTGATTCAAGGTAAGGCTCCGAGTATATACTTACGTTGGTGTGGTCGTTCAGGTTCTGGCCGACGGGCAGGTTGATCCACTGAGCCTCGTTGATCATGGTGGCACCGTCCTTGGAGCTGCCGTTGACGACCTTGAGCTGGTCCTCAGGGCCAATACCAGAGCGGAACAGGATCTTGGGCGTACCCATAGCACCGGCGGACAGGATAACGCGACCAGTGGTAGCAGTAACGTTGACAGTACCGCAGTAGCCGTCGGCAACGCTCGACTCAACCTCGACACCGGTAATGTGGCCACCCTCACGGACGACACGGCGCACGCCAGTGTTGGTCCACAGCTTGAAGTTGTCGCGCTTGCTGGCAGTGACGAGGTAGGTGGCCAGAGGGCCGTCACGCTCTCCGTTCTGGTACATGTACGGAGTGTGCGCAAAGGTCTTGCTCTTCGCATCGGGGTTATCGTTGGCCTCGACGCTCTTCCAGCCACCGGCAGCCATCGCAGACGAGATGACGTTGAAGCCTTCTTGGTAGTAGAGCTTGCCGTCCATCGAGGGGTGGTCGGTACCGGGGATGCGCGTGAAGACGCGGTCGACGGCGGACTGCATATCAGTGGACTTCCAGCCCTCGGGGAAGTTGTAGTCCCAGTCGATGGCAGGGGCCCTCCACCAGAGGGCGGCGTTGACGGAAGTACCGCCGCCGAGAAGGCAGCCGGCCATGACGTCCAAGTCGTCGCAAGCAATGTTGGCAGAGTCCTTCCAGACCTGGTTGTAGAGACCGGGCACGTCGAAGCGGGTCAGGTTGGTGCCCTCGAGCCACTCGGGGCGCCAGTTGGAGTAGGGGTCTTTGTCGCCGATCCATCTTCCGGAAGAGGGGGGACCACGCTCGATGAGCAGCACGCTCTTTCCGGTCTCGGACAGCTTGTCAGCGAGAGGGACACCACCAGCACCAGCGCCGACAATGATGTAGTCGTACGAGGTGCCGGTAGGGACGGGGCCACCAGCGCAGGTAGTCGTCTGGCTGGGCGTGGTGCCGTTGCCGGCGCCCGGCGTGGTCGTGGGCGTGGCCTTGGAAGCCCAGCTGGTGTAAGAAGGGTTGCGGGCGCTGGCGACCTGGAAACCGAACTGGCCCATACCGTTGTCGTGCTGACCAATGGTACCGGCGGAGTCGGTGGGGGGTTCGGGCGAGTCCATGGCCTGGACCCAGCCCATGACCTCGGTGGTGCCCGTCGGGGGCGCGGAGCCCGTGGTGCCGTCCTGGTCCCAGTACCAACACCATTGGCAGCGGTACGTCAGCTCGAAGTGCGTCTCGTTGACCGACGACGAGATCTCGGTGAGCGTGGCGTTGCCCGTGTAGATCTTGGGCGTCGTGTAGCCCGTGGCGTAGCGGAACGAGGTGCGGACCTTGTCGCCGTCGGCCCAGGCGATCAGCAGCAGCCTGGAGGTCATGCCGCCACCGTGGCTGATGCCGGACCAACCGGCGCCGTCCTGGAGCGCGCCGACCATGTGGCCGATGTACTCGTCGGTCGAGTCGGAGCCCTCGGGCGGGAGGGCCATGCCGAGCTGGAAGCCGCCCTTGGACGTGGCATCGGGGATTGTGTATTGCCTGGGTAGGGAAAGTCAGCGGGGGCCCGGCTTGTGTGAGGTGCCGGACGCCAGAAGCGCTTACCAGAATTCAATGCCCGATTCCTCGTCGGTGTACTTTGCGCCGGTTTGGGCGTAGGCGGAAGAAGTAACTATGGAAGAGCATTAGCAAGAGCTGGGCATGGTGGGAATGGGATTGGGGTAGGAAGAGGGCACGCCACGCACAGAGAGTAGAAAGCAGAGGCGCAGCCCCAAGGACACCAGAAAGGAGCTTCATGGTGCCTCAAAAATACGGCTCACGGCGACCGGCACCAAAGAAGAAAGAGGGAGTCGGTAGAAAGGCCGGGGAGAAGAAGAAGTAGAAGTAGAAGAAAGCGAGCGTGAAGCGCAAAGGCAGCGATGGGGCAAGAAACAGAAAAGAGCAGCGCGGTTTGAGGTTATATACCCCCCCTCCCCGATTCCTCTCTTTCTCTCACATTAGTTATTTGGTGGGTAGGCACACCCGCCCAGCAGAAACACCAATGCCTTCAACCGACCGGCTCGCGAATTAAGCTCTGGATCCTCGGCTGCCGCTCCCGCGTCGCCGTCTGGCCCGGCCCTTCCATGGGCTTCGAGGCGCGTGGAGCCGTGCCCTGCTCGGCAACGCGACAGAGATAGATACAATAGCACGGAGCTCCCTCCTCTCTCGGTGGGGAGTGGAGGGGGGCCCTACGAAACTTGCTCACTCATTTTGCTGGTGCTTGGGCTCTGCGCTGGCTGGCTAACTAGCTAGTGAGTTAGCATGTTATTTTTGCGTTGCTTCTTTGCTTCTTCTCCATGTTTCTGGTTAATATGGCAGGCCCGCCGGCCAAGCCGTCGCTGCTGCGTTCCGCTGCTTGATTGCGCCGGGCCCCGGGGACTGGGGGGTCGGTTCCATTCCGTGCGCCGGGCCGGCGTGCTTGCTGCTTGGGGGTTTTAGCTCAACGCTGATTGGCTGGATGCTGCGCCAGGGGGCGTGTGTGGGATTGAGTGCTGGGTTGTGATTGTGGAGGGGGGTTATTGCGGAGGCGTTGCGCATATTGTGTGTGTTGTACATATGGCACGCGAGCGAGGTGTGAGCGTGAGGTCTGGATGTCTGTGTGTCTTCAGCCGCCACGTTAATGATATGGTTATTTGGCGTTACTGCCGGCAGGCAGGCAAAAAAGAAAAAAGAGGCGTGAGGAATTGGGCTCGGTGGACGACGCGCGACGGCTGGTTCCATGACTCTCTGTTGAGTTCTCTTTCTCTCTCGTCCGTTCCCGTTCGCGTCCTGATCCTCTTTCTCGCTCCTTGAGACAATCCCCTCGTCTGTTTTGCTCGTTTTGGCCCCATGCACGCACGCACACTCGGTAGTTACATAGAGGCTCCACCACCACCTGTGGAGCCATGTCCTTGAGGAGCTCGCGACAAGCCAAGCCAACCCTACCTACCGTATCCATATCCATATCCATATCCATGCAGTAACCGCAATAGTTACAACCGCAACACAATAGCAGGACCGGCGAGCGAGTCAAGCTCCCGTACGTACGGAGTACAGTACCCTTACGGTCGAGCTCACTCACACACTAGCCAAGCCAAGACAGGCAAGGCAAGCCGCAACGCACGCAACGCATGCACGCATACGCCCGGAGAGCAGCCACTCACAGCCCGGCTAATAATCCACCCAACACCAGCATGGAAAAGCAATATGTACCGAACCCTGCCAGGACCCAGCTATATCACGAATCGTGCACGCGTTGCCCCTCGCTTCCTGCTTCCTGCTTCCTGCTCCCCTCCTCATCTCATCTCATCGTCCATGCAGTGCAGTGCGTGCGTTCCCCACTGTTTGGCTGGTATCGTATATCGTGTATAGTGTACCAGCGCCCGCATTAGGATTGCGATGGGCGAGCGCGCTCGCTGATGCTTGCCTACTTTTGCCGCGAGTACTTTACGCTCGACAGCCGCGTTGACAGCTGGCTGGCCCGAGCTTGCAGGCGAGCATTAAGTGAGAGAGAGCTTGACGTGCTCGTGGATCTGCCCCTTGAATGATCCTCCCGTGCGCGGGCGGCGTGCCTGGTCGGCGCGTGTGCGCTTCCCTGCGTTCTTGGCCTGGCGCGCGGGTTTCAGCTCACGAGATGCGGCGGACCTGGTTACTTACTGTCCGTACTGGCCGAGGCGGGTGCGAGAGGCCTGTGTGTGTATGTACATACCTAGGTGCCGAGGCAGAGGCTTGTCGCGTCTTGCTGCTTCCTTGTTGTTGCTCCTACAATATTGCTTGCTGTCCAATGGGTGTACTGTACCTACATACAATATACACGTACTCGTCGCGTTTGTGGTCGAGTTAATGCATACCCGGCGAAGCGCGTGCGTGTAGTTCAGTACAGCAGGCGGCCCAAACAGCTAGTTAGCTGTAGGTAGGTAATCCGTACGGCGTCCTGTACCAGCCTAGCTAATTACAAGCACGCCTCTCGCTTGCTGCAGCTCTCGGCTTGCCGTGCTTGCTTGCTTGCGTGCTTGGACTAACAACGGGCCCAGGGCCAGTTTCCTTCGGCATGTTTGGGGGTTTATTATTATTATTAGCGTTTAATAATAGCGAGGCGCGGATAGGATGGCTTGGCTTGGGAGCGGCGACGTCGCAGCCGCAATCGCGGGCCGGTGCGGCGCCACATCCACTCACACACACGCCCATTCCGTTCGGGCTTCCGCGAATGCTGATACGTATGTAGTCCTTATTGTCGCATGTCTCAGCGCTCGAGCACACTCGCCCGTCTCCAAAGCCCAAACCACAACAAGCTCCAACAGCTAGTCTGCTATTCTGCTAGATAACTAGTCTTTCTTCTACGGCGCAGACAAGCAAGCAAGCACGTGAAGTGGCAGCGTTCCCGCCCCCGCTGCCCGGCGTGCCGCAAGCCGGGATCGGGCGTCCGGGCCCACTCGCTCCGTCTCTACATATGCCGGGCATGCCGCTGTTCGCTGCTCAACTGTCCGCCACCCGACGGAAGCCGCCGCCGCCGCGCCGAAGGGAAGACCTGCCGTCCGTCCGTCGGCCGTGTACAATACTGTGGTGTTGTGTGTGCTGGCGGCGGCGGTGGCCGACGGTGCTGGTGCTGGGCCGCACGCACACATGTGTGCGAGTGTGTGTTCGTACGGTAATCCGTACGTGCAAAAAGGCGGTATGAAGAGGATAGATGGATGGAGAGAGTGTGCGGCCTGCGAACGTGGGCGTGGAATTTGAGGCAGGGCCGGGCGCCGTGTCTCATGATGCGATGGGAGCGATGGGCGCGATGCGCAGACGGGCCCGCCCGCCCCCCGGTCGCCTATTCTTCCTTCCTTCCTTTCCTTCCTTAGGTCCTTCCATCACTCATTCATTCCTTCCTTCATTCGTTCATTCTGATTCTGATTCCTGAATCAACATTCGACGTCGATCAATCCTTCGACCTTTTTCAAACAGGGTTAACTAGGCGCCCTGGCCCTGGGCGCCCGCGGGGTGCGATTGATTGATCGTGGATTGTGCATTGATTGATGCTTCATGCGTGAGTTGCTTGTTCTCGTATCGTCGGTCGCCGTCATGTTTTCTTTTTTTGGTTGCCTGAGGGGGGGGGTTTAAATACGGGTTGCGCTGCTCTTGCTCTCTTTCCTACCTACTACACTGCACCGATCCATCCGGCCACCATCAATCAACCACGCAGTCCTATCCGCCATCTTCTTCCTCCCTCCAGCCAGCACGCCATCGGCACCGCACCCTCGCAGCCGTCCCGTTTCGCACGCCGAATACGCCGCCAACCGGGCCGAGTAGGCGCTCGGACTGCGCGAGGGGACGGCCCGGGGAAGGAGGAGGAGAGGCAGGAGCGCGAAATGGGAGGGGGGTGGGGGCCAGCAAGAGGGGGAGGGGCGAGAGTTGCTTGGCGGCGGGGCTGCCGTGCCTGCTTCAATTGTTCGAAGGATGGGTTTCTGTAGGCGAAGGGGTGGTCTGCGTGACGTAGGTGGGGTTGGGGGGTTGCTATAAGAGGGCTTGCTGTCGTGTTGGTGGCATGTAGGAGGAGGAGGAGGAGGAGGGTGCTTGCATGGTCTTGCTACTGTTTGCTTGAGTATCCGCTCTCGAATCGCTGACTTGGCTTGTCGATGGATGGCTTTGTGAGTTCCGCGTATTCTAGGCTGTCTGTGTCTTCTCGACTCGTAGCGGCGAGCGGCTTGAAGGAAGCATTCTCGTTGTTGCATAAATTGTTTCTGAACTGAAACTGATGTCTTGACTATCTTTGTCGTATCGTGTTGTCTTGCGTGTGGGCTATTGACGAGATCAGTGACAGTACGTGGCAATTGCGACTCGAGCTTACTTTGTATAACCAAGTGTGCCGAATAACCTCCCCCATCTTAACTATATAGCTCACTTCTTAACCGTGTATGGAGTAAAATTTGTTGTACCTTTAGAGCGCTTCGTTAGTAGTTAATATGACTAAGGTTCGAGGGAGATATCGTTGTTCATGTCTCCACGGTGAGTGGCGCTTCGTAGAGGCAAGAGAATGTCAAGTCGCTCCGGATTTGAATTTTGTCTTACTTCTAGGAGCATGCAGGTATGCTTGCGGTTCCTTTAAAATGCTCCCTGTAAGTTACTCCATAGGTAAGTAGAGAGATTGCGTTCGTAGTTGCTAATAATACTCAAGAGGGGTAGTGGTGCCTTTCAAGCGCTCCCCCCAACTCACTCCGTAGGTGGTTCCAGAGGTCGCGCTCGTGGTTGGATGTATTGCTCACGAAAGGCATGTAAGTTGTCATGTGCAAGGGCATGAAGATATTCTACCGGGATACGAGAGTGCGAAACTGGAAGGACTAAATAATACTTTTAACTATATAGTTCAATCAGCTACACATCACGTATATACGACCCATCACTACGTACCGTACAAACCCAACACTCTCTCTCGCTTAAACCGACTCCACTCTGCCCCTGCCCCTATTCTCTCCATCCTGGAACGACCGCAAAGTATCTCGCCGATGCTTCTCCGCCACCGCAGACACCTCTTCAGGCCTGATGCTGCTGTTCCGGCGAATCTCCTCCTTCTCATGCTCAATAAACTTGACGGGACGTTTCTCGGAGATGGCGTCCTTGTGGCGGAAGACGAAGATGTCGTGGTTTTCGATGAAGAGGCGATCCAGGTCCTCCAGCGAGCGGTCTGCCGTCTGTAGCGTAGATGGTTAGCATGGATCGCTACGGCTTCGGACTGCTTTGGCGGCACTTACTTCGGGGTAGAAGAGATACACGATGGGCACGAACGCGCCGTTGAAGACGGTCCAGATGATGTAGAATTGCCAACCTAGGCTCCTGATACCGGGAGGCGTGATCTCGACCACTGTCTCTGTTAGCGTTACTATGCAAAAAGGCACAAGTAATAGCCACGAACCCATGAAATTGAAGATCCAGTTTGTCGCTGTCCCAAGAGCAGCGCCTTTGGTACGCATACTCAAACTGTTGATCTCGGTTGGATATAGCTGGCCGATACCGTATTAGCTTCTGATGCCCCCAACGAAGACGATATCATATCAAAAGAGCTCTTACCCATGGCACACCCTGCCAGCCAATGCCGAAGAATACGTAGTACAAGAAGAAGAAAGCAATGGATGCCTCAGCCCATTGCTCCGAGGTCGAAAACTTGGGATCCGTGTAGCGAATACATATTGTAATGATGCAATAGCAGAAGCATTGGCCTGCGGCTGCGTACATCATCATCTTGCGGCGTCCCCAGCGTTCTACGTTGGGGATTCCGATCAAACTGAAGAGCAGGTAGCTCACTGAGTTGCACGCCGCGAGCAACCGCGCCATCCGGTTCGACAGCCCCACAGACTCTATTAGAACCGTTGGCAAATAATAACTCGTTACATTTATTCCGCTCAACTGTTGCATTGCTTGCGTTCCCATTCCTAGGATGAGACGGCGGATGGTGCAGGTTCCTCCTTGTTGACCGGTGCGGCCACGCAAAAGGTCCCGCCAGCGTACCGAGTTTTCTCGCTCATACTGGACGGACCATTGGATATCCTTGGACTCAGTAACCACGAAGGGATCAGTCATGTCCAGTGCCTCGAGGTCTGCTATGATCCGTTCGGCTTCGGTGACTCTGCCGCGTCCGATGAGCCATCTGCGTCCCGTTAGCCACACCACGCCCCACGTAAAACGCACATAGTCAGTTGACAAACCTGGGAGACTCAGGCAGCCATGGAACCGTAGCGTAAAGAACAAAGATGAAGATAAACTGGAAAGCCAGAGGGAAGCGCCAGGATACGGATCCGCCCAGATATGAGAATCCAAATGTCACCCAATTGGACAACATGAAGCCGAAGATGTTGAGGATCATTTCGATGACAATCAGCTTTCCACGCCAGCTTGCTTTCGAGGTCTCGCCTTGCCAGACTGGTGCGGTAGCTGTGTTGATTCCGTTCCCGATGCCTGCGATAACCCTAGGGAGCCGTTAGGTTTCTGAAATCAAAGTGTCAACACAAATTAAGCTGCGTACCGTCCAACAAACATCTGCGCTAGAGTAAACGAGGAGGTCTGTAAAATAGCGCCAATGGACATGATCGTAGTACCTATGAGGACGCATTTTTTACGTCCAAGAGGATCGCCGATTACGAAGGCCGTGATTGCTCCGAAGAAACAGCCTACATCGTAGATGGCCGTGACGGTGCTGACCAGCGTTGTGTGTCCATTGAGGCCGAGTGTGTCAAGAAAGTCATTTGTGACAACAACACCACCTGATATAGTGTCAGATGCTTATTTAACAAGACATTGAGAGGTGAAAGTACCAAACACTCCTTGATCATAACCTAAGACATTATTAGCTCAAGTAAACCCGTTACCGCAAGAAGTGTTGTGTACCAAAAAGCGTCATGTCTGTCGCGCAGGCGACAGTGACCCAGAAAGTCAGCCATCCTCCTGTGAGGCCGAAGTAAGGCATGATGGGCTGTTAGCTGCTACGCCAAGATCGAATTGTTCGAACAATTGAACGACCAGCGAGAAATGATGAGGGAGGAAGACCGTATTTAACACCAGAGGTAAGGCCACGCGAAAGTCTGAATGCGCTAACCATGATATGCTCCCTTCTCAACGCGAAGAGCTGGGGAAATTAAGCTTTTGATCAGTTGATGAGATGACGGCGTGGCCGAGGCTTACATGCACCCCGCATTAGGCTTCCCGTGTTCAAGCCTTGGCGTATCAACAATGCGGGGTGTACAAGGAGCTTGACCCGACTGAGGTGCGATCATCCTGGGGAAAGCCATGTTGAGGGGGTCGTTGGCAGAACCACATGGTAGACCTCAGTAGAAGTCGGACTAACAAGGAAGGAGCTCGTGTCGTCTGAGCTCATACAGAGCCTCTGGTCATCCAAGATCTCAACATCTGACTTGGTCTCGCCAAACCTGCTCTAACAGCATGCTTGGCGTGTAAATGGTGGGTTGTTTGGTTGAGATCGACAAGCCATGCAAGGGATGAAGCTGGTATCTTCATCTACGTCAGACTGCGGAACTGGCCGAGCGCAAGCTTTATCCGTACCTGTTCACGCTGTGGCGTGGCACGTTCAGCCTTGGGATCGACAGAGGATCCAAGAATCTCATTCGACAGTTTGTTCTTGGTCCGATAAGTGGTCAAAGCTGGGGCAGAACAGTGGTTTGCAAGACTGGCCAGACTGGCTTCTGGCCATGTGTGGCCATGCGCGTTTGGCTATGGCGGGAGAGCGAAGAAAATGGTCTCTACTTTACCCGCCTATGAAGTGAACACTGAGATGTCGTTATGTAAGAAGTAACATAGCATGTTTTAACGGCTCTAAATCTGCGTGAGTCTGGGACCAATGTCCCATTTATGTCTCTACTAACAGAGATTTGTGGCTTTCAGCCCGCTGCTGGTCAATAAGGCTGAGTGTGGGAGCTATTGCAGCTACTCTATAAAGTGAGAGTGGATTGAGACTTGAAAAGTACGAAGACCGAGATTGAAATAGAGCAAGTGAGATGGGCAGTCCGGAATGCGCGTCAAAAGACAAAGGACATATACACAGGGAAATGAAGTGAATTGCTAGAATAACAACCTACCCGAAGTGCAAAATAAGAGGGCAAAACTCCGTACGCCAGGTCATCTAACCCGACGCCGACGAGAAACTCCAGGTAGGACCAGGATTTTTTACGTCCTCCATGGACGGGAATCGAACTCTCTACCATCACGAAGGATGGTAAGAGAGTTGCCCCTACTCCCGCCACTCCAACGGACGAAAGAGGATCTCGCTTTCGTAACTTATAACCCCAGTAACGGTGCTCTTGCTTTCTTTGCGTCACGTGCAAAATCAGTCAGGAAGTAGTATCGTTTACTGAACTTCGACTGTTTACCATGAAGCTGAACTGAAGTCCTCGAATAGCATCAAGACATAATATAAAAACAGATGATCGCTCAGGTATAGACAGGATTTAATAAAGTAGGACTTAGTGGCGAATAGAAAAGTGTTGCTACCCTTATGAAAAGTCTAATAACGTCCGTCGCCGTGAAGCGAGAGTCACTTGTATGGAGTAGAAGAAGAGACCTAGTTAAGGTGTATAGAGTCTGTGTGTGCTCTAAGAGCTTTTCACCAATATACAGGACTCGGGCTGAGAGCTAGATAAGGAGCACTCTATAGGGACTGCTTGTGTCGTCCCTTGTCTCGCTAGACGGTGGATCTCGGTTCGCGGTGACGGACGTTATGAGGTTGTAGTGGTATAACCAGGGCTCCGAGGTAAATTGATTGCGTTGCGGGGAAGGGGTGACTGTGACTGCATCCCAGGGTAGAGGCAGCAGTGTATCTAAAGCAAATACTGCGTCATCACCACAGAGGGTGATCCGTACCCGTCAGGAGAAATTCCTACGCGCATGACAATGCATATTTCGATAAACAAAGCGATGAGGAGAATCGTGGAGTCGTGGCGGGAGTTGTCAGGTCGTCGTCCGAAGCACATGGAAGAGCTTGGGCCCTTCCCCACATGTCGTCAACCGGATCTCCGCGCAGTGCCGGCTCTGAGCTGATGGCCAGCCTTCAGACACAACACCACCACCACCGCCACTGCAACTATGGCCAGCTTTGTAGAGAAGCTCGACTCGCAGCTTGCCGAGCTGCTCGCGGGCTGGAATGGCGCCACCACCGCCATCGCCATCGCCATTGTCACTTTCTTGGGCTACTCTATCTGGCTGAACCTCGAGGACCCTGACATTCACCCGATGCTACTGGCCCGAAGCTCCGTCGCCGCAGGAATCAGACAACCCGGAGAATCCGCCGTCTATCGCTCACCTCAAGTGCCCCATGGCTATCCGCTTCAGACTGGTCTCAGCATCCCCGCGGAACAACGTTACCAGAGACGCGACGGCGATCTGCGCGACGTTTGGCGCAAAGTCGCCGGCAAGCTTCCGCTCGACCAAGGAAAATCGCTCAGGCACCCAGGCAGGATCTTTACCGTCCTGGGCAAAGATGTTGTCGACCACAAGGTTGACGATATCTCCAAGGAGATCAACATCATCGGCAACCACATCAAGGCACATGGCTGCAAGCGCGTGGCCGTCTATCTGCCCAACTCCATCGAGCTCCTCGAGACCATCTTCGGTATGCGAACCTCCCAAGCAAATGCAAGTCTGCAAATGCTAACAGCCACTCTTCAGCTGCCGCTTTCTACGGATTCTCTCCTGTCCTGCTTCCTTACAACCAACCTCACGATGTCGTAGTCTCGATGCTGCAGAGAAGCGAAGCCGATTCCCTCATCGCCGAGGCGGGCTCCATTCCTCTTACCGACGTTACCAATGGTGTGCCGAACCTCAAGCAGCTCATCTGGGTTGTGGAGAAGACGAGCCGGCACGTCGATTGGAACGAGGTTCCCGAGGGAGCAGGAGGAAGAATCGAGGTCTCGAGCTGGCATGAGGTTATCCAGGACAATATTTCTGAGGCGAATGCCGACCTTCCTGCGAATGTTAGTGGCCAGAAGGCTGAGAACCTCTTCATGGTCTGGCAGGACAGAGTGGGCGGACCAGGCGAGATTGTCGAATTTACCCAACAGGTAAGCATCGCGTTTATGCCATGAAGCATCGCGGACAAACATGAAACTAACCGCCCTCTACAGAACCTGTCCGCTGCCATTGCCAGTTTGATTGCTGCCCTGCCCACCGGTCAGCGCATGAACCCTTCCGACCTTTTCCTGCCCGCAGATTCACTCACGCACTCGTACACCTTGGCATTGACCATGGCCGCGCTCTTTTCTCACGCTTCCGTCGCCATAAACTCAGTCGCAGGTGTCGGAGTCGAGCTGAACCTGGCTTCGCGCGGTATCGCCCCGACGATCGTCGCCATCTCCGCCGAGACCGCCGCCAACCTGCACAGCGCGACGTCGTCCTCCATCACCAGCGGGCTCAAGAAGCTTGCCCACCACGCCGAGACGCGGGCACTGTCGGCCGGCCGGATGCCCACCAACTCGCTCCTCACGAAGTTTAACGCGCCCACTCGCGCCGCCGTGGGCACCACGCCCGGCAAGCTGCGGCTCGTCTTCGTCTCGGAAAAGGCCGGCGCGGACACGCCGCCTCTCACGTCGACCGACCTGTCGGACCTGCGCATCTACCTCGACGCGCGCGTCGTCTATGCGTTGACTGCGGCCCGCGTTGCCGGTGCCATTTCCCAGACCAACATCTTTGACTACCGCCGCGAGGATAACAACGGCGGCCAGCACAAACACAGCCATTTTGGCGCGCCGCTCAACAGCGTCGAAATCAAGCTTGTGGATACGCCGGACCAGAAGACGACGGATGACCGGCCGGCTGGAGAGGTGGTTGTGATGGGTCCGGCCGTGGTTGGGGGCAGAGCGAGCATCAGCGCTGTTGGGACATTTAGAGATGATGGCTGCTTGGCGTATGTATAGAGTAGAGCTCTAGCGGTCTCTGTCTGTGAGGAGCTGTGATCTACACGGCTCATATAGCATTTTCCAGAGTCTATCGCTGCTTCAATTTGGAAATCATGCACTGAAGGTGTGAAGGCTTCAAAATGGAGCAACCCGTACCAGATTTCATGTCAGTAGACGTGAGTGATTCCATGGATTACCTACCTAACCAATTGACCTTTCTAAGAACAATTGAAGATCAAGAGCCCAGGATTTCATAGGTAATCTGTCTATCTACCATTGTGTAGAGTAGCGCGACGTCATTAAACAAGCGGCAAGCGGCGCAAGCACCAGCGGCGGGAGATCGACACCTAGAAGCCCTCTCCCCCACGCCAACCCAAACCACGACGACGAGCGCCCTTTGCGCACCCACTCAATCGCACGCACAGCAGCATTCGCAGCCGCAACAATGAGCCAATTCTACGTACGCCGCTTCGCCCACCCACCTCAGACATCGCAAAACCAACTAACACTGCGCCGCACCCACAGCTGCCCTCATCGCAAACGCCGTCCTCAAGCGCCAGCGCCGCCTCCGCCTCAGCCCCCGCCTCCGACGACGACGACACCACGCTCCCCTACCCGCACCCCCTCCCACGCAGCGACTTCGCCGCGCCGCCCGCCGCCTTCTCCGCCTCCACCTACCTCAGCTCCCTCTCCCACCGGCACCAGACGCTCGCAGACCTGCGCGCGGACCTGCGCGCCCGCTCGCAGCAGATCACGCGCGAGCTGCTCGACCTCGTCAACGCGAACTATGCGGATTTCCTGTCGCTAGGGCAGGCGCTGCAGGGGGGCGAGGAAAGGGTCGAGGAGGTTAGGGTGGGGCTGTTGGGGCTGCGGGGCGCGGTGGGGGATGTTAGGGGTGTGGTGGGCGGGAGGGAGAGCGAGCTTAGCGAGTTGCTGGAGGAGCGGGAGGAGGTGAGGCGGCTGCGCGGGCTGGGCGGCGCGCTGTTGGAGGTTGAGCGGCGGGTGGGGGAGCTGGAGGCGGGACTGTTGCTGGTCGGGCAGTTGCAGGGCCAGAACCTACAGCAGCAGAATCAGCAGCAAAAGCAGCGGCAGGGCAAGAACGCCGGCACCAACTCCGCCGATGACTCCGACGACGACCTCGACGACAACTCCAGCGCCAGCGACAGCGACGACGACGACGACGACGACGACGCCCTCCTCAGCGGCAGCGTGCCGCTCACGCGCCTCCGTCGCCTCGTACAGCAATACCTCGGCGTCAAGCAGCTGACGGCGCGCATCGGGCCCGCGCACCCCTTCCTCGTGGCGCAGGAGCCGCGCATCCTCAAGGTGCGCAACACGCTGCTGCTGGACCTGGGCGTGGCGCTCAAGCAGGCGCGCGCGGCGGGCGTGCCGGGCCGCGAGCGCGTGCTTAGGCTTATGCAGGCGTATGCTGATATGGATGAGAGTGCTGAGGCGGTTAAGGTGTTGAGGGAGGTGGGGGGTGGGAAGAGGAAGTAGCGTGGTTGGGGTGCGGCGTAGGGTGGATGGATGGATGGTTGCATGCGATACGCATACACATACACATACACGGTTACAGATACACACACACTCAAAAAGCTCCGCGGGCATAGCGATGGCGTCGGCGGGCAGGCAGGCAGGAGGGATATAATCATGATGCGCATTCTTCTCTCTTCTTGCTTCCTTTTTACATTTCCGCTATATTTATACAGGCCCGCGCACACGGCTACTATTGCGTCGCTAGGTCCTTGGCCGGCACCGATTCGGGCGAGCTGTACTCGCCGCTCAAGCTGAAGCCGGGCGAGTTGGTCGAGCTCAGCACCTACAAGCAGAGAGTTAGCATCCGCGGAACCCAACTCTCCCTTAAACAGAAAATTACAAAGCGCAAGAAACTTACCACCTCGTGAATCTCCTTACTTATCCTGTCGCTCAGGATGGCCATGTCCTTCTTGAGGCTGTCCACAAACGACTTGATATTGCGCTGGATCTCCTCGGGCGTGAAGCCCAGCTGGCCAATGGCGATGCGAATAACGCCCAAGCGCTCCCTATACTCAGCGCCACCGACCATATCTTTGACAGCGGTCGCGACGTCCTTGATGACAGTGCCCGTCTTAGCCGAGGGCATCAAGCCCTTGGGACCGAGGATGCGGCCCAAGCCGGCCCTGTTCATCTTGGACGCCGAGTCGACGTGGCAGATGCAGCGGTCAAAGTCGACGCGGCCCTCCTTGACGGCGTCGAAGACGTCTTCCTCGCCCACGAGCGCCGCGCCCGCCGCGCGCGCCGCCTCGGCCGCCTTGGACCCCGGCGCCGCTATCACGCAGATGCGCAGGTCCGTCTTCACCGGGTGCGGCAGCCGCAGCCGGTTCCGTATCACGGGGCCATTCTTCAGCGAGCGCAGCTTCACGTGCAGCTCGTACTTGGGCACGTTGGGCGGGCGCCCGACTTCGAACGCGCGGATGTACCTGTTGGTTTGGGGGGCGCGCGTTAGCTTTTGCTCTTTTCCTTTTTGCTTTCTCCCATGTGTATGTCTGCTCCCCTGCATAGTGCGAACGTGTGCGCTGCCATTGCTCCCCGTGTGTGTATATATGTACGTACCGCATCGCGTCCAGCAGCGCAAACTGCTCGGCAGCCTTGAGGTTGGGCAACTTGAAGTAGTTGCTGCCCTTTTTCTTCTTCTTGACGGGCGCGTCCTTCTTGCGGAAGCTCTGCTTGTGGCCTGCATGTTGAGCATGGCGCACCTGCTCGCGGACGACGACAACGGCGGCGGTAGTGGGCTGGAAGGCGGCGGCGGGGCGCAATGCCAGCTGCGGCCGTGTTCTCGTTGTCGAATTGAGGGCGCTCCTGCTCAGCTGAGCCAGACACCGCTGCGTGGAGGCCATGGCGTGTCGCTCTCGCTGCTGCTGCTGCTGCTTCTGCGAGTCGTCGAGCCCGCATGCCTCTCTCATCCACCCGGCCATTGGAACTTTCGGCGCCTCGGGTTTCTCCGGCCGATCATCCCCCGGCCGGGCCTTCCATCAACTTGCCTGTTGAGGCATCAATTCGCTTCACTGCTGTCTTCAAGCTTTCAATTGCCAGACAATTTGCATTATCGACTTTGATTGTCTTCACTAATTGCCTCCGTTGATCGGAACACTACTCCTACCACTATCAAAAAATAAAAATAAAAAAAAACCCACCCACGCACCCACACATCAATCGGAACATCGTCAAAAACAGCGCACCGCGCCAGCAAAAGCAATATACTCCGCAGAAATACCCATCCCATGACCTTTGCCGAAACCCAGTTACCAAAAACCCAAACTGCGCCTTTTTGGAAGGGAAATAATTATAGCACGCCCCAACGCACGAGAGAACGCTAAATAAACAAGGGAAAGAATATCAAACAAGTAATAACCTACGGGGCCAGCAGGGGTATAGTGTTGACCCAGAAGTATTCGCTTTGCAGAAGAAACGGTTTCTAGGCCCTCGCAGCGGCGCCTTCCTTGTCATCGACTTGAGGAGCGGCGTTGGCCTCGTCCTCGAAGATGGTGATTTCCTCGTGCTGCTTTGCAGCAGCAGGGCTGGCGTGCGGACGAGCCTCGTCTGAGCCTGCCTTGGAAGAAGTAGAATCGGCCGGAACGCGAGCCGTCTCATCAGCCGTCTCGTCATCGTCAAAGATGCACTCCTTCGAGAGACTGGACGGCTTCTCGGGTGTGGTGCCATCTACAATGACGTAGGAGTTGGCGTCGAGGCCCTCACCAAAGTAGTCCGAGGTAAGCAGGTCGGACAGCGGCGAGCGGTCCTCTTCCATGTCATCCCTGTTCTGCTTGCGAGAGAGCTTGGAGAGCTTCAATGGCTCCAGCTGGGCCTCAGCTGAAGCAGCTGTGCCTCTGCGGCCCGAGGTAGACTGGGCGGATACACTAGCCTGGTAGTGGTCCGGAGGGGGGATGTTCTCCTTGCCCTTTTCGCGTGCCTCATTTTGAGCTTTGGCATCAGAGTCATCATCGGAAGAGATGTCAAGAACACCGGCCGAGTGCTCCATCATGTTGGTGGCTTCCTCTTCCGGGCTGTCCTCGTGGATCTCAAAGAACCATCCCTTGGGCATGGCCTCATCAAGAGTAGGGATGTTCAGCTCGCTCGTGGCAGGCTTGGGTTCCTCGACCTTGGGGGCCGGGGGATGACTGGAGACAGATCCGCTGAGAGCGGCATCGATGGAAAATGGCAAGCTGGAGCTTTGACGAGAGCCAGAACCAAGCGATGGAGGGTCGATGCGAGTGACGGACGAGCCGGCAGTACGACGCTTGGATAGAAGACCAACACGCTTGTGCTTTGGAGAGCCACGGCTGGTGCTAATTGATGACTTTGTTGGAGTAGATTGTTTCTTGGACTTTTGGATGTTGGAAGAAAGGGATTGGGTGGAAGGACAGGCGAGACGTGGGCTTGATGATGCCGGCTTGATGGCATCGGTCAAGGGGAGTTTGGATGCCTTCTTGGGTGATCCATCGGGAGCCTTGGAGCGCTTGGTCGAGGAATTGAGCGAGGCGGGGTCGACATTTTCGCCGTCATATTCGTCATCGAAGGACGAGGTGGTGTGGCGACGTTTTGACGGCGAGGTCGATGAAAGCTTTCCCGGGGCAGAAGAGTAGGCAATGGAGGCAGGGATGGCTGCAGATGGAATAGATGAGCTGGATGTTCTGAAGGCAGACAGGCAGGCAGGTTGCGTCGGGCGGGCGCGCGTGGACGGAAAGTCAGACAGCCTTACAGTTCTGGCGGTTCTTTGTGCTCGCAAGGCTATGCAGGCGAGGGCAGTCGAGGGCCGCAAAGGGCTGGCGGGCAGGGAGATGAGCAGTCATGTTTTGGAGGAGGGTACCGAGGGACGGATGGCAAGCGTAGCGGAGCGTGGAGGTGTCGTAGAGCAAAATGAGCGAGTCGCGAGACGCGCCTCGTGCCGGTGGGGTGCCGTGAGCGGGAAATCTTCTTTCAGCCTCGACCGAGGGCGGAGCAAGATTACGAACAGCACTTTTTTACAAAAAGCGAGCTGGAGGAGAGAGCAGAGGGATGAAAAGTGAGACAGCGAGGGCGGCGCGGGTGTATATCAGACTAGCCAAGAAGACGACACGCGCCCGTAAGCTTCCAGGCGCGCGGGCTAGGAGCAAGGGAAGCGAGCAGCGCGTTTAAGCGTGTGGGCAAAGGCGTAAAGCGGCGTAGTGCAAGCAGGTTTTCGCGTGCCTGAGGCGCTTCCCGTGCCGCGCTGCTGTCCAAGCACCCGCGCCTCGTCGCGACTTGGACGCGGGCGTGTCGGCACGCGTTAAGTGTTCTGTCGCGTCTCACTATCGTCTCATCACTCATCACTCTTCCCACTCTCCTCCCTTGCTTGCTTGCTTGTATGTTGCACCCTCGTGACAGGCAGGCAGGCGGCTCCAAGACCCTGACCCACAACCATCCTCCTCCACAGCTGGACGCCTACCCGGATGATGTTCACAGGGTCTTGAGAGAGAGAGAAACCCCGCCTTCAGCTCGCCGATCCTCTCCAGTCTCCACAGGATGCCCTCGCCCGCCGAGCTATCCGTACTCGTACCTCCAATCCAATGGACACTTGACGTGACGCCACGTGAAGCCAACCTCTCGATCCGGAATGGCCATTCCCGCCATGACATCGAGACATAAGCACCATGGTTCTCCCCGAAGGCTACTTTTTCAAAATATAACTTGCTTCCGCTTGGGACTGAAAAACTTATCGATAGAATCAGGATGATTTGGTTGTACTCTTTTCCGCTAAACCTAGACGTCATCACGTCCCGCAAGTATGCTAGGAGTACCCCAGCATGGCCACGGAGCAATGGTTCTTGCGCGTCACTACACTGCTTCACGCTTCTCGTAATCGCACTGCTCTGTTAGTAACCACTACACCTTCTCCCAGAAGAACCGCTCAATCTAACACCGCCAACCATTCACCAGCACTCACGCCGCCCGCTCACGCAATCCCCGTCTCTCCCAGCAGTAACAACACCCCCATTCGCCTCAACCATGTCCAGTTCAAAGCAACGCACAACTCCTACCACCGCGAGCAACCGCTCCTCTCACGCCCCTTCTTCAAGCTCCTCCTCCCCTCCCCCCAAAACTACTACTACTCCCACGCCTCCCTCACGGACCAACTCAGCGCCCAAAGCGTGCGCAGCTTCGAGCTCGACCTGCACGCCGACTACGCCGCCCCAGGCCAGTACAGCAACCCGCTGATCGCGCGGCTGGCCGAGCTGCCCGCCCCGCCCCAGCGTTGGACGGAGACGATGCGCCAGCCCGGCGCCAAGGTGCTGCACGTACCGGACGCGGACGTCTTCAGTAGCTGCGCGAGCCTAGCCGCCTGCCTCGCCGAGCTACGTGCCTGGAGCGAGGCGCACGCCGCACACGTCCCGCTAGTCATCGACCTAGAGTTCAAGCAGCCAGACGAGCGCATGGCGCGGCTCGGGGGCACGAAGGGCGAAAACTGGACCACCGCGACGCTGGAAGCCGTAGACGCCGAGATCCGGGCATCGCTGGCGCCCGCGCAGCTGCTGACGCCCGACGACCTGCGGCTGCGGCCCGATGCCGTGCGCCGCAACCTCACGCTCGAGCAGAGCGTGCTGCAGCTGGGGTGGCCGGAGCTGCGGGATTGCCGCGGCAAGGTCCTCTTCGTCATGGACAACGACCCCGAGCCCGGGTCTGTCCGGGACGCGTACCGCGCTGGCGGACACGCCAATCTCGACGGCAGAGTCGTCTTTACTAATTCTGTCCCTGGCGAGCCGGACGCCGCGTTCGTCAAGCGTAATGATCCGAGGGGAAAGGCGAACCGCGCCGAGATCCAGGATTTGGTGCGCAGAGGCTACTTGGTGCGCACGCGTGCGGATGAGCCGCTTGATACCGTGTTGACGGGTGACGTGAGGAGGCGGGAGGAGGCGTGGGCGAGCGGCGCGCAAATCGTGAGTACGGATTGGCCGGCTGTGGGCATGGCCGCGCGGTATGATAGCGACTATGTTGTCGAGCTGCCGGGCGGAGGGACTGTGAGATGCAATCCTGTCAATGCGCCAAAGGGGTGTGTGGACGCTGAGTTGGAGAAGCTGTGGCTGCCGGATGTTATAACGAAGGCTCCGGCACAGAATCCCATGGTGTGAAGACGTTGTGGGAGATTTGGAAAGGAGTCTACAACGGTCGGAGGGGGAAATGTTGTTACAGTTTATATACCCTCATGAGCGGCATCGTTAGCTACGAACGTAAGCTCTAGGCCTATATAAGAAGTAATCCATAGGGAGCGTTCTCGTCTACTTATAGGAGCATATAAGCCTGTTTGCAGTATTTTCAATATCGAAATTCAGGTTGACTTGGTACAATTTTGCTTCTACGAAGTACCGCTTACCGTAGGGATATGAATAATATTATCCTCTCTTCGAGGCCAGAATAAGGCCAGGGAAATGAAGGTTGATATGTCTCTGCCATGTACATCCAATTCCGGTAGCTTGATTGTCTTTTTTCTCATGGCATTTCCCTCATTTTAAACCCATTAACATGCAAACATTAACCCATAAACAAACCTCGAACCGATTGTCCCAAGCAATCCTTGGTAGGAGCGATAGCGTCCGCAGCCAGGCATCTAGTTGTAACCCCTTCTCCGGCTCTTTTTTTTAATGACTTGTGTCCACCACTTGATGAGAACTGACGAGTCTTCCCCACATTTACAAAATGCCAACGCCCATAAACCAGCGTAATGCAAGATGCATGAATCACCGAATCCCCATCCCGCCAAACGCCCTGTCTAGCTCTTCACCCTCTTTATTGTTCTCCACCACACCAGTCATCGGACCAGCACCGCCCTCGTCAGCATCCAACAAGCTCCGCTGCTGCTGCTGGCCGGGCAAGCCCTGCTGCTCCGCACCGCCCTTCCGCTCCGGTACCAGCAACTTGACCTCCTCATCCAGCCAGCCAGGCGCAACACGGCGCTTCTCAGCCAAGTCGCGCTCGCGGATCTGGTCCTCCCACTTGCGGACCGTGGCCTGCGCGTCCTCGGTCAGGCGGGTCAGGTGCGCCTGCAGCGCGCGGCACGACGCAATGATGTGGTCGGGGTGGGCGGCGTGGCCCGAGGACGAGGTCACGTACGCGGGCTTTGGCGGAGCGGCGTTGGCGTCCGCGGACACGTCGGCGGCGGGCGCGGTCGCGGGGACGTCGGTCACCGACGGCGGAAGCGTCGACGGCAGCGTTTTGTAGGCGTAGGGCAGGGGCGTGGCGGTGGGGAGAGAGACGAAGGGTGACACGGTGAGCGGGACTTGTGCTAGTAGAGGGTGCGGGTCTGGTGTGCATGGTTAGCTGCTGGGTGAAGATAGGTACAGAGGTGGTGGGTGGATGCGGCCTACGTTCGTCGTGCATGGCGGAATTCATGGTCGGCTGATATGTACTCCGCAGAATGCGGGGAAGTAGGTCTAGGAGAGAACGGCAAGCGGATAGCTAAAGAGTAGTGGCTTGGGGATGAGGGCCGACAGCGGCGAAGGTGCTAAGTCCGAGGGCTGGCCGAGTTAGTCGTGTCCGGCTGCAGCATGCACGGCGACGGATACAAGAGTACGTAGAGACAGTTGAAGATTACTCTTCAGTCACGCCTCTCCAACTCTCTGGTCTCCCGAAAACAATCGCTTCATTTCGTTGTCATGGTCGGCGACGGCGACGTGGTCCAAGCTCCCAGACTTCCCCGTTGAAGTCATCAGCCCTATGAATGGCCTGATTCTTGAGGATCCATCCGTCAACCCTTTTTTCCTCCCACAACCCGCGCCAGACCCATTGCCGATTGCACCTACGGACCACCTCCCCCTCACGCCACCATCATGAACACTGTAAGCATGCCCTGCTCCGCTCGCCCTCGACGCGCCTTGCTCACTCGCCACAGATCCGATCCACCGCGTACGTCACCACCGTCCGCACCACCCATCTCCCGCTCAGCACGAAGCTTACCAGACCTCGCGCAGCTACGGCTGGGGCGTTCTGATCGTCGGTATGTCCAGCCCCACGGCATCAATGCCTCGCACCGGGCACCAGCGGCGGCGGCAGCGGCCCGCGCCCCTCCCCCGCCGCCCCGACACCGGGCCACCACCACCACTACAAGCAGTACACTGACACAGACATGCACGCAGCCGGCGGCGGCGCCTACGTCTTCGCCAAGAAGCAGATCAACGCGGAGCGGGCCGAGAAGGCGGCCACGGACCGGCGCCGCAAGGAGCAGCAGCAGCGCCTCGAGGCCTCGGCCTACATGCCCTCGAGCAACACGACGGGCGCGGTGCCCATGAGCGCCGCCGACGCCACGGGCCCCAGCGCCAGCCCCAGCCAGCAAGCGAGCCAGGACCCCGCGCCCACGCGGCACGCCCCCGAGACCGAGGGCCAGCGCGTCTTCGAAAAGAGCAAGTACGAGGCGGCCGAACCATTCAGAAGCCGCAAGGGCGACCGATTCAGTTAGGCTGAGACTATACCTTTGTGTACAAAGCAGATGAGATGACGCGTTGGAGCGATATGAGAGCCGATGGGCTGCTGGATGATGAGGTGATGTGTTTTTCGAAACAGCAAAAGTGTGCTATTATCCTGGAGAAAAGAGTTGCTTGAAAGGGCAGGAAGATCGACACCCCACTCTGTACTAAAACATTGACCACACGGCATTGGGGGATTTTTGCGTTTAGGTGTCAGGTGTAGTGTGTTATTGTTCTGCGTCTGCGGACGTTGGTTGCTTTCCCCCCCACCGTTGTACAGCGCGAAAGATATGATACTCGGAACTTCCAATATCAACAAAGATCAAGAAAACCAAAGACGCCCCTCGCGCAATCCCGTAGGAGCGAGCGAATGTCTGAACGATGCAGCCCTCCTGGTATAATGCCTTGAACGCCATGCCCATGCCCTTCCTCCCCCGATTAGGAATATTCATCCCATCCTTGCGCCTTCGTGATCCGCCGTGATGGGCGGAGATAAGATGCCCGCGATCGGATCTAGAACTTGGGGCTTGGCGTGAAGGGGATCGGCGGCCTATTGCAGGAGCGGTCAGCAAAAGGAGTAGCGGACGGGAGATCCAAAGGGGGACGGCTTACTTGGTCAGGTAGGAGCCGTCCTTCTTGGCCTTGCGCGTCTGCATGTACGGCGGCACGAAGGGTAGCACGACGCCGGCTGTGATGGCGCAGTTGGCGACGAGCAGCTGCAGGCGCGTGGCCGGGCAGCCGCGAATGTAGGTGCCCGACGAGTAGCGGCGGATGGCAGCAATGGACATTTTTGCTGGTGGTTGTGGTTGTTGCTTGCGCGGGGTGGCTGGAGGCGGGGCAGGTGGGCAATCAGCTTATGGTTGCAGGGAGGGAGGAGGGAGGAAATCGGATGGTATTAATATATATGAGGGGTAGAGAGGGAAGCGGGAAAAATAGGAAAGCGGAAAGCAGCCCATGGGCAGATGATGGCGGGATTTATGGCGCCTTTTTTTTCTTCTCATTCCTTGCTAAAAAGTACAAGAGGCAACAGGCAAGAAAACGTACCACACGAGTCGACGCGTTGATGATCGCAACTTTGACAGGGCTGAGGCAGGTACCGACGCTAGAGCCGAGACGGGCCGCCTGGAGAACAGTGTTGCTGGTGGTGGAAAGCTTCCGCAGTCGGGTTATTTTTGGGATCGTCAGGGTCCGTTGGAGACGGGCTGCTGCTGCTTCTGGAGGAGGGCGAGGAAGACGAAGAAGTGTTACAAGAGCTGCTGTACAAAGGCGAGGCGCGCAGGACGAAATGCAGGTTCAAGCAGTGATGCGATGCAGAGGACATGATGGCGATAAAGAGGGCCCCGCTCCTCTCCATCAGCTTGCGCTTTCGAGCATAAAAGACCCGCCAAGCCGCCGCGCAATGCGTGACCATCAGGCCATATTTCGCCCTCGCCAGCCGCGCTCCTGGAGCGCCCCCGCGCGCCTCCCCATCGGGCCAGCCCGTGGGTGGCGTCGTCACACGGCAGCTCGCCATCGCACCTTTCGGGCAGGAATCGTCGCCAGCCTCGGCGCTACTTCCGCACCCTTTGCGTGTGCCATGCGCGTCCCCCCCATCGACAATGACGACGATTGTCTCTCTTGACTCTCTTCCCTTGCCCGTCGTGGGGGGGCCTTGCGACTCTCTGGGGCCCGTGGAGGGGGGGGACCGTGTGCTGGGCTGCGTGGGCGAAATGAGGGGTCGGGGGAGTCGTGAATGGGTAATTCTAAACGCGGATGCTCCCGCCCACGCGGTTGGCATTTGGTAGAGGCTGCAGGCACCGTCCACTGATCCCCCTCCCATCTGCCCGGCGTCAGCTCTCCTCCTTTCCAACACTCCCCTTTCAAATCACCGCCTTCCCATTGGTCCCCGTGTCCGCGCTCCTTATCCTTCGTCTGACTCTTCGCGCCCGATCGGGTATGTGGTCGACGACGCCGGGTAGAATCGTAAATTGGGCTCTCTATGGCGCAATGACTATCTCCATCAGGCGCGCCGGGAAAGAGATTCCTTGGGTCCAGAACACTGCTCCGTACCCAGTTGTCGGGCAATGGTTGTTGCTACGTCGATGTTGCACTTGTTTTAGGGTGAGGCGCAGGCGGACGATAACGAAGCCTGGAGCGCGATAGTGCCCTGGGGCGCTAGCTGTCACTTCCTGCCCCTCTCCAATCACATTGTCAGTATTTGTCAGGAGCCTTCGTGTCGCAGGAATGGCTTGGAATCCCGGCAGTTGGTCCGCCTCTGCAACTACCTACACAACAAGTAATTCATCGGCATTCATTCTTACTTTTGTCTTTTCTGACATTGGTTCACGGCCCTGGCGCTCCACGCGTTCCTTCTCCTGTTCCACTGTGGGGTTCCAGCTTGCACCGAGCACTAGCATTTCAGGCTGTGCTTTCTCCTGTCTCACTCAGCGCTTACACTGGCATGTCCCTTGGTTCGTCAGGGGTGCAAGTTCTCCGGGATAACACGAAGCGTGAAAGGACAGCTGGTTATTTCTCGCCCACTCGTCACAGCTTCGCGTCATGGACCGGGCATGAAAATACGGTGTAAACCAAGACATTGCATTGCAATATTAGCACCGCATTTTAAGAATATTCTGACTCGGTAGGGACACGAAGACTCATGTTCCAGCTCCCTATAGAACTTTCGGTGGATGTACCAGTCATCCCTTTCCCAAAAGTTAGGAGTTACTGTGAATACCCAAGGACGACCGGAAGCTAAGTGGCTTAACATCAAATCATAACGCTCATCAAACAACTACGGCGTCTACCTACCGTAACAATAATCTCTATCCAAGCAACTAACGTTCGTCACCGTCAAGCGAGGTACACCACCCGTCGAGATATTGACGCCTGTACGGAGAGGAAGAGAAAATCCAGCTAAGGTGGTTGTAGTATGTGTGTACTCTAAGACTCTATCACTCATATCAAGATTTATGCTTGTAGCTAGACAAGGAGTGATTCGTAGGGACTGGTTGTATCGTTCCCTGCCTCGCCAGATGGTGAATATCGGTTGACGGCGATGGACGTTAGAAACACTTTAGAGACAATTCAAGGTCCTCTTCTATTCCGCTAAACCGTACATATGTGACCGTCTTCTGGGTGCAATAACAAGACGGATATTCTGGTTCCACTCTTTCGGTGGCCGTATCGTAGTCGTAGCCGGGTATTTGAAGCATATTTTGCTGCGGCCATCTGTGGACTAGTAGGATGAGGTTCGAAAGCACAGGAAGATACAGGCGACGGTAAGAATGGAGTGAGATGATAATGATGACGGTGTTGGTTTGCTTGTGGTGATGTCGGGAGTCAGGTGGGTCCTGGACAGCCCTACGAACGAGTCATACGATGCGCGGCCGATCTCCAAAACACAACACGCCCGACACCAACAACAACCTCCCATGGCGCCTCCCCCACACCTGAGCTTATGGAGAAGTTCCTACGCGACTGGCGAAAAGACGCCCTAGATAAGCACCAGCATGACTCTGCCATTTTCATTGGCGACAAGCTGCTCGCTATAACCAGTGCGTCATCTTCACACCTCTGCTTCGTACAACCTCTAACGCTGCTTCAGACAGTGACCAAGATGCCCAATGGCTGGCCAAGGCGCACTTCGAGACCGGAAACTACGCGCGAGCCCAAAGCATCCTCTCTCAAATACTATCGAAACCGGACGCTGGCGCAAACAATCCATCATGCAAATACCTGGCCGCCCATTGCTGTATAAAACAGAACAAGTACGAGGAGGCCATGTCTATCCTTGGTGAAAAGAACCCCGTGCACCTTATCACCGGCCCGGACAATGCTCGCAAAAAACTTCAGCACGTATCTACCGACACCCGAAATGCCACGAGTAGGTCGCATCACCACAAGTCCGGCTTGCGCAGCGATCGTGTGGATCGGAGTGAAGAGCGCGAAAAGGAAGACCTCTCCAACATCAAGGCTGAAGCCTCAATGTGTTATCTGAGAGGCGTCTGTTTCGCGAAGCAGAACGCTTTCGACCGGGCCAAGGAATGCTACAAGGACGCTGTACGCATTGATGTGCAGTGTTTCGAGGCGTTCGATCAATTGATGAAGAACTCTCTCATGTCTCCAGAAGAAGAATGGCAATTTTTAGAATCCCTCGACTTCGAAACGATACCCGCGAGTGATCCTTCATCGGCACAAGAGGCGGCCGAGTTTACTAAGATGCTCTACATCACACGCCTTTCCAAATATAAGAATTCAGACCAGTTCACGGCTGCAACGGAGGCGCTCTCGACGCACTATAAGCTCGGCAATAATCCTGACATATTGCTTTCAAAGGCCGAGCAGTTGTTCACTCAATGCAAGTTTCACGAAGCGCTTCAGCTGACCTCCACGATTCTGGAAAAAGACAAGTACAACTTTACTACTCTGCCCATTCATCTGGCCTGCCTGCATGAACTCAACCTGAAGAATGCGCTCTTTCTGCTTTCGCATGATCTAGCCGATACTCACCCCGACGAGCCGACCTCCTGGCTTGCAATCGGAGTGTACTATCTCACAATCAACCGAATAGCTGAAGCGCGCCGCTATTTCTCCAAAGCCTCAATGATGGATCCACACTTCGGCCCGGCGTGGATTGGCTTCGCACACACCTTTGCGGCTGAAGGCGAGCATGACCAAGCAATCTCCGCTTACTCGACCGCAGCCCGTCTGTTCCAAGGAACTCACCTGCCACAGCTGTTCCTAGGCATGCAGCAGCTCCAGCTGCACAACCTATCTCTAGCCCAGGAATACCTCAACACAGCCTACCAGCTCTGCCAAGACGACCCTTTGCTCTTGAACGAACTCGGAGTCGTCTTCTACCATCAGGACCACCTCACCGCGGCCATCAAAATCTTCAACATGGCTCTCGAGACGTCAGAAAAGCTTTCTCTCGCCCCCGGCTCGCCTTCGTTACTTGCCACCCGCACCAACCTTGGCCATGCATATCGCCGCTCTCAGGACTACCAAAAGGCTCTCGATTGCTTCGATTCGGTACTTAGGCAGGGCGGAAAGGACGCAGGAGTCTTCTGCGCCAAGGGCATAGTCCTGCTTGAGCTAGGTCGTGCGTGGGATGCGGTAGTGGCGCTGCATGAGGCGTTGGCCGTGAGTCCGCAGGACCCTATCGCGACAGACCTGCTGGGCCGGGCTTTGGAAGCAGTGGAGAACGTGGACCTCATGGGACAAAGCGAAGAGGAAGAGGTCGATCGGAAACTACGAGGAAGCAAGGGCGAGGTCAGGCGGCGCAATCAAAGGAGGAAACGGGTGCTGCAGCTCGAGGACGCTGCGCATGAGGGTGTCGGGGAGAGTATGCTGGTCGATGAGAATGAAACTTGACGACTGATGCGGCGTGTCTAGGGTTTGGCATTGCGTGGCGTTGCGGTGTGGGGTATACTGTCTGTCGTGGACTACTTGGGTACCGTCCTCAGACCTTTGGAAATCAAAGCTTCTTGTGTCTGTTCCCTCGGTGTGCAGGCGACGGGGCTTTCACGGTTGTTGAATTCGAGTGCCCGTTTCTCTGGGGGTTAATTGCCGTTATCAACCGACACTATTCTTACAACCTGCCATCATAATATCGTATACGGATCCTCGGAACCCTACTCTACAAGCTCTCTGGCGGCTGTGTAATCTTGGTCAAATGATCACCATTCAGCTCTTTCATGATCCTACCCAGCCCCTCATGGCTATAGTCTTTCTCATTCCACATATCCTTATGATACCGCACCTTGCCCTGCTCGTCCAAGCCCAGCGACACCAGCGAGTTCACCGTCTTGGAGATATGCAGCACGCGCGGCGTATACTCCTGCTGCAGCTTAAAGATAAGCTCCGACGGCGTCGACTTGACCACCTCTGTCTTGAGTGTCTTCGAAGACGCCATGACCTTGGGGATGCCTACAGTACAACCACAGCCGCATCAGCACCACGCACTTCTTCAAGACTAATAGAAATCACGCTTCTGACAGAGCAAGACCGCACTCACCATACCACTGCCCGGCAATCTTGTACCGCGTATCGCAGTAGCTCCACGGGTCGTCGTACACGGCCTCGGCCGCGTAGACGTGCATGTCCTCCTCGCTGGCGCTGCCGCTGTACAGCCGCGTGATCTTGTCGATAATGGCCTGGCGCGCGGGCTCGATGCTGATGCTCTTCTCCGGGTGCGGCTCGTAGTCGACGCCCGAGCTGCTGTTTTGCGACGGGTCGGGGTTGCTGGTTAGGGCGTGCGGGTCTGGCCGCACTTCGTATTGTTGTTGGAGGCGCTCGCCCTGGACGTGGTCGTTTTCCGGCATGCTTGTGGTGGTAGGTGTTGGTGTTGGTGGGGTGGGGGGTGGGGTGGATGGGTTTTTTGGGGTTGTTGTAAGAGAGGATGTTTTTGGGAAGTGAAGTGCTGGGTCTGCTTTGTTCTATGATGTTTACTGTTCTAGATACCTAGCTTTCAATTCAGGGTCTACATAATGACCTCATGACTGTTAGCTAGGTAGTACCTAGATCGTGCACGGACATGGCAGGGTAGCAAGATTGTGGAACGTAGAGCTAGAATAGCTCTTGAGCGGGTATTAATATTACAGGCTTTCTGTAGGTGTTTTACTCCAGATAATTACTTTCCTGTACTCGCCTCACTTGACCCCTCGCAGGTTGAGTGAGCGTGCTATACAGAGTAAGCGATTTCCATCCTCGCGTCCCTGATCCTATTGCTCCATCCGGGATACTGCATAACGTTAGCTTTGATTCTCCATGTAGAGACGGGATGCGGCTACCAATGCCCTAGCCCAGAGGCCGACACGGTCACCTGGTTCCAAAGCTCCTATGAATCCCTTGCCGTCTCCTTTGCCGGGGACTTCTTCGGCGGGTTCTTCGTTTGGTCTCCATTCCACGTCATGCTCCACGAAGTACTGGCCAGCGACGATGTTGTACTGGACCTTCCACAAGTGCTTCCCATCGTGCTCCACAAAGTTCCAGCCTGCCGTCTGCAGATGCGGCGCAGCATCCTCCGGCTCGTGGAAGAAGCTCTGCATGCATCTGTGCCGGTTCTGGTCCAGGTCCAGCTCGTCCGGAGCGCCTGGCACCGGCCGGAATATGCTTGTCTCAAACCAGGAAGAAGAGCCATTGTAGGTGCCTGTTATAGGTCAGCGAGCAAGGACACACGCGTTCGGTACGCAAAAGCTTCAAACGTACCATACGACCCCTGCGAGGCCCAACCCTGGTCGCGACTGGTAGTGTGAAACTTCACCGATTTGATCTTCACCAACTCCCCTTCCCGGGCCCGCGGGATCGGGTCACTGATCAGATACAGAAAGGCAACCGTGCTTCTACGGCTCCAGCGGGTCGAAACATCCATACCATCAGTGGCGCTCTCAGAGCGCGCATTAAATACCGTAGGGTAGTACCCCGCGGCTTCGATAATCAAGTCCGCGAGCTCGACAGGGAGTCCGAGGCCTTGTACGAAGAGCGTTCTCACGACGTGCACCGCATCGGCAGTGGGCGTGTAGGGGGCGGGCTCTGTAGGGTTCATCGTACGCCAGACGTTTTTCAGGGTCGATGAGATCGCAGAAAACATTGCTGGGGTCTACCAGCTTCGTGATGTTGCGCGGGGAGTCTGCCGGTGTGGCAGGTGCTGGCAGTGCACCCACGTGATCGTACCTCAGCTAACTTGTCCACGCCAGTGACATGTTCGCCCGGGAATTCTCTTGAATTATTGTTGCATTGTCTGCTCGTGGCTTATGGCGGATGCGACCAATTCACATATCTACACATAAGCCAAATGCCGATCGCTATTCCTAACCGCAGCTTTCGGAATAGAGCTGATTCAATAAAGATACACACCACTAACCTCGAATACGGCTATAATACATCAAATCAGGACCCTATAAAGTTTTTGCGCCCTTTAGGAGCAATTTATCATGTTGGTCGGTACTACCTCCTTAACTAAATATCGAATAAAATATTATAAACCTATAGAGTGCTTCTTAGAAAGTTATAATTGATAAATTCTTGTATAACCGGTGGTAGCTACTAGATAACTATACAAGAGTAGTATCCGTAGGGTAGGTAAATTATCCGGAGCCTTATACTAATATCCGTTACCGCGAACCGAGATCTATAGTATAGTAAGATAGAAGAGGATATAAGTAGTCCCTATAGAGTACTCTTTACCTAGCTCCTAGTCTGAGCCCTAGGTATAGGCAAAAAGATCTTAGAGCACACACAGGCTCTATATTCTTAACTAGGTATCTTCTACTCTGTATAAGTATTACCATCTCGTAAGACGTCGCTTTACAGTAACGCCGTAGTATATGCAGTCAACCCTATCTGCTTGCTTGCTCTATATAAACCAGGCCTTTACAAGCACCCTATTTCGTTCACAGCCTAGCAGAGTTGAAGATCCAAAAAACTAACAAAAAATGAAGGCATTTACCACCATAAATGCAATACAAGGAACTTAGGCTACGCTGCGAAGCTTTCATTCATACCTTGAATTCATCCCGCTATGAACACGAGCAAAAGTGGAGTTCATTGATCCGAACCGACGGTATATTGCAGAGCACCAAAAAAGGCAGGTGGTGCTCCAGGACATATTTACATAAATAGTCTCCCCGCTCCACTTACAACAATTGTTCCTACCCCGCAAGTCCTATCCGAGGGAAAATGGCTACTCCAAAAATCGACTTCACGGCCTTTCACAACATCGTGAACGGCCAGCTTCGAGGCTCTGAGAAGACCTATCACAGCGTCGACCCGGCGACCAAAGAGCCGCTATGGGAAGCGCCCGTCGCGACCCAGGACGATTTGGACGACGCAGTCAGGGCTGCTCAAGCTGCATTCAAAACATGGAGCAAAACGCCCATACAAGACCGTAGCAAGCTCCTCAAAGACTTAGCTGCGGCACTGATCAATTACCAATCTGAGTTGGGCCAGCTCTTGACAAAAGAGGTTCGGAGACCCAATGCATTCTATGAGACAACAATTGCCGGTTACATGCTCCAGAATGTCGCCGGTCTGACCTTGGATGAGGAGGTCATAGATGAAGTCGAGACGAACCGCAGGCTCGTCACAAGGCGCATGCCATTGGGTGTTGTCGGTGCCATTTGCCCGTGGAACTGTAAGCTTCCCTAGCAACGCATCTTTAAGAGGGCGATATTAATATCCTGTTCCAGTGCCACTGGGTCTCGCGGTCCAAAAGATTGCACCGGCATTGATGGCGGGTAACTGCATCATCGTTAAGCCCTCGCCCTACACGCCGTACTCGGGCTTGAAGCTGGTTGAGATTGCGCAGTCTATATTCCCACCAGGCGTGGTTCAGGTCCTTGGTGGTGATGACCAGCTCGGTCCATGGATGGTGAAACATCCTGGTATTCAAAAGATCAGCTTCACAGGCTCTTGCCCCACGGGCAAGAAAGTCGTGAAAGGGGCTGCCGACACCATGAAACGCGTTACCCTCGAACTTGGCGGTAACGATGCTTGTATTGTTTGCCCGGACGTCAATATCTCTGAAGCAGCCCATGGAGTGGCACAAGGTGCTTTGTATAACACAGGCATGGTATGTTGAGCTCTGCTGTTGTCCATAACCCACACTGAAGACTTCTCTAGGCCTGCCTTGCCGCCAAACGCGTTTATGTGCACGACGACATCTATGACAAGTTCCTCGAGGCTCTCGTCGAAGCCGTAAAAACCCTTCAGATTGGCGACACCACCAGCAAAGGTGACGCGCTCGGGCCAATCCAGAACGAAATGCAGTACAAAAAGGTGCTCGAATACTATAAAGACAGCATTCAGCAGGGACACAAGTTCGCGCTTGGGGGAGAGGTCAAAGAGAGTACAGGATTTTTCATCGAGCCGGCTGTTATTGACAATCCTCCCCATAAGTCCAGGATTGTACAAGAAGAACCTTTCGGTAAGTCAACCCATATTTGATTTGACCCGAGTACTAATGAGGGTTGCTAGGACCCATCTTTCCTGTCTTGCATTGGAAGGATGAAGACGAAGTTATCGAGCGTGCCAATTCGGTGGATGTTGGCCTTACTGGCAGCGTTTTCTCCAGCGACATTACGCGAGCAGAGCGCATCGCGCGGCAGCTCGAGACAGGCCTTGTCTGGATCAATGAGGTCGCCAAAACAAGCATGGCTATGCCTTTTGGGGGTTGGAAGCAATCCGGTTTAGGCTTTGAAGGGGGACGAGAGGCGTTGCACGGGTATACTAACGTGCAGGTTTTGTACATCCCAAAACCTATATAAAAAATGATGGTGAGATTCAAGCAGCGTAACGTCCGTCATCGCGAACCGAGATCCACCTTCTAGCGAGACAAGGGACGATACAAGCAGTCCCTACAGACTACTCCTTGCCTAGCTCACAGCCCGAGTCCTGGGTATAGGTGCAAAGGTCTTAGAGCATACTCTATACATCGTAGCTGGGTCTCTTCTTCTACTTCGTACAAGTATCACCATCTTGCTTCAAGGTGAATCTCGCTTCACGGTGACGGACGTTATGTCGACCAAGCGGATCAGTAACATTCAAGTATGTTCAAGAAATTAACGTCTGTGCTGTTTGAAGCATGCTCTGCTTCAACGAAAAAGGTGTAAATGATCTGCTTGATCTACATCTGCGCGTGAATGTCGCATGGCTGTCATTGCTTCATTTACACATAACCTACAAGGTGTTAGCAGTTTTTCAAACCGCCTAAAACAAGCCCAGTGGTAACTTACCCTTCCTAGCGCCCTGGAAGAAGAAGCGCACAATGAAGACCTGCAAGCCCGCCATTGTGACCATCATGACGCCCTCGATGATGCTGAAGTTGAAAATCCGCCTCTCGGTGCTGCGCACGGTGCTGAAGTTGCGGTTCTCACGGGTGCGGAAGTACTTCTGGTTACGGTTGATGGTGGAGAGCTGAGAGGAGAGCTTGAGGATCGACTCTTCGAGGACCGAGGTCTGTTCGGGGGTGGTGCCTTGCTTGCTGGGCAGCTTTGCGCGGGCCTCCTCGTTCTCGACCTAGAGAATGGGGCATCAGCGGCATTCATTCTTGCGCGCAGCTTCAAGGCTGGTCGGAAACACGGTCAAAGGGGAGTGCATACCGCAATCTCGAAGTCGACGATCTTCTCGGCAAAGGTGGACATTTCGTTGTTGAAGCAGAAGCGGTATTCTCCCTGGTCGTTCGCCGTGAAGACAAAGTCACCCTGCCTTTCCTTCGAACCCTCCATTATGACGCGCTCATTGGGGCCGACAACGGTATAGTCAACATCGAAGCTGCCACCGGATTGAACCTGTACAGAGCGTCGTCAATTATAAGCTCCGGCCACGGTGACAGGAGACGCACGGCGAAGTAGAAGGCCACCTTTAAGCCCTTCTGCTCAACATGGGTGAAGAAGCACGACTTCTCGTTGGCAAGCAGCCTGTAGGTGAGGGCGGTCGATGAAACGGCCGTGGCGAAGAGAGCCACCAGGCAATAAAGCAGTAATGCGGCGTGCATTTCGGGCGGCGTGCGGGTGGTCTGTTGCTGGCGGGATTGTCTACCTGTCGCGTACGAACTGACGCCGAAACCCAGGGAGGATCCCGGATAAACATCGGCCACGTTTACCATCAGGACGGGAACCTCCATCAGCAACTGAAGTTGAACTAATTACCAGCTACACGGTTGGTTGTACAATTTCTTCTCTCGCCATGTCTAGCAGCATGGTGTCAAAGGCAAAAGGGAATAACAGACGCCGGTCTTCTATGCACAGGTCGCTAACTCAATTCCACCAGTCAACCCAGCCATGCAACGACCCGACTAATGCAACAAAACCCCTTTACTTGATGAAAATCGAGTCGGCCTTGGCCCAGGCATTGCGTGCTTTGTTGACGTGGTCAAGGCCAAGGTGCGTCTCCTCCGAATTTTGGCTAATTTTGTCGGCGAGTACCTCGTCTTAGACGAACGTCAGTTGTTGGTTATTCTTGTTGAGTTCCGGGAACACTAACCATCCTCAATGTACTCAGTCTTTGCGTAGCCCTGGTTGCCGACCACCAGTGCAAACTTGATCTTCTCGAGCTGCTTGCCTTTGATACCTGTGCGCTTCGAAAGCCGCTCTCTTGTTTCCTTGAAAGGCTCGCCCTGCTTCAATGTGAGCGAGAGAATCGTCAGTCGTGACAGAGTAACTTACGGGTTTCACCACAAACAAGAAAGGAACACCATAGGGCTTGCTTGCGTCTTTGTCGAAATGGAAACAAGAAACGAGATCTTCCCCAGCATCTCGGTCGATGCTTTCCTCTTCCTCGGGTATCTGTTCTGCGAAGAGGTTCGCATATTCGTTTATGCTCAAGCACCCAGTTTCTCTGGGAATTTCCTTTCGCCAGCGGCCACTGCTACCATCATATAGTCGCACCTTATCAGATGTGGCGTTATCAAAGCCGGCTTTCTTTTGGAGGCCCTTGATGAGGTCATTCATAGTGCCATTCTTTGCAACAAGAATTTCAAAAGGCTCCTGCAAATTGTTTAGCAAATGCTTGTGGTTCGACTGCAATAGTAACAAACCTCTTTGGCAACACCATCCGGCAGCCATGTAACCTTCAAGTTCCTCATCTGCTCCAATTCAGCCAGGCTGTACTCCAGAATTTCGTAGTACAACGCATCGTTGCGCTGCTGACCGCCTCCGTAGTTGTAGTTGTTGGGGTTCAAGATTATGCTCAAGGTTTGATTCTGTTGGCGTTTGACGGGAATTTTCGCTCTCCCGGTGTTCGGATTGACAGTAGTAAACCGGAGATGAGTTGGTTCCACACCGAGATGTTCGCCTACTTTAGCAGCAAACTGATCATAAGTCATCTTCTTACTAAGCCACAAGAAGAACTGGTTGTCCTCCCCATCGACAGGATACTTGGCGGCGAACTGCACACGAATTCTGTTCAAAAGGTAATCGTAGAATTCTCTCACGTCAGTGTAGCGACCCGTTGCAGAGATAGCCGAAGCCCTGTCAACGCATTAGTTGAAAACTGACGTGGTGTCGTGTAACTCCTTACTCTTTTTCCGACAAGGATTTTTGGACAGTGATGATATCACCATCTTGCAGCTCCGAGGATGAGAGCGTCACCTTTGGTTTCATCTGCTCAATCATGTTGGACTTGATTTCCTGTTTAGAAAGTTAGAACCTCATTACACTTAGACATGGGGAAAAGCGCCTACCTCGAACAGTTTTAACCCAGTGCCTGCTGGCAAGTTGAGTATTTTCAAGAGTTGAGGGGAAATATCCGTCACTTTGTCCTGCCAACCCGCATAGAAGCTACCCATACCGAAGAGTGTCTGTTCCTCCGCGTTGAAGTACTTGAGGAAGAGCATGATCGGCCGGTTATTGGAAATGCCGTGCATGTCGACACTGGCATCGCGGAATACGGCTTTGCCTTCTGAGTCCTTGCTTTCTGACTGCTCCATCCAAATCTTGAAGTTTCCGGATTTTGTGCCAAATTTGATGGAAGCCTCCTCAACTGTCATGTCTGGAAATGATATTGTCGCATCGGGACGGACAGTTCCGTTTTGACGGTTAACCATAGCCCAGGGACGCAAGGATTCCGGCTCACAGCCCATATCTTCCGCAACCATCTTTGTGAAATCGGTCATGGTTGTTGCCCTCAACACTTTGTATGTCTTAGGACACGCGTCACTGCCCTCGGCATCTTTGGTCCATGGCACAATGTCGAAGCCTTGATGGGCGACAAAATTCTTTTCCATGGCGACAGAGACATGGAGATAGAGATGCATTTCTTCCCTCTCCTTTCTCCTCTTTTCAATTGCCGCCCGTTCTTCCGCAAACCTCTCGGCTACTAGCAGTTAGCTTATTACACATGGTTTAGTCGAATCCAACTTTCTTACCTATGAAAGCTGGCGGTTGGACACCATCGTCTCCCAGTAAAATGTTGTCCAACCGACTCTCCCGAATGTACACCAACATGTATGCGCTCATTGATCGTTTGGTCGACCAGGTGCGAGTATACGGGTTCCTCTGCTGGCTATTGCCATTGACCAAGTTTGTGTAGTCTCCTCCAAAGTTCTCCTCCAGCGCTTCCCGTATCGTGGCACGTGTGACTCTGTCGTCGTCAAACTTGTAATAGTCGCCATCCTTGGTTGGCTTGAGGAAGGCATAGTAATGGCCAGCGTTCAGATCGCCGCTGTGGACTAGGACGCCATGTAAACGGTAAATGTAAGGTTCAGATCGGTCCGCCCCCTCGGAAAGATAAGGGGACGCATCCCAGACCTCAGGAAACTCGTATCGATCATTGACTTTCATCATGGCGTCCCGGTTGAAATCGTACTCGAACCTTTTCAACTGGAGGTGAAGAACTTGCGGGAAGCTTTCGAAAATGACACCTTTCTTTGCATCTTGCAAACCATAGCCTTCCGCAAAGTATTTGTTTTCGCCATCCATGGTCTCAACCTGGACATAATCCTTGAAGCTGTCGTCCAGGTTCTTGTTACCGCTGACATTGAGCTGCACGTCCCAGAAATCCTCGATTCGTGATGACTCGTAGGGAACGTTGATGCAAGAGATGTACGTTTTCATCTTGCCCACAAACATGTCTGGCAGCGCAGTCTCCGCTTCGGTCCCCTTCATCTTCTCTTCCATTCGCTCCATCAATATCCTGGAAAGCTCTTGGACATCCTGCTGCTCAAAAATCTGCCTGGAGTCCCAACCAAATGAACTTGTAAGCTCATTCGTGGATACGGCGTAGTTGCTGGTTTGCAACTGGTAAAAGAGTCTCTGCAGAGCATATGCGCTGTTCGTTCGTATATCTGCTTCTTGTTCCGTAGGTATTTGATAGACGGCCTAATTCTATAAGTTGGAGTTCACATTGAAGGACAAGGGTGAGCTTACCTTCCGGAAGGCGTTAGTAAAGTAAAGTGATTGGAGGAGAGAGTTGAGATAGCAGGTTGCGCCCTGGTTCTTTAGGCCGACCATGCCAGTTTCTTTCTTCGAATCGTAGCTGAGGTTGTAAGTGTCGATTCCGATGGGTTGTCTGCTGGCAAACTTACTTTATGAAGTTGTGCCATAAAACACCAGTGGGGTCTTTGATGACCCGAACGTACGCAGTGACCTTGGCCGAGTTGCCTTCCACGAGCGGTCTATCACGGTCTTCCCAGTGCGCGGCGAACAGTTTGCGCAGCTCCGCAAATCGGGTAAAGCCCCAGTCGCCTTCGTCCGCCGTGAATCGGTGGGTGGCCGTATGCGAAACGTGTATAGTAGGGTCGTTGGCGTTCCAGAGAACCAGCATGAACTGCACACAAGCGTACCAATCCTCGGGCGGCTTGTCCTCGAAGCCCTGCTCAAGATAGAAGGAGGCATGATCGGTGTTGTTACCGAATGGGAAGAACAATATCCTCCACGGGTGGCCAGCGCACTTAAAGACAGGGCCATGCTCGCGCCGGGACATGGTCCTCCATTCTTGGATCTCCCAAGTATGTACGGCCTCGGCCTCAGTCTCGAGGTCCGGTAGTTCCGGCATGCAGCGTTTCTTCATGGCTTCAAAGTCATCCGCGCGAGGAGCGGGCTCCGCCTCGGCCTCGTCCATGGTGTCGTCGGTGGAAATGATGGCGACGTCTTGCTTCTCATCGTAGTCGGGCTCGACGAGCATGTCGCTGCCGAGCTGGACAGGCGCACAAGTCAGCCAGCTGCTGCCAGAGTCGGGGCGCCGGAGCTTAGCTTACCTGGTCCATGGTGAAGGTGGCGTCGACGGAGGAGCAGTCGAGGAGGCAGTGAGCGCTGCGGCGGTTGGACGGTGGGCTCTATCCGAGCAGGAGCGAGCGGACGGACGGCGCAAGCTGTAAAGAGTCGTTGTTTCACCCAAGAGCGACGCTGCGCACCAGGTGTAAGTTCGAGCCGCGCACCTGCTGGCTCGCTAAATGGTGGCGGGGAACACAATGACGAAGGGCCTTTGTCTGACGCAGAGCCGGGAGATGGCCGAGGCGCGGGCAGTTGGGACACGGGCAGTAGAGGCGGGACAGGGTGGCTTACAGGACTTCAGATGCAGTTTGGCATGCTACAGACAGCTGTGAATGTCTGATGTCAGCCAATGGCGCCCTGATATGGGCGTGCCTTGCCTGGGCGAGTCAGCAAGCTTCACTGGATCCTGTGACATGAATATCGGTACATGCGCGTGGCATGATCCTCACGTCCGCGGCCCTTGACGTCTGTCCTGCTGTCTTGCTTGCACTTGCACTTGACACCCTTCTCCCGTGCTGCAGACAGCTGCCATCAATTTGTCCAACCAGACATGACTTGCGGCCGCAGGGCCCTCTCCCACTTGCCCTTGCGTCTTGCCCCTCCGCGTTCCTACGCTACGTCCAGCGCCCCGCCATGGCGACCATCATCCGTCCTGGATGAGTACGTGTTAACCTCCCCGCCGCCGCAATTGCACGACTGACGAGTCCAAGATGGGTGCGGCGAGAGGCCCGTCCCATCAGCTTACGCCAATTGACCTTCTTCGGCGCACGCTTGACCGAGACAAGGCTCCTGGGCTCTGCCAACTATGTACGGACAGAGCTCCCCACCCGGTATTCGCTGCTGCACCAGCCCTTCCATGCCGCCTCTCCAAAGCTGACCAGAAGCTCAGGATCGCCCACCGTCTTCGTGACATGCAGACTTTGCCCTATGCCGTTGTCACAAATCCGCACCTTTCCCATGTCTACGAGCTTTACTATCGCGCGTTTGAGAGATACCGCCGGGTGCCCGAGATAAAGACGTTGGAAGACAACGACCACTTGTGTCAAATCATAAAGGAGACGGTGAATGAGCATCTTACCGTCATACCGCGGTTAGCCATAGGAGTACTGGAGGTCCAGGGTTCCATGAAGCCGGAGGAGACCGATAAATTCATGACGACTCTGCTGCGATCTGTAAGAAATCCGGAAATGCTGCTTATTCCGTTGTTTGCGCTGACGTGGTGCAGCGGATATCGCGACGCACTATCGCTGAGCAGCATCTTGCACTGACCGAAACATTCCATTCCCCCTGGCACTTCCCAGAGGCAAGTTCACAGTTGGACCCCAATATGGACTCGGTTGGGGAGATATTTCTCAAGTGCAATGCGAAAGAAATAGTCGAGCAATGTGCAAACGCAACCAAAGAGTTGATGCTCCAGACTTACGGCTCGTCCACCCAACTTCCAGAAGTCAAGATTGAAGGGCATACACATGCTACGTTCCCGTACATATTGAGCCATCTGGAATACATTGTCGGCGAACTCCTACGGAACTCAATCCAGGCCGTCATCGAGCAAAGGCGGACAGCGCCTCCTCCAATTGAGGTTTTAATATGCGAAACACAACAGCATGTTATCATCCGAATCTCCGACCAGGGTGGGGGTGTGCCCAAAGAGGTCCTACCGTATCTTTGGTCATTCAGCAAGGGGCCACGACGCAAAATTCGGCTCGAAAACCTCCAAAGGGTCCCGAAACTGGCAGCCACAACGCAAGAAGTAAAACCTCTAAAGGTCGACGATCGTAGCTTGGATAAATCCTTGACTACCTTGACGAGCAGACCTCCTGATTTGCGGCTGGGCATCGGATTGCCTATGAGCAGGATATATGCAGAATATTGGGCTGGCAGCCTTGAACTGCATAGTTTGGAGGGATATGGGGTCGACGTGTTCCTGCAGATTTCTAAATTGGGCAACAAGAACGAGCAGCTTACAACCAGAGCAAGCATGGATGCCGTCTAGAGCGCACCTTCCCAAACCCATTCGGAGCTTGTGGTCGCTGCTGCTTTTGGATACAGATGGAGAATCTGGATAACCTTCTGCCTTCCTGTTCATATTTGACTCTGCGTCAACAACTTCAGCGAGGCCTTTTGGATGCTCATTCCGTGACCCATTTAGCATCTCAGCTTGGCTTCGGTTTATCATTCCATAACAAAAGCAGCTGTCGTAAGTGCTTCAATCCAATATGCAGTTTCTCTCCATCCACACGATGTCGTTGTTTAGGATGGGTCTAATTCTAACGGTGCTACAGCACTCAGCATGGACCGCGAGACTCCACTGTACGGCGTTGAACTGGCAAAGCTCAAGAACCTAACAGGCGAACCGAGATCTCAACGACGATTGCATTTCCGCTTGATGTCGGATGCCTTCCCTACAAGGCAATCAGCGTTGGACCTGTACATCCCTGCCTTCCATCGATATGACAGCCCCGATCCTTCGCATGAAACCAATTGTCATTTCGCCCGGTATCTCGATGTGATTTCTACTTGGAAGAACCTTTCTACCTGTCAGGCACGAGAGCTCGAGTTCTGGGAAGAGATGTTCGCGGCAGTCCTCGAATATCTTATCTCCAACCGTGTGATGGAAATCATCGACAACATGGACAAATATATCGGAGGTAAGCCATGAACCTGTCTCTTTTTGAAAAGCAAACACCTTGTCTGTGTGCAGTTCGATGCTCGCGGAGTAAATCGGACAATGAAAAGCTAGCTGGGCGCTGATGAATTGCCACAGGACGTCATGACACCAGTCTTGATCTTCGCATCTGCGACTTTGTCAATAGCCTCGGCAGTAAATCGTTCCCCGTTAATATCCAGGATGTTATAAATGGCATGCTCGAGCTATACAAACGCCATGGAATGCAGCACTGTTGGTTCTCTTCTAGTGGCGACCTACACAATACGTTGTGTGACTTTTTGAGGACTCGGGACTGCTTCCAGGATACACCCATCCATCCTACGATAATGGTACATTTGTCTGCTGTGAGGAATGCTAAAGGAGAACCGGCAATCACTGGGACTGTCAAGTGGCGTGGTCCATCGATGAAGTTCGATCATCTCCAAGCTTTTGCCACAGAAGGATCGGATTACCACGTTATCCCCCGTTACACGGAGCCATTACTCGATTCACGATACCATTCTCACCTCACACGGCCGGAGTATTACCTTGCTTCGGATTGCATCAACTTCAGTTGGCAGCAGCCGATTGAAGGATTTCAAGGATGCGTACCTTCTCCCACCTCAGAAGCAACCACACCTACACACGACCATCATCAACATGCAAGAATCCATCAGACTCCTCTCGATATTGCTTCTGTGGCTTCTAGGCTCTTTCCAGGTATTGTTCGGTACGAACGGCAGTTACGTGTCCAAATCCAGCTAGTGATACACAGAGCTCATACTACCACTACACCTAAGACAGCGATGAGTGTGGCTTCTGGACATAGACAACCTCAGAAGCCGGAGCCCCTCACCCCTTGTTCCAGGCCTTCACCACTTATAGAAAGCCAGAAACCCTCTTCCAGCCCTCAACGTTATGCCCATTCGAAGCCTTGGAATGCTCTTTCACAAGTTCAAGATACAGAACTGCTTTCGAAAGTGGCAACTGCCTCTCCATTTGACAGTTTACTACATCTGGAACATTACAATTGGCCCAACCCGCCTGACTCCCACAAAGGGCAAGTTAAGTCCGGTATGCCCAGTTCTTTGTCGGACTTGTCACACTTGATGCGGGGGAACAAAAGAGCTACGAAATCCCCTGCGGTGAAGGATACGATTTCAAACAAGCTGGTTTCAACCGAGTCGGCCGATGAAATTTTGTCTTCCGCTCCCCAAAAAGCCGATATCGAAAGCTGCGCACTTGACTACACTTCCAAGTTCTGGGGAGAGCCACTGTTGAATACAGAGTCTACCAACATTGGAGTCCATGCACTCGCCGGAGTCGTACGCTCGCCGGATCCAGTAGCACGATCTCCACAAGAGTGTTCTCCCTCAACAGTAAGATCATTCCAAGGAACGTGCAGTGACTCCGTAATTCGATTAGGCGCCTCCTCTCGTGACAAATCCCGGACGCAACTGACCGAAGTGCCGAGGACGTCATTTTGGGCCAACTGGCAACCAGATCAAACGAAGAATACAAGTCTTTTAACGGAAAACAGATCGTCAGGGTCCACGCATTTAACTCAACATGCTGGCTGGGGCAAGAATGTTCCGGCATGGAGTAACTGGTGGGACACCCCTGTACCACTAGATAGGTTCAAACCCCCATCCGACAGCTTATCCCAACGATCAACTCCAGCAGACACCTGTAACGAAGAAATGGACCATGTGGTGCAGCCGAGTGTACAACGATCCTGGGGCTCAAGCAGTCCCGAGGCACCTTTGGAGATGAAAAGCAGCCATTTTGGCGACAAAGGTAAACACAGGGCTGAAGACCGACTTATCAACTCTCCGACTTCTCGGAAACCAGTGTGTCGAAACTTTGACATGGCCTGCGGACAACGTAGCGATGTTGTCGCTGCTTGTCTAACTCCTACAAAACCACCTTCCGATCAGCTTACCGACACATCATTCCGCAAGCCTTGGGATCTGTTTAACTTTGATTCCCCCGAAACTCCATCTAGCAGTCTTGGGGTTTCTGCTCTACGAACTGTGTCCTCAATACTCAATCGGTCCCGCAGCCCCTATGCTGATATTGTACCAAGAATTGATTCGGTGGTGAGCTCCCCAGGGTCAGGGTTGAGTGACACAGAGTTCATTACCAGGATCAAGCGCGAAGATGGCCATGGGCTCCAAGAACACGGTTGCTCTCTAACGTACAGCCGGGCCGCCAAACAACAGGCTGACATTAAAGAGTGGCACGATGCCATGTGCCTAAAGAAGGGTGTGGTAAACCTTCATGGAAATTCTGTCAGACAGACCACCGATGAACGGGGCGACGAAGAAGCCTACGAGAAAGCCTTTTTGTGGGAAGAGACCGAGTGGGCAAACGAAAAGGGCGTGTGCAAGGAGAAAGAGGAGGCTTCTTATGGATCTGAATGCCACAGGGTGGATCACAAATGACTGACAGGCTCGGTTGCTAGCCTTGTAATCCTTGGGTGTTGTGCTGTCACAGGATTCGCCGTCCGTCGAGTTTTGCAAGAACATCATTATTTTAAGTCTCGACTGAATGACGAGAAAGCGTAGTATAACATAACTTTCCGTCTGTGCCTATTGCTGAGCCGCCAGGACTCTTGGGCGACTAAACGGTGCGACTGCGAATGCCTTGATTTGCGCCACTTTTATCATCACCGGTGACACTTCATTGGCACAGCCCCAACTGTCGTTCGCGTGGCAAGTACACTATTACGCGCCGCCCCTCGCACGGATCCAAGGAACCAGACAATCCACCAGCTACACATATAAACCACTCTCTTCGCTCTCACTACATCTCATCGAACGGTTTAACCTACATTGTCCAACCTTTACCATCAAAACACAAGTGGCAAGGACATTTTACAGAATGTCGGCGAGCGCAATCTTAATCGTCCTCATCACTCTCTTTTGTAAGCACTCTTGTTTCACAGCTGACTCACAGAGGATATGACTGACCAGGAGCTATACCAACAGTCCCACCCGTCGGTGTCCTAATAGTTGCTGGATGCGGGACTGATTTTTGTATTAACTTATGTCTCACCATCCTCGGGCATGTCTTACCATTTTTGTATTTACACGTGACGCATGCTTATAAACGATCACAGCTTCCTCCCGGGCCATGTTCATGCGTTTTACATTGAATACGTCTATTACAAGCGTCGCGAGGATGCTGCGAGAGGTATATACGACAGTAGGCCGGCACCCGGCGTCTATAGCGAAAAGGTTCAAGCAGCCGGTGTGCAACAGGGCGCTACCGACGTCGCTGTTTGAACACAAGGAAGCATATTAGCGGATTGCAAGCACCGTAGATATCTATTGCAAAACTGTACACAGCCCTACTGGGCAAATGAAAACTCTAGACTTAAGTGCCGTTTATTGTTAGAGTTGTTTGAAATTGTTTTGGTATTCTGGGCAGTGGTCACGGATAATTTGCCCACCTTTTCTAGATATTTTGCCCACTCCTCAACTACATAACAAGTAAGATCTACGATACCTATAGAGTATTCCTTGATTAGTTATAATTGAATTATTATGCTACGGCTAGTGAACACTATATAACTACCTAAAAATTAAAAGATATAAGGTATAATAGTACTTAAAAAGATATAATCGTAAAAGTATATATGAGTCTAGAGATACCATAAGGGTATAGAAGTATAGATATATACGTGTTCTAGAGTATACTATAAGGGTATAAAAATAAAATATTTTAAAGGGTTTAAAGGTACTGATAAAGCGATAAAGATATAAACTATCTAAGAGTATAGAGTATATTATATAGTTTTGCAGGTATACTATCACGTAGGGTGGGCAACTATCCGGGGCCCTCGGCCATATCCATACTCACCAAGCGAACGATTGAGTTTTTGGTTTCATTCAAGCAGCATTTCATGATTCTCTATGAGGCTGTCGATCGCAGGCCGGCTGGGAAGTTACTCCGGCATTGGGCCAGTTCAGACACGGAAGCAATCGTCCGTGTGGTCTTACGGCCCCGCAACTGAGCACCTCAAGGCTTGCTTTATTTTTTAAAGAAAAGGAATGGACCCAAAAAGAGGTGGTAAACTCTATGAACGGAAGAAAATTGGTGCTGAGCATTTGATGCATGTTATCGTCATTGTGCGTGACCAACCCCTCCCGCCAACTCTTCATTTTCCCGACGGAGACCCACCTCCACGCCTGCGTAGGTACCAGATCTCCGGTCTTTTCATGGCCGCACGGAATCATTACTGTTTGCTTGGTATCTTGAACGCCCTTCCCCGCTTTGGGTGCAATATTCCGCGTCACGCTGATGGCATGATGCCAAGATAGTCATATATAAATTGCTTCGATTTTCTTCATCTACACTGCAGGAGTTGTTTAGTTTGATTGTCAGATCTGGTCTTCAAATGCATTACCCTCCTCTTTCTGTTCTCCTGGCATTAACAGCAATTGCCAGTGCCCAATCATCGGCATCTCATGGCCTTCAGTATTGCACGCCTGCTGACTATGCCACAAAGACATACAATGCGTCGAACCTCTCCTTCACGAGTAGGCCCAATAACGACTACTCTGACCAGGCGCTGGCATTTCTCTGGAACCAGGTCGGCCCAGTGTCCGTTGGACCGGTTACCACCACAGTGTCTCCGACAGCCGAACCTTCAACATACCCTCAACCGGGAGCCTATCACGGGCTCGTGCCGAGCTACGACAATAATCTGACCGATGCGAAACTTCCAGCAGGCTTCAAGTGGGGCGTGTCGTCTTCCTCATATCAGATAGAAGGCGCAGCTAAAGACGAAGGCAAAGGTCCCTCGATTTGGGATCTGCTGTCTCACCGGTATACCAATTTTGTGTCCGACAACACTACTGGTGACGTCCTAGCTAGCCACTACTGGCTTTACAAGCAAGACATTGCCCGGCTAAAAGGGTTGGGTGTTCCTGCTTTTAGCCCTAGTTTCAGTTGGCCGCGCATATTTCCCTTTGGTAAAGGTCCAGTAAATGAAGCCGGGGTAAAGCATTATGATGATGTTATAGCCGAGCTTGTCAACGCCGGGATCGAGCCTGCCATTACTCTTTTCCACTGGGATACACCGCTTGCTCTTTTCAATGAGTATGGTGCGTGGACCTCTCCTCAGATTGTTGATGACTTTTTCAACTACGCCAAGTTCATCATTTCCCGCTACGACGAATATGTTCCGACCTGGTTTACCATCAACGAACCGCAATACTGCGACTGGCAGTATTCTTTGTATCCTGCCGGGGAGTATTATCCTGCTTATAACAACTTCACCGGCGGATTGCCGACAAGGTTCATATGCGGGCATTACACACTACTGGCTCACGCGAAAGTGGCCAAATGGTACCATGAAGAATTTAAGGGTAAAGGAAAGATTACCTTTAAAAACTCAGGTAACTACTTCGAGGCAAACTCCAGCTCAGAAGCAGACAAGATCGCGACCCAGAGGAACTACGATTTCGTCTTGGGATGGTTTGGGGGACCGTGGACGGACGGCGACTATCCACAGTCTCTTAAAGAAATCCTGGGTGACATCTTACCATCGTTTACACCAGAAGAGAAGGAGCTGGTGAAAGGGTCATGCGACTTTTATGCGATTGACGGGTGAGTGGTATACCTCGGGAGAATCACTGGTTTGGAATAGCACTGATCTGGCTTGGGTCAGGTACTCGGCATACTACGCCTACGAGGTGGAGGGCGGTTTGGACGCCTGCATTTCGAATTCTTCGAACCCCTCTTGGCCATTATGCGCTGAGAGTGTTTCGACGGCTCCGAATGGATTTCCAATAGGCCCCGCGGCCGACTCCGGAGTGTCGTGGCTTTATGATGGGCCTATGGGCATTCGCAGGTTCTTGAACCGCATTGTAAAGGATCTCTTCCCGAGCGTCAACGAGATCATGGTCAGCGAGTTTGGCTTTGCCGAGCCGTTTGAGGCGCAATTGACGGACATTAACCAGGTCCTCTGGGATCTCCGGCGTGCGGTGCGTTGTCCCGGCGTTTCCCTTGGGGCGGTTGGGTGCTGACAGTGAGCAAGGATTACATCCAAAGCTACCTCGACAGCATACTGGCGGCCATTGTCTACGACGGGGTCAACGTGACTGGGGCATGGGGGTGGGCCATCTGTAAGGCGGACGCTTGGCGGCATGAGCTTCAGCTGACGGTTGGCAGTCGACAATTTCGAGTGGTTGTCGGGGCTGTCGACACGTTTTGGACTGCAGTACGTCAATTACACGGACCTGAGCCGGCGGCCCAAGGCCAGCATGTTCCAGCTGGTGAAGTGGTTCGAACAGCACGGCGGCGAGGGGAACGCGACGGTAGGAGTAGGTCTAGCGGATTTGTAGCGAATGACGTTGGGCGAGGCGTGTCACTTGATGGACCTTATCGCGCCGCCCCACCGGCAGGCGCGTCGACGTCTGGGGGAAGCTGTGAGGTACTCGAACTGAACATACATAGTCCCAAGTCATCTGACGGAGAGCTGGCGGCGCGTGTTGGATGCTGCGACGTGACGAGTGACGATTAGGTGATCTGCCTCAAGCAAGCAAGCAACCCATCTCTCTTCTTCTCTTGGGTACCTCTATCCACGCCCTCCCTCATTGTGACGCTACCTCCGCGCTTCCCCCTCTCGCCGCCCACCCCGCTGCCGCAACCACCCTGCACCGCCGCGCATAACCCCCAGAAGCCCTCGAACTGGCAGACGAAAGCTCCCGGCCTCCCGCTGCCTCTCCCCCATCGGCGAACAAGCGCCCGCGCAGCTCGTCCGAAAGCTCGTCTCACCTTCTCCATAGCCCGAAGCGCAGACGACACACCATGCGCTTTGGCAATGAAGCGCCGTCTCCCTCGCGAGCTTTCTCCAACGGCTCCAACGGCTTCTCACGCAAAGTCGCCAACGGCGATGGATACACGACTCCCGAGAACGCTGGCCCCTCGGCGAATGGCACCCGACAGCCCACCGAAGTCACATTCTTCGGCCACGACCGGGAGGAGGTGACGCGGATACTCATACAAGGCCTGGCGGACCTCGGCTACAACACCGCTGCGGAAGCACTCAGTCAGGAAAGCGGTTACGACCTCGAAGGCCCTACGGTAGCTGCCTTCCGGGATGCTGTGCTTCAGGGTGACTGGGCAAAGGCAGAGTCGCTGTTGTTTGGCACGGCATATGAAGACGGAGGCGGAGTGGGCATAGGCGATGGTGCCTACGGATACCGCAAGACGCCTGACAGGTCGGGTAGGTCTTCATGGACACTGGGTGGAGATACGCGCGGTCTCCCCCTTGCGGAGGGAGCGGACAAAGACGAGATGAGGTTTGCGATGCGGCAGCAAAAGTACCTTGAGCTACTCGAAGGACGCGACCTCGGCGCTGCTCTTATGGTGCTCCGTCAGGAATTGACGCCTTTACACCACGATGTTAACAGACTCCATTATCTGTCAAGGTATGTCCCTTTCTCCCATGCAGCTATTGACTACGGCAACTCATACATAACAGTCTCATGATGTGCGATTCCGCTGAGGATGTGCGGTACCAGGCCCAGTGGGATGGTGCAGAAGGAGGATCCCGGAATCAACTTCTGTCGGAACTCTCAAGTAAGCTTGTTCGCCCAAAAACCTTATTCAGAGATAGATCAATGATGCAATAAACTAATCCCCATGCAGGGTCAATATCGCCTAATATTATGATCCCGGAACATCGACTCGCAGTGTTACTAGACCAGGTCAAGCAGAATTGGATCTCCAACTGCCTTTACCATAATACTGCAGTGTCTCCGTCTTTGTACCTGGATCATATGTGCGAACGCGACAATTTCCCCCTTAAGACGGCCCTCGAGCTTCGCCATCATATTGATGAGGTTTGGTTCTTGCGGTTCTCCAACGATGGAACAATGTTAGCTACGACAGGTAAAGACCAAAGGATCAACGTCTACGATACGAACAACTATCAACGACGCTTTACGCTTGAGGATCACGAAAATGGCGTGTGTTATCTGGCGTGGAGCCCCGATGACACTAGATTGGTGAGCTGCAGCCAAGACAACTCCGCCAGACTCTGGGATATGACGGTAAGCGGCGCTTGTGTTGATTGATTAAAACTGTGACTAACGGACGGTAGACTGGGGAGCTCCTTAAAAGTCTTGATCAAGCATTCGATTATCCCGTCACATCTGCTGCTTGGGCGCCCAATGGCGAGACATTCGTCACCGGTTCTCAAGATACGGCAGCTGGGCTTTGCCAGTGGACCGTCAACGGCGACAAAGTCCACACATGGAAAGAGGACGGTAGCGAACGCGAACGCGGCTACGCGATGCGAGTGCACGATGTCGGCATCTCCCCCGACGGCCAACGCCTGGTGGTGCTCCTTGATCATCACATCATGGTGTACGATTTCATCACCCGCGAAAGGATTTGTGAGTTTGAAATGCAGGATGTCAAGTTGACGTCCCTGAGCATCAGCCAAGACTCCCAACGAATGCTTGTCAGTATGAATGAAAGCAAGATCTGTTTGATGGACATCGACAGTGGCGAGCTTTTGCAAAGATACGAGGGCCAAAAGCAGACGCAGTTCATCATTAGGAGTACTTTCGGGGGCGCTCGGGAAGCCTTCGTGGTGAGCGGTAGCGAAGGTGAGGTGAAAGGTCTACTGAGACAAGCATCTTGTTGCTAATATTTGAGACACAGATTCAAAGGTTTATGTCTGGCGTTCAAACGGCCACCTGGTTGAAGCACTCGAAGCACATCGTACAGGATGTGTAAATTCGGTTGCGTGGCACCCCAAGGATCCTAACATTTTTGCTTCAGCGGGAGACGATCGAACCGTCCGCATGTACGTCTTGCCTTGCTGTCTCTGCATTTCCTCGTAGTGGGTAGGCTGACAATGCAAATAGTTGGACGAGGACGCCAGCACCAAAGTTGAGCAAAGGTTTGGGTCGGTAAGGGAATCGAATCGAATGGGCGTTTACAGTGCACGCATGCACTTGCCGTGGCAGTCCACCGTTTTTCTTCTCATCCTCGCATCAATCACATCATGTTATCGGAGTCTGTGGTTCAAGGGTTGTCAAGTACATATTGCGGGTTGACGGATCGTTTAGATTCCAAGCATCGGACATCCGAACTACTACTATGGAGGCACGGCTGGAGTCTGGGACGTGGTAGATTGGTTTAACCTGGCTATGGCGTTCTGTGGTCACAATCATCCAATTTGGTCTATGGGCAATCTCGACCAAGGCAAAGCACGAAGAGATACATGTAGGATAAGAACAGCCCTCTCCACCAAGCTGGATTGTTTTTGATTTACCTTTATGGACACGTTGAGAGCTTCACGAGTTCGGCGTATCCAACCGCTACAAGGCTTACCGAATAAGACTTTCTCGGAGTTTGAGCGCTTACAGTTTGCAATGGCAGGTAAACACGCAGGATATATATACTTCATTCACAGGTACAACTACGATTACCATTTCTAACCAATCTGAATCAAAATCAATTTGTCTATGCAAATGGGTGGGGACATAATTAGGAGATTTTCGCCCTGGGTATAAAACGAGACACGACATTAAGTCCGGCGCTTCTTAGCAGGTGGGGAGCGGTCGGCGCCATCCTTCTTGCCTTTGCCCACCAAGCTCCTGATGTCGATCGGCTCGTCGCCGTCCTCCTCCTCATAGATGTCCGCCTCGTCAATCGAGGAAAGGTCCTCGTCGTCGTCTTCTTGGGCGGCAGCTAATGAAGTCAGTCTCTGTTACGAAAGTCAAATATTCCAAACTTACTGAAATACTTGATGGCGCTTGGCCAGATATCCTCGGCCAACAGAGTGGCCAGCTCATCGCCATTGGGGAAGACCTCGGCTTCGTTGCCCAGCTCGAACTCCTTGTCATCCTCTTCTTCTTCCTCCGGCTTCTCATCCACCTTTACGCCATTGGCTCTCTTCTCCCTCTTCTCGTTCTCTGCTTTGTTGGCTTCAGCAGATTCCTCGGCACTGATGTACTCCCGGCTGGAAACGAATCCAAACCATGTGAAGAAGCTTAACGTGCCCTCTTCGCTCGTCTCCATTTTCTTAACGAGAGCGTCATATTCGGGGAGCTTCTTTTCTTTGCTCTTTCCATTGGAGGCGCCAGTCTGCTTCTTCTGCGCCTCCCAGAGTTTCACTGCAGCATCAGTAAGGCCCTCGGTCAAGTCCTGGTCCTTCTTCCACTGGATCTTGACCGGCTCCGAGACCAAACCAGTCCAACCGTCGGCCGCACGCCTGAACCAAAACTTCTTCTCCAGGACCGTATCCTCGAAATATTCATTGGGAGCGAAACCAAATTTGATGCTAAAGCTTCGAGGGTGGCCAGTTGCAGGCTCCTGGTCTAGCTCAAAGCGGGAGACCTCGATAGAGTTGAGGCAATCGGCAAAAACTTTGGAATCAGAGGGCTGGATGTACTGGTCAACCTCCGGAGGAGCCGACTCAAGCACGAGAGCCCAAAAATGAGGAATCTTGGCGATCACGTCCTGACGTTTGCTGTAGAGAGGCTTGGTAAGAGCATATTGCTGGCGGACTAAGGAGTTTCAATTAACACGGCTGCTTCGACAGGCTGAATGGTATGCGCGTACTCATTTGAAGGTCAACATCGTCAAAGTCTTGCTCGAGCTGGATGAGGTCTTCGTAAGAGACAGTCGACTGCGCAGTTTCAGTCATGGTGTAAGATTGACTGGAGATGACAATGATGGAAAAAGTGTAACGATGTACGAGGGCGCCTTAAGAGCTGGTATATATATGTTTCAAAGCTCAAAGGAAAAAGTGTTGGGGATGCAGCAGACGTTAAGCTTCTAGGATTTTCAGGCCAAGCTTCGACTCAGTCAGTCCGGGTATGCTGTCATTGACCCCAGTCATATGAGTCATGTGTAGGTTTGTAAGGCTGATAGGTGAAAACCAGCCCGTATGCCTTGCCTATTTCGAGCTTGCTCCTTTGCGCTAGGACGTTGCTACTCGCCGTTATCGCCAGAGTCCTGGCGTTTGCGGCAATCTTCCATGAATATCCAGAGGAATGGTTCCCGGTCCTTTGTGAAGGGCGCAGGCGATCCATAATGCATTGATACATAAAAATAGTTAAATGTTCTCCGGTTTGTGCTGAACACACGCCCTCCCAGTGGTCTCTGCAAGGCGCAAATAACTGCTGCTTTTCTATTTCTTCTTGCCCGCGCCGGCGCCCTTGCCCTTGACGTTTCCCGACCTGAGCATAGCCCTCTGTCTCTGGTATTGTCTGACAATGTTGTCGACAGAGCCCATGTCGTGCTTCGGGTGCCTAAATTAACGTAAGTATGCCTCCTAGCAATAGACTTCAATTGCTGGAAATCGTGGAGACGATTGGTCTCGGCGCCGAATTCCACGTACCGCATGTAGTAGAGCCTTGCTCTGCGGGCCCTCTTTGGTCTCCTCTGGACCACCTCGATGCCTTCCACGTTCGGGCTGTACACTTTATACCACATTTCCACGCCGACCCTGGTCAGGTGGTTTCGCAACAAGATTGCCGTATCGATGCCCCTCCTCCGAATGTTAAGACAGACGCCGGCAAAAGGATCGCCGCTCTTCAGGCGCACAAGCAAAATATCCCCAACTTTGGCGGCTTCCGGATGAGTTTTGGTAAAGAGCCTAGTACGAGCACCGGCAGGATCGAGGATTGAAATCTGCGACTGTGTCACGGCGGCAATAGGGTCCTTACAGGCGGCTGCGGTGCTAGGTGGAGGCGGGTAGGTTTTGATGCGATTGTGAGTCTTTTTCGCAGTTGCTGGTTTACAAGTCAGCAGAGACACGAGCCATTGGGTAGAGCAGCATACCAGCAGCAGCCGGGGTGAAAAGCCCAGGCGACGCAGCCGCTGGGGCTGCCTCGACCGCACTGGCAAAGCTGCGAGTCTGGACCCTGGCGGAGCGGGCATGCCGCAAAAGCGACTTCCATGCAGCCAACGGTCGCATGCTGGGGCGTGGTGTTGCCATGGTGTGGACCGTGGTTGATTGCTCCAATGGAAACTTCAACTCGTCGCGCACGTCGTGATGCGGCGTCGCTGACTAAGCACTTCACTTCCGCGGACAATCTTTCTTCAACAATTGAGCTGCAAAAACCACTTTTTGGATTCCTAAGTTACCGATGCCCCTGTTCTTTTCTTTTCTTTGACTGCCATCCGCCATGACGCCCAGCGCTTGAAAGACCAAGGTATCTAATCATTAGGGCGCATGCCAACCATGTGCCCGCAACCGTGTAACAGTGGACGCCGACGCAATGCACATAAAAAGTATCATGCCTCACAGATTCATGATCTGGAAGTGGTTTTCCACGTCCCGGATCGGCGCTTCCGATGCAGTGTCCGTCTCTTCATCGTCCATCCAAGTTAATCCGTTTGCTCTCTCTTCCACGGGAAAAATCTCCCGTGCGTACTCTTCGATATCCCGAAAGCCTTCCCATAAGTCAAGGGCTTCCTTTGTACAGTTCTCCTCGAGCTCAGGCCCAAAGTACGGAGCGTTTTGCCATCCGAGTGTCTCTTCAAGAGCGGCCAGATGCTCCTGATAGCCAGCCGGGACCGGCACTTCACAAACGATTGGCCCGCGAACATATCTGACTGGTCGTGACAACGCACGACTGAACGCTTCGCAGACTTCTACTGGCGTTAGTCGCGAAAAGGCAAGCGGAACACTGTCAGGGGGGGGTTAGCGAGGCTGCGAAGCGTACCAGTCGTTCTGTGGTTGACTACAACTGTTTGCAGCAAAGTCGTTCCTGGGATGCATGGGCGCTAACTTACCGATGGCCTGCCCATTTTCTGGGTCCCTGTTTGAAGATCTGCAGGATTGCAGGGCCGACATCATGTTCGGCGTCCAACCAAGGGATGGGAATGTCCGGGTGGAACGGGGCTTGCCACTCAAAGCTCCCGTCCGCCAACAATTCCATGCGGAAAAGAGGATAAGGCAAGCTTGTGAAGTTGTTGTGATAGGTTCCGGCGTAGACGAAGGTCGCTGGTATGCCAATTTGACGAACGTAGTTTTCCACGGCGAACTTCTGGGCCCACATGGGCAGCGCTTTCCAGCTTCTGCCCTCATAGATGGAATGGTCAGGCATGCCGCTGTATATGTAGTGCTCTACGCCCGCCTTTTTGGCAGCGTTTGCCATGGCGCGTCCAGTTGCAATCTCATCTCCCCAGTGCGTCGTGTTGATGAAAGCCAGGTGAGCGCCATCGAAGAGACCCGCTACAAAGTGCTCATCCTCTAGTGATCCCACGCAAAGGTCGACGCCCTCGGTACTATCCAGCTCTTGCGCAACGATACCCTGCTTGTCGCGCGTCTGGGCGCGGACATGCCATCCTACGGCTGCGGCAACGCGAATGAAGCTTGCCGATTGCCGGCCGGTGCTGTTGATGGTGACAACGACCTTTTTGTCTTGCATGCGGAAAAGAGGGGGCGGGACGGGTTAGAGCGGCAGCGGCGGTGGTGTGATGGCGGAGAGAAAGGGCAGCAGCAAGGGAAAGAGAGAAACCAACCACATGGGCGCCCTACGATGCGCGTGCCGTCAGAGGGAGAGGCAGAGGCGAGCGCATGGGGCCGGGACGGTGCGGGCGTTATTTAACGTGACCGGGGCAGGAGAAGGTGGAAAAAGACAGAGCCTTTTGTCGACTTTTGTACGCCCGCGTGTGTGTGCTTGAACGCTTCAGGGCAACTGATCCTACCCTAATTACCTAATAGCAGCGCGTCGGGGCGACTCCGCCGACTGTCGCTGCGCAAGTGACTGAATCGTGGCGTAGAAACGCGACGTGCAAGCCCGCAGGTGCAGCGCTCCATCACAGGCTGGGGCCGGAGAGCCGCTGCGCGCTGGGCGATGGCTTGACGCTGCTTCTCGTGGTCAGGGTTCGTTGCGGACCATGCGGGGAAAGGCAGTGGCCCGAGAGTCATCTTGGGCCGAGCGGCGGGAGGCTGGAATTTGACCAGGGGGGGAAGCGCGGGAGCTCGGAGGGGGGGGAAGGGGGATGGGCAAGGCTGTCCGGTCTGGCCGCCGTTTGGTCGTTCCCGTCGCGTCACGCGGGTGCTTGTCAGGCATCAAGGCCGCCACCGTCGTTATTATTCATTCCACCTATCTAGTTACAACGTGCTCTCGTCCCGGACGCCCGCCGCCTCCCACGCTCCCTTTTCGCCCGTATCCGATGCAAGCTGGCGTGCAGCCGCCCTCTCATCCGCATGAAAATGCGCGCCCGCTTCACGCAACAGCCGCACATGGTCGCGCAAGCCCGCTTGTGCCGCGAGGAACAGCGGCGTGTGCCCCTCTCCGTTACGTATATGTACTGAGGCGCCTTGCGAGAGAAATTCGCGCAGAATCTCGACGTTCGGGCCGGATGCCGCAAGGTGCTTTTCATCGTTCAGTCAGTAACTGGGCGCTCTAGGCCTGTCATGTTTCTTTCCGCCCGGTTTCTGGCCTCTCTCGTAGAACTCCATCCAAAGACAAAGATGGACTTACCAAAGGCGTGTTCCCAGCATGATCCCTGTCGTTCAGCAACCACCTTTGATCAAATCTCATCACTGCCTTGGCCGCCTCCAGGTCCCCTTCGCTGATCTTGTATTCCAAAGCTGTCAGGCTGTTAACCTCGGGAGTCAACGTGCCGTTGTCCGGATGTTGAAAGTGCATCCGGCCGCTCTCAGTCAATTCTCCTCTCAGAGACACTGACATACGCTTCGCCACTTCCGAAGGTGTTATTTCTGGCATAGCAAGCAAGTACGACATCTTTGTCAGGGCTGCCTCGGTCGTCATGTCTTGGCCAAACACTACTCCTGCCCTTCCTAGTACCGTGGCCGGAGCGTACAGGGGATTGACACTTCCACTGAGACACTGCGTCACATTCACAATGACGACGCCTCGCTTGACGGCATCCGCGAGTACTCTGGTCATGTCAGAATCGGGTCCCCCGGGGGCATTGCCGGCTCCAAAGGTTTCGAGCACAAGCCCTTTAAGGCCATCCAGGTGCAAGACGGCATCAACCATTTCTGGTTTGATGCCTGGGAAAACTCTTAAGCAGGCCACGTGTGCTGTGTCCAAATTGGATTGGATGCTGAACGGTAGGACAGATTGCGGCCGGTACACCAGGTTCCACTGAACGTTCGTCCTCAGAGAGGAAATGGTGGCCAAGGGAGGCAGATTCGGGCTGGCGAAAGCTGAAAAGTCGTCTGCAGAAACCTTTGTTGCCCTGTTTCCGCGAAACAATTTGAAGTTGAAAAACAGGCAGACTTCCGGAATCATGAAATGTCCCGCGATGACTAAACTCGACAATAGATTGTCCGTGGCATCGTTTTGCAGTTGTGACATTGGGGCTTGGCTCCCTGTCAAAATAACTGGCTTGCCAAGGTTTTGAAGCATAAAACTCAGGGCTGAGCACGTGTAAGCAAGGCTGTCTGTACCGTGCAATACCACGAAACCGTCATATAAAGTGTAGTTTCGGTAAATCGTCTTGGCGATCTGGTCCCAACCGGCGGCATTGATAGAACTGCTGTCAAGAAGTTTCTCAAACTCCAAAACCGCATATCTGACGCGGCGCTGGTAGGAGCTCTTTGGCGTGCGTAGACTTTGCACCGCTTTCTTTGTTCCCTTATCATCAACTATAATCTCCAGAGGATCAGGGTATGATCCATCGTTGAAGGAGGGACGTGGTGCAAGTCCCGACTTCAAGAATCCAGGAACCTGTTTACATCAGCTATGCGCCTACGTCTGGATCGTGTCTTCGAAAGGTAATCTCGATGTCTTACAGGTACCAGGCCATCTTCTGATTCTTGCATGCATATCGTACCGCCTGTACTCATAGCATTAGGGCTAGACCTTGCTGCGGAAGGATGTACCATACGTACCCGTTATAACGATAAGCACACGACTTTCCGGCACGTCTGGCATGTGGGTCGAGGCTGTCATCTTCCAGCCTTTTCTCGGCTAGGTGACTATGATTAGGGACGGGGGTGGTGGAGTGAAGTCGCGGAAAGATCGGGTAGACTAGCTCTGAGAAGTAGGGCAAAACAGAATGCGCAATCTGCGATCTGCCCTTATAAGTAGCAAGACACGGTAAATGTGAATGGATGCTGTGTGAAAATTTCGAGGTTCACCTTCAGCCGAGGCCACGCTAGCTTTCCTGCTCGTGGAGTTTCTATTACCCCTTCGAAACCGTTTGCACCGCGCGACACTCTGTTGCGAGTCGTGACGGATCGGGTGCGGGCGCGTGCGGGCCCGATCACGGCAGCGCCTCTTCTTTGAGCGCCGGTCTGGGGAGCGCAACTATCCCACAATGATGTTGGCGGGGCGTGGCACGTGCGTAGGAATCAATCACACTTGTGATGGCTAGGTACGTAGTAGGTAGGTAAGAACCTCGCTCGAGCTCTGAGCGATTTAAGACGATAGATGATGTCAACGCTTTTTCCTCCAAACATCGAGTGATCGAATGTTTGACAGCCGCAGCTTAGAGGCGCTGTCATGATATATATACTGGGTATCAAAACTATTTCCATGACGCTCCAACGCTCCACTGACTTACGTTCCCCCTACGTCCGCGTGGTTCTCTCGTTCAAGTGGCTCTAGGTTCTGCCATTGCAAACCTGAAAAGCCTATGATGCTGTTAAATGCCTCCTCCTGGGTTTTCATTCCTTCCATCCGTTCCACGCTACCATCTGTAAACGTGAGAGCTAGTTGCCTGTCCTTTCCGATACCTTTGATTAACGGAGACCCTGCCATCTTCCGTATCTCCGTCAGTTCATGAAAGGGGTGCCTCCAAAGCTCTTTGGCTGGAAACAATCGGATGAAACTGATCCCCGTTGCAGAAATGGCCAATCGCCCTGGAACGCCATGATAACGACAGCGAAACGTCATGAAATACTCCTCTTTAGATGTCTGCAAGTCGAGTGGAACCAACTCCTGACGGTCATCAATGCCACTGGTAGTGTGTAGAGTACCTTGTTGGCTTTCCAGCGTGCCTTCTTTAGCGGAGCTATCGTCAAGCAAACCACCAGGGTCGGACATCGTCACAGAGGAGGCCCTTTTCTCGACCTCTTTCGATTTTACGGCGCGTTCGATGGCTCGTTGGCGAATTGACTCTGCTTTGTTCCGTAGGTAACGGAAAGACCATTGTGCTATTACCAGTCAGCCATACATTCCGGTTGGGAGATTAGGCGTGTTCGTACCATGAGTAGGAACATCCCAAAACACATAAGCAATTGGAGACACGATATGCCTAACAGAGTGTCAGCACCTACGGAAACCTCGTGATCATATGTATACCATACCGGTATTTGGGATGATAGCTCCCAATGGGCCTACCAGCAAAGAACCATACTATAAATCGCTCAGCTATTGTCGAAAGCATTGTAAGAATATTGGAACACCCACAGATTAGCACCAATGTGACTACCCTCATGGAATAGCCGGTGGGAGTAAAAGCGCCAAGCGCTATTGCCATGCAGAATGTGAACAATGTCGCGAGTGTTTTCTCTGGGAATCTCCATTGGTAAAAACTGGAACCGATTGTCAGTTCTTGAATTTTGAACTGAACAGTTATGTCTTACTTTTGCAACATCTCCAAGAAGTTGGCAAGGTCATGCAGCTTTTTGTAAAGTTAGTATGAGCAATCGACATAAGTAGATGGTTAGATATACTTGGACCTGTGCTCGAGGGCCAACCTCGTCGATGACTGGGTCGATCCAACGCCCAGCACCATGTCTGTGTATGAGTTCACTGATCTTGAATGCAGTAGCCCCTTGGTCAAGTGCACGTTCGTGTGATTCCCGAAGCGCATTTACTGAGCGAGAGCTGTGGCGGTTCCAGACAACAATGAAAACAACATAGCACAGCTGTTTGATATCAGGTAGCCGTTCTTAATTTTAATTGGGTTGGACTTACACAAAACGTGATGACGTAGTCGATCAACCAGACGAAGAGGAAGATTGCTAGCCATTTACCTGTTGTGTAAGGATCTTCCCAACGCCATATCTTGCGAAGAGTCAAAAAATAGGATTGCCAGGGAGCCGAAGCCATCATTATACGCTCCACATGTTCTACCATGATATCTCTATTGAACGGTGAGTCGTCAGATGCCAGATAGCGTGTTGTCGAATCTTGGGTCGCATAAAGGGCATACTATTCAGTGTCAGCCATGGTCACCACCCGGTGCTGTGTCTGATCGGATTGTAATAAGCTTACGTTCCCCAGATATCGTATCCAGTCTGTACGAACGTATCTTCCTTGTTCATCATGAATATCGAAATCGGCAATTCGTGGAAGCTCAATTCGTCTGCTTGGCACCACACGCACACGGTGTATAAATCTACTCGTAGTCCAGGCCACCCTCATGCTCTCCCTGTGTGATTCCAAATTGTCTACAATCTCTTTCAATGCCTCTGGGCGCTCTTCGTCGTCAGGAGAGACATTTTGCTGAGCCCGTTCGAGCCTTTCATGAGCTTCTATGAGCACGTTGTCCGCTTCTTGTGACAGTAACGGTTGCTCCGGTGCAGCCAACCTGGTTGCAGCTTTGCACTTCACAGAATCTCTTGGGTGAATGATGGCATAGCCTGCCTTCTGGATAGCCCCTGTGGTACGGCTTAGGGTACGCCCCGCCGTCATGGTTTTCTCGCAAAAGACGCTCTGCGGGTTGAAGGCAGGATCGCCCTGGACGTCCTGTTCTGCTTGTGTTTGCGCTTCCGTGTCATCGATATGCAAGGTCCTCATTGCCTTGGACTTGGCTTTCTGTGAGATGTGGTGCACTCGTGCCCATCGACGTGGAGGCGATGCGTCGTTCGTGGACGAAGCATTGGAAGGCGATCGGGCTGAAGCATAGCTGACATCGCTCGAGCTGTATGTGTTAAGGGACGTGTCGTCGGCTTGGGCGCTCATGATGGCGGCTTGCGGCAGTTCGCGTAGAGCATGCAAACAAGACGCATGGCGGATGACGTTGCAGCAGATGGGATGGAAGCCATAGAACAGGAGCGTGTCGCAGCTGCCTTGTTTGCGGCTGGAGTAGTGCAGGTTAGTAATTGTGGAGGCGACTCTATGTCGATATTCTCCCGTCACGCGGCCTAAAGAGTGCTGGATTCTTCAAAGCACATCCCGGTAAGGCTCTTTGAGGCTCCTTGGTGTCAGAGTGTTCCGCACCTATTACAATAGACACTAGTCGTGCGATGCACGTGACATTGATCTACGACGTCAGCAAACATTCAGCGCTTGAACGTGCCCCAACACGCGCCATCGTTTACCGACTACCGAGTACCGACAGGACCGACGAAACCCAGCACCATGCCTTCGTCGAGTGAACAATCGGCATATTTTGTCACTGGTGCTCTCGCCGGCCTGGCCGCTCTCCCAATCGAGCTCGGTCCCTCAGCTAGGCTTCTCCCGGTCCTCAAAAGCCACCTTGCCATACAAGTGCCGCGGGCGGGCTTCCGTTTCTGGGTATTCGACCTCTCCAAATCCCAGCTTTCTTCACAGCTCCCTGGGACAGGCCTCCTCCGGACTACTCTTGTGGGAGCATTGTCTGGATTCTCTGGTGGGCTGGCCGAGGTGACTTACCAGTCACTTGTTTTCAGGCGTCACCTTCCTGAGTTTGCGGCACTAGCCAGCCAATCTGGCAAATTGTTCTTCTGTTTTGGCACCTATACGTTTCTATCAACTTCATTAAGTGAGGAACTACCGCCACGGCCGTTCTGGTATTGCTGGGTCATGGGTGCGGTTGCGGGGGCGGTCGGTAGCGGTGTTTTGGCTGCGGTGGAGGGTGCCAGGGGATCTGTCCTCGCAAAGTTGACAGGGAAGGGCGCACTTAGCATTGGAACTGTCATTGCAGTACAGGTAACGACATGTGCCAAAACTTTAATGCCTGCCAAAGCCTGAACACAAGCATCCACCCAAGAAAGGTACAGCTCGCGAGATTCAAACAATGCTAAAAAGGCTTAGTTTGTCGGTTAGATATTTCCACCAATCAAAACTCTTAGATGCCGGGGAATTGTAGGTCGCTGTGGGGCTGATCGCTACCAGCGGCTGAGTGTCCCTAACTTGATTGGAGGATTCATGCCAAGCCTTTTTAGCATTGTTTGAATCTCTCAAATGGCCGCATCGCACCGGAGTTCTTCCGGAGCTGGGGGGTGCTGCAGTTATTATATGAAGTAACCCGTGTCCATCGCACCTTTGTTCCGTCAACTTTCTCGGCACAATGGGTGGCCATGCTTTCGAGAAGCTTGGCATAAGTACACCGCGAATTTCAACACATGTCTACAAGGACTTGGCGTCAAAATACTTGGAGGTGCTTGCTAGCTTCTTCCAAAGAGTCACTTGCTCACATGAACCGCCCAACAAGGATTCACATGGGGATGTTGATCTTCTCGTGGAAGGGCCTCACCTTGGAGTTTCATCCGAACACCTTGCTGAAGTCCTCGACGCGAAGGTTCACGTTACAAACGGGACTGTGACCAGCTACGCCGTACTACATCCCGATGACCCCAGCGCCTATGTCCAGCTGGATGTCCAGGTCTGCCGGGAAGGATTCTTAGAATGGCAACAATTCATGACTTCCTATGGTGATGTTTCTCAGATCCTGGGCGTCGTACATCGAAGTCTAGGTCTATCTTCGACCGATAAAGGATTACACGTACGAATACCGGAAATGGAAGCCAAAAATCGGAAAGCTAGCATGGTCTACCTCAGCCACGATCCTGAGGAAGTCATGAAATTCCTTGGACTTAATCCCTCTCTGTTTCACAGTGGATTCGACTCTGAGGCCGAAATATATCGCTGGATCGCTAGTGGCCGCTTCTTCAATCGAAATGCATTGGAGACACATGGCCATCATCCACCAGAGGAGAATAGTAACGATAGAACGCGCAGGATGAAAAGAGGAATGTACAGGCGTTTTGTTGAAGGCTGGATGATGGATAATCCTCACGCAGGATCCGACTGTCATTGGGACAGAGACTCTGTCCTCTTGGAAGCAATCAAGAACTTTGCCCGCGAAGAAGAATACCAAACCAAGCTCCGAAAATATCAGGATGTTGCACGTGAAGAAGCACTATGGGCGAAGATAAAAATGACAATACCTCGGAAAAACGACAGCTTGCGCCTGGTAGTAAGAGGGCTCAAAAGATGGATCGAAGTAAAAAACGGCAGGCCTATTGTACGCAACAAGGCACTACCTGGCAAGGAATTTCAGCCATGGTCATCAAAAATTGATGAGAGGAGTCAGTTAGGACTACTTGATTGGATTCGTGATAATTGGGTAATTGTACAAACCAAGGAGAAGGGCTTTATTAAGAGGGCAGTATGTGTTTAAGGAACTTTTGTAACGTCTCCTTCCGTTAAACGACCTTACAGCACGGAAGAGACCCATATAGTATACGCTAATTAGTAGGGTTCGCTAATAGTAAGGCTGGTTTAGCTATAGGAGACGTTAGTAAATAATTATAATAGCTAAAAAATATATACGGCTATTTACTGAGATACACTTTTTTTTTTTTTTTTTTTTTTTTTTTT